TGATAGCGAATCATTATGGGAATTGAATTTTAAGAAACATTGAACTATTCAATAAATTATTAATTTGCATTTTATTTGTATTTAAATAATTTAATTCTTGTAGAATTTTGTAATAAAAATTGATTTAAAAATGAATTTCAGTTAAAATTTTAGATAATAATTGAATATTAAAAGCAATATAGCTTGAAATTTTAGAAATAATTGAATTTTGAAAAAGTTTAATTGAATTTTTTTTAATATTATTTTAAGTTTTTATTTTCTAATATTTACACGGAAAGAAAAAGTCCGTCAATCATTAATAGACTAGTATATTACTTTGAGACGGGACACAAAATCATTGAATGCATAACATACTTTGAGTCACAATCAGTGACGAGTTGCTTGCTAAAATTTAGAAAACTGTCATCAATATATAAAACTCGTTCACTAAAATTTAGAAAACTGTCTATTAAATTTTCTATGACTATCAAAAGCATTCAAAAAATTCAACTTCTTTCAGAATTATCCCTAATTTTAGACACTATTTGGTACAGAATGAACACATTTTTTTCGTTGCACAGTTCCGATATTTTATTTACACTCTTAGACGCTTTAGACCAACACATTTTCGCACTTATAATAACTACACGTAGAAACGCACACTTATAACATTTTAAGTTTAGAAGCGAACTGTTCTTATATACCAAATAACAAAATTTTTCACAACTTGTGAGAAATGATTTTGCACTAATAATTACTTTTTAATTAGCGAGAAATATAAAAGAAAATATACTTTTATCGAGGTCAATTTCTAGACGCAATTCAACTGCAAATTATTAGTTAAGTTAAATATTCACATTACACATAATAGTATATAGGGATATGTATAGCAGACAGCAAAAACACATGGACTATAGAGAAACCGGAAGAAATGCGCATCGGTACACTGCGCAACAATGCGCTAGTGAAGAGCGCCGATTTAGAATACGAGTCAACTAACGTTTCACAAACTTTCACTAATGATTCGTAAACATTCAAACAGCCATTGATAACAATTCAGCATTAAATCTAAAACAATTGGTCACATACTGGCATTCTAATCAATCCATGACTCGTTTTCAATCGTTAAGTAAAGTTAAGTAACCATCAACGGAAAAAGAGTCCCGTCTCAAAGTAATATACTAATCCATTAATGGTTGACGGACTTTTTCTTTCCGTGTATTTAATTGAAGAATTTACGAATAATTGTCCGTAAATGATCTGTAATTCTACATTTTTGGCCCGTAAAGTCAGTATTTTAAAATACTTTCAATTAAAATTTTTTTTTTAATTAAAAATCTGTTTAATTTAACAAAACTTAGAAGATTTTTATTATCGTTTGTTTATATCATTAGATATTAATTTATTGATTAAATATGTCAGTTACCATATTTTTGTCCCAAGAGAGCAAAAATAAAATTAGTAAAAAGTCAGGGAATTTTTTTCTCAATCCTTGTTAAACACCCTGAATAACTATTATTAAAATTAATATATTGTTAAAATAAAATTTTTCCTGTTTTGAATTTCGCGCCAATATAGTTCTTTAAATGGTCGCCTAGATGGCATGAAAATTCGCTCACAAACGAAATGAAACGAATGAAATATTTTTTTTCGATTTCATAAAATTATTCTAGTAAAATTCTATAGAATTTTTCCGACTGGGGAGAGAAAAAGAGAGAATGAAAAGTAAAAAGGGATTAAATAAAATATTATAGATAAATAAAATAAATACAAATAAATAAAAAAAATTAAATAAATAAAAAGAGAGAAAGAAGAGAGTGACTCGCAGTGAAGAGTAAAAGGAATGAAGTAAGACTCCCGAAGATTGCATGTATATGTATATATACACAATGGTAGGACGCGGGGAGAAGTTCGCGAGAGCAAAAGCGGTGAATTAATTGTCGCTCGCGCCGCCGTCGATGCCCAAGGTACCCTATACGATCAGAGGGCCTGATTTGTGAGCCGCACGTGTGTTGCCTTTTCTCTTCCTTCCTTCATTCCCCGATATACACCGAAAAACGAGCGGTTTTGGTACGTGGCAGGAAAGACAGTGGAGAGAATGAGAAAGAGAGAGAGAGAGAGAGAAAGAAAAGAGTCCCCGTTTGAGACAACGACGGAGGCTGCCAATAAGATCAAATAAAGTAAAAAAATAAAAAGTGAAAAGAGGTTGAGGCCGCGAAGAAGCGGCTCTTGTGCGGATGGAAAATAAGGATCTGCAACGAGGAGGCCAAAGAGGATGAGGGAATATGGAGAAGCGGCATTGAAACAATGCACAGAGATTCTGTATCTACCCACACCCTCATTCTTCTCTTTTAATTTTCATTTTTATTGCCTCCTTTTTTTTCTCTTCTTGTTTTATACGAAAAATATATTTTTTTCGTATTTCGATACTTTTTGTCATTGATTTTTGATGAAAAATTTTGTCTCTCCTTTAAAACTTTCCATCCCAGTTGGAAAAGTTCTGATTTTTTTCTAATTTGCTCTTATTTTATCCGTTAACAAGAATTACTTACAATTTACCCAATAATATGTCTTTTATAAACAAAAAATACGATATTTTCTATTTCTTCCACCTGAGAACGCGAAGAACGCCAGTAGATGGCAGTATAGGTCCTTCTTGGAATTTCTTAACACCTGGTGGTGACCTTGACGTTCTCAGGTGGAGAAATTAAGACACCATTTCTTTTCAAAACTTTTGGATTTTAATTAATTTGATTAATTTTCAAAATTTTATTCTCTTTTACGGTAATTTTTTTTCCTCTCGATATTATTCTTACTTTGTAAATAATATCTGTCTTGATGATTAGCCGATCTTTTTATTTTCGCTCAAATTTTGTATTTCTTCTTTTTCTTCTTCTTCGTCTTCTTTGTTTTGTTTTTTTTTGTATAAATACGCTTCTGAATAAAATTTCGGTTCTCGTTTTCTTTCGATTTTTATTTATTATTCAATGCGGCTCGCGAAGAGGTGCTCGTTAATTGATGGCACCGACCGCGACCAAACGAATTTTGAAGAGGGGAGAATACACCCCATCGTCTTATTTATATCGCAGCTTCGGTAAAACGAATCCACGATCAAAATCCTGGGCATTGATGGATCGCCAATCGCAATGGTGACGCTCCCTTGATCCCTTTGGACTCCAAGTATTTTCAAATGAACCGCCTTTTTCCTTTCGATTCAAACTCTGGCCTTGATCAACGATTCTCTACTCCTAAATCCACATCAATTCCATCGAAGGACGTCTCTTTATTTTAGATCGCTTTTTTCTTCCTTTTGTTTCATTGCATTCGTTTCTTTTTTTTATTTCCTTTTGAAAAAATGCAGACTTCGCACTCATCTAATAAAACCTACTATTTATTACTTTTTTTTCAATATGTTACTATTTGGATACTTTTTTTTAGATTTCAGCCACTAAAAGCTAATATTTTGGTTTTTTTTAGAATTTCCACTACTTTAAATACGCTAATCAAATCAAAAAACTATTCTCAAAAATTATAATCAAATTCTTTAAAACGATTCAATTATTTTCAAAAAATATTCGAAATTCAATTATTTTCAAAAAATATTCGAAATTCAATTATTTTCAATATCTATAGTATTTTCATCAAATTTCACAAAAGAATTCAATTATTTAAACAAAAATTGATAAAATTCATCCAAAATTCAATTATTTTTATAAATAATAAAATTTCCACAGAAATTCAATTAATTTAGAATAGCATTTTTTTAAAAAATTTTGAATTTCAAAATAATTCAATTACTATCACTAATAATATTTTTTATGTAAATTCAATTATTTAAAAACATTTTTGATAAAATTCTAATCAAGAATTCAATTATTTTCATAAATAATAAAACTCATCGAAGAATTTCAATTATTTTTAATAGTATTTTAAATTAATTAATCGAAAAATGCAATTATTTTAACAAATAAAATTTTGCATAAGAATTTCATATTTATTATATTTCGAAGAAATTAATTATTACAAACAATGTTGATACAATTCTTATAAAGAATTCAATTATTTTTAAAAATAACAAAATTTTCCACAGAAATTCAATTCTTTTTAAACAATTTAATAAAATTTTTCGCAATAATTCAATTATTTTCATAAATAATTAAATTCTTCTTAGGAATTTAATTAATTTACAAATATTTTAATAAAATTCTTAGCAACTGTATTCAATTATTTTCATAAATAATAAAATTCATTACAGAATTTCAATTATTTTTAATAAAATTTTACAGGAATTGATGAAAAAATGTAATTTTAATTCCTCGACGAAATGAATTATTTAAAAAAATGGTTTTTTTTTTACATTCTTTGGAAGAATTCAATTATTTACAAAAATATTCGAACTTTTCCCAGAAATTCAATTATTTTCAAATAATTTAATAAAATTTTTCGAAAAAAATCAATTATTTTAAAAACAATTTTAATTACATTTTTTTGAAATAATTCAATTATTTTTTTAGATTTTAATAAAATTCTTCTCAGGAATTCAATTATTTAAATTAGAATTTGGATAAAATTAGTTGAAAGAAATCAAGTATTTAAAAATTTTTATAAAATTATTCGCAAGAATTAAATTATTTTTATAAATATTTAAGTTCTTAACCCCACGAATGTTTCAAACCTCGAAAGTCAATTCCCCGAATGTTCAATACTTTGAAAATTCAAAGCCTCGAAAGTTTAAGTCTTCGAATGTTCAAAACCTAGAAAATTTAATTTCCCGAATGTTTAAAACCTCGAAAATTCAAAAAATCGTACGACTGGGATTTAATTTAAATATTTCAGAGATTGGTAAATAATACTTGAGATTTAATTTCAATATTTCGGAGATTCAAATTAATAGATTTAATTTAATTATTTTAGAGATTTATAATTAACACTTAAGGTTTAATTTAAATATTTTTGACATTAATATTAAATTACACACTTTTGGGATTTGATTTTAATTGAAATAAAATTTCCATTTACAGACTCTTGGGCCGAGGATCAATGCACGTATTCTCGAGGGACCAATTTCAAAAATTGATAGAAGTAGGCAATTATAAGGGACCATGGAATTCTCTCTTAGACTTAGGAGCTGGTGATGGAGCAATAACAGCCAATATAGCTCAACTCTTTGAGAAAGTATACACCACTGATATATCCGCACCGATGCGATGGGCCTTACAAAAACGAAAGTACATGTACGTATTTCTTCTTATTCACCAGTAGAAAATTTAGAAAAACTTTTCCGTTTCCACCAAAAACGCCGTGACTCTTATTTCCCTCTTAATTTCTGATGTCGAAAAATCAGAATCGAATTTTGACCTAAAGATTTGAACGTTCAAAAAAACGAAAATTTTTTTATACTTTGTTGAAATTTGAATTTTGTTATACAAAATTTTTTTTTAATCATTTATTAAATTAATTCGTTTCTATAAGTGTTCAATTTATTTTTTATCAAGTACTAATTTTATTCTAGTAATATTTTTGAAAATATTTGAATAAGAAAAAAATATTCGTGCATTTTAATGTTCAAGACGGAAAATGATTTTTTTGACAAGAAAAAAATACCATCGAGCCGAAATCATTTTCACGAATTACAGAGCTCGAACTAGGTCCGTAAATCTCGTAAAAGTTCGTATCTTTGTTTGAAGTCCGTAAAAGTCCGTTTTTTTGAAAAAAGGTCCGAAAAGTCCGTAATTTTAATGAAAAAGGTCCGTAAAAGTTCGTAAATTGTAGGATATAATTTGGATAATTTTAAAGAAATTACAAATTATTGTAGAAATTCAATTATTTTCAAAAGTAATAAAATTCTTCGCAAAAATTCAATTATGTTCAAATATTTTTAATAATTATCGGAAAAATTTCAATTATCTTTAGAAATAATTAAATTCTTCTTCGAAATTCAATTATTTCAAAAATTTTAATAAAATTCTTGGCAAAATTTCAATTATTTTCAAAAAACTTCCTCAATTCAATGATTTTTAATAGGTATCTACTAATATAATAAAATTTTCCAAAAGAATTCAATTATTTAAAAAAGAATGTAAAAAAATTCTGCACAAACCTTTAATTATTTTCAAAAAATAATAAAAATTTCACAGGAATTTCATTATTTATAAATTTCTTCGCAATCATTCAATTATTTTCATAAATAATAAAACTTTTATCGGGATTCAATTATTTTGCTAAATAATAAAATTCTTATTAGGAATTCAATTATTTTGATAATTGAATTGAATTTCAATTATTTTTAATACAATTTTAATCGAATTCCTCGAAAAAATTTAATTATTCTTAAAAATTTTATTAGAATTCGTCAAAAGAATTCAATTATTTAAAAATTTATTGATAAATTTCTTTATGAGAATTCAATTTTAAGAAACATGCAATAATTCAATAAATTGTTTTTTTTTTGGTGTTTAAATAATTGAATTCTAGTAGAATTTTCTCATAAAAATTGATTTAAAAATAGATTTCAGTTAAAATTTTTTATCATAATTGAATATTAAAAGCATTAGAGCGTAAATTTTAAGAAATAATTGAATTTTGAAAATGTTTCAGATTAAAATCTTTAAAAATTTGAATTTTTCATCTTTTTAACTAACAATTCTGTGGAATTAATTTTTTTGAGAAAGTTTAATTACGGATTTTTTTATATTATTTGAAGTTTTTATTTTTTAATATATATTTAATTGAAGAATTTTACGAATAATTGAAATTTTCTAAAATTGAATATTGTAAAAAAATGAATTTGAAAATTGTCAAAGAACTTTTTCGAAAATTATTAAAAATAATCGATTTTAAGAAGAATTTTAGTTAAAAATTCTTGAAAATAATAATTGAATTGATAATGATTTTATCACTCGGTCATCTTTAATTATTATAAAACATGAAGAAATCGATGACTCCGAGTCGAAGACTCGGAGTTATCGATATCTTCATGTTTTATAGTTATAAAAAATTTAATTTATAGTTTTAAATGAAATGTTCTCTTATTTGACTCGGACTGGAATTATTGAAAATTGATTCGAATTTTTTAGAATTGAAAATTTAGTAAGAAAATTAATTAATCTATATTCTATGGATTAAATCAAAATATTCGGGTTGATTGTTATAAAGAAAAAATTTATTTCAATTACGAAAGAGAATTAAACGTGAACATTTTTGCCTGAAAGAAAAAGACTTTTTTTTTGAACTTTTGCAAAGTTCAGAAACGTGTTGAATTAATGTGTGTATATATGTCGGAAGCGATAAGTGATTTTCGATTGTATAATTATATTGAACCGGAAAAATCGTGGCATTTATCTTAATCCAAAAATGATTTATAGATAAGATGAAATTTTCGTCTTCGGTTTCTTTTATGTATACTGATTCGAGAAAAGGTCTTAATTGACACCAGTCACTCACTTGAGACATTAGACGTGTCTTAAAGAGTATACACACACTATCACTGCCACTAACAAGTTTACCATACGAGATTGATTGGAGTAGAACTTTACGATGGTTTTACGCGCGCAAAACCAACTAAACTTGGAATAAAAGGGGACGCTACACCGGAGTAGCTCGAATTGCCACTGGAATTTCAAATAAGCATTGCGACGAACTCGTAACGCTTTATAGAAACTTATTTATCCAACCTCGACTACTGTAACATAGTTCAAGGACCTCACAAGACTTGAAACTTGATTCAATATTTTAGACGTCGTATTTGCAGTCACAATTTTTCTAAATTTTTACTAGTTGTAAGCGAATATTTCCTTTTTTTGTCAATCTTCATTTTTTTTGTATTTTTTTTTTTTTTTTTTTTTTGGAGTCGCGTGATATGAAATATTTTTGCTGTTGGGAAAATATATTTTTATTACAATCATTGAAAAGGGGTTCAAAGGGTTTTTAAAGACTTGAAAAAAAATAATTTGAAATTTTCATTATTGCAAGCTTTGCACTCAAATAAAAAAAATTTATTTGACACTTTTTTCACGATTTGCTACTATTTGGAAACTTTTTTTTATACTTGTTCCACTAAAAGCTAATTTTTTCTTTCTTTTTTTGAAAATTTGGACCGAGAAATAATTAAAATAAAATTAATGTTTTTTTCTTCAAAACAATAAGTTCAGGAATCAATTAAAAGGAATAATTTTATTTCAAAATTCTCATTTGTATTTTTAGAACTAATTAAATTTCCAAAGGTTTTAAATTGAAATTACGTAAAATAATTGAAGATTTGAATAATTTAATTTAGAAATTTTAAGAAAATGAGGGTTTAAAAAATTAAAATTTTTGGAAAATTTATGAAAATAATTTTAAAAAATTGAAGCAATTGAAAATTTTGTAAAATTTTATTGAAGTAAATTTTATACCTATATATAAAAGAATTTAATTTTTTTACTTCTAAAAATTATGTTAAAATGTAATTGTATTTTTTACGAATTCTGACTGAAAATTTGGAAAACAATTGAATTTTTAATCAATTTTAATTGAAATTATTTAAGATTTTAATTTCTTTGAAAAAATAAATAACAATAAATATTTAAATATTTATTTAACAAAAATTATTGAACTTTTGAATAATTTAATTTAAAAATTCTGATAAATTGAGGCTTTTGAAATAATGATCGTATTTTCAAAGAATTCTAACTGAAAATTTGGAAAATATTTAATTTTTGGATAGTTACGTTTTTACTACTTCTTTTTTTGTCTTTAACTACTTTTTTAAAAATTAATTAACGAGTGCAAAGTCTGTTATTCTGTCTCAATGACTGAGGATATTTTAAATTGTATTTTTTCACTTGTTTTTTTTTTTTGCGAATACGAAACTCGAATTTTAGAGAATCGGGATATTTTTTTAATGCCATGAATGACTATTATTTGTATCGAAATAATTTCAAACGATACACAAATCTTTTTTTCTCAAAACAACTGCAGACTATAAAAAATTGTTTCCCTTTTTCTGACGATTTTTTTACCGACTGCAAAAGTGACAATACCGATTTTTTTTCCAAACAAGACGCATTATAAAGAATATTATTTGACCAAGTATTAAACCGGTAATTACAAAAAATATCCTATTACTTTTGTTTCTATTTTATTTTACCTCACCACAAATATATTTAAAAATTTTTGTTCTAATCAAATTCTTTTTCTATTTTAATCCAGAGTTTTAGATGTGGAGAAATGGCCCGATAGTAATGGACCATTTGATGTGATTCTTGCTCTAAATTTATTGGATCGTTGTGATAAGCCTAATACATTGCTGAGACAATTGAAATCATCATTGTCACCTGGTGGCCGATTAATAATTGCCTTGGTGTTACCATTCAGTCCCTATGTGGAGGTTGGAGGTCGTGGCGATCACAAACCATCGGAATATTTACCAATAAAAGGCTCTGGAATTGATGGACAAATTGCCAGTTTAATTGATCGTGTTTTTTCACCATTGGGATTAAATTGTCTTGCATGGAGTAAATTACCTTATCTCTGCGAAGGAGATTTGGCCCAAGCCTATTATTTTCTCAACGATTATATTTTTGTTCTAGAAGCTCAAGAAGTAATTATCTAAACAATTGACAAAATTTTCCATAATTTTATGAAATTAAAATAATATTTTTAAAATTTATGTTTATTTTTTTCTTTTAACAAATAAAAATTTTTTGTTTTAATTATTTATAATTAAAATAAGTATTTTAAATGACTATCATTAAAGGTGTGTGATTTTTTTGAGAAATGCAAATTGAATAGTTTGTACAGAAATCGGATTTTAAAGGGTTAAGTAATTTTAATTAAATTTATTATTTACCAATTGTTAATATTAATTGTCACTAGAATATTTTTCGAAGATATAAGTTAATAGAAAATATTTCCTTTTTTCAGAATGACGCCTAAATTAAAGAAGAATGAAATAAAACGCAGTGTCACGCTTGTTAAAAGGTTTTAATTATTATTTTTTTGAATTAAATGACGCGTGAATACAGAAGAGCAATACTGACAAGCGACGACGAGTTAGTGTATAGTTATAGCGACAGCATTGGTGAACATTATGTTTCGTGAGTATAAGTGGATCAATTACTAACATTGCATTTATCCGTTTTACATTTAACATCATTTAGAATTCATTCAATGACACAAACGAAGAGTAATTTATTTTTTATTAAAACACATGTTATACATTCATGTGAGTAAAAATATTCAAAGAAAAATTTTTTTCAGTTTAAATATTAAACTTAAAATAAATTAATTAAGTTTAAACTCTTAATATTATAAATTAATTTAGTATAAACTTAATTACAATAATTTTAAATTATTAACCTTCTAAAATATATTTATTTGTATTTTATTTTTTTAACTAATTATTTATTTAACTCTTAAGTTATTTATTTAATTATAAAATATTTTGCGTCTATGTACTTTAAATATTCCCAATATTCCAAAACTTAAGTTTCGTATTTTTTGTACAAAAACTTTTTTTATTTGTATATACATTTTTTTCTCGTAAATTGTAATATATATTTTAATAATAAAGATAAATTATTTCGTTTTGTGTATTGAATTGAATACAGTGAAATACTTGACAACCATCAGAGTAATTTGAGTGCTTTTAAAAAATGGTAACTATTTACCACAGTTAGCATTTTCCTGTTGTTGAAGAATAAGACGCGAAACTTGGAAATTTATTTCCGAAATTTGATTTCTTTTTGTATTTATAAGTTAGATCTTTAGAAATAATATACGTTACTGTAAAGAATTTCATTTCAACCAAATGTAGTAGATTTTTGTACTTAGTTTTAATAAATTATTTGATAGAATAATAATTTTAAGGTAGATGTTTAAATTTTAGATTAAATTTCAATTTTTAAATTTATAAATTGAAAATTTAGAATAATATTGAAAAGAAAATTGATTTAATAATGTAAAATTTGAAAATAGATCTGAGATATTTGAAAATAGAAGAAAGGAAACATTTCGTTGAAATGAAATTCTACAAAGGTCAAATTGAAAATGATCTTGAGACAATCATAATTTATGATCTTCTTTGTAAATGCATTCTTATATTAAAAAGAATATATTGGCGATTTAATCCAAAAATCGCGTCATGTCTTCCGTGTTCTTACAGATAAGACTTGAATTACATATATTAGAATACGTTTAAAACATCTTGTTCTCGATTTTACACAAATTCTTTGGTAAACACGGTTTCTGTCATGAGATATGCATTTATTTCTATTTTAAATATATTTTGAAACCAAGACTGGAAATATATATAAATATATATATATTTATAGTAATCAATAAAGAAAACTAAATATTATTAAAAAACTTTCGGATGCATCGAATTTCAAAAATTTTGCTATTTATTGACAGAAATAAATAACAACAAATTAACAATTGATAATTGTTTATTAAAGATTGTTTTCCATATTTTTTACTGAAATTTCTTAAATGCATCCAATAGTTAATGTTACAGTAGATAGAAAATATATTTAACGAAATTGTTTACAAAGTAAAAAATGCATAATAAAGCAATATACCAGTAAGGACATTTTCAATTCATATGACTATAATTTTATCTTTGAATATAAGAAAATTTTTTATATTTTAAATGCTTTTAGTGTATCCACTCTATGTAATGCGAAACGATTATTATTTGCAATAATAATAATAAAAAATAATGTGCGAAAAACAATTATATGTTAACGATTATATCTTTATGTTGCTGTTTTCTATTAAAATCATACGTAATATGCATTTTAAAAATTATAAACTATTTACCTTACAGTATTTACGTGACGAATATTAAAGATATAAACGTAGCTAAAGTTTATAAACAAAAACTAATTATCAAAACTCAACAGGTTTTCTAATTTATTTTAATGTGAAATCAATACGCTTTTTTATCTTTAAGTTGATGATGATGATGATGAAAAAATAAAGTAAAAATTAATAATATATTGCTTTAAAAAATGTTGTTCTTATAAAAAATCATATTTTTTTATACATATTATTATTTGTAACAAAATAATTTTTATTCTTTTAATATGATATTTTTATAAAACATGTTTAAAAAATTTATTTTAAAAATTTACAAAAGTTAGATTTTATAAAAAGATATTTAAAAAAAGCGTAATGATAGTCTATTTAGTCTAGTCAAATAGTATACGAGAATTTAATGAATTAAATATCTTGATATTACAACATTGATCTGAAAAATATGCTGATATCCTGCCTGTGGAGCTTTTATGGAATTTTATTTTAAAAAAAAACTTGTCTTGCATCGTCCCGAATGTACTTACACATTAAATAAAAAAGACAAAAACAATAACAATGGTTTTCTTTCAATTTGACAAAAACATTTATAATAAACATTAATTTCTCTCACGCAATGATCGTGAAAATATGTAAACAACCAAAGTGCACAAATTCATATTTATTACCGAAATATTATACATAGTTTCTAATTTTGTTCGTCAATGGTTCTTTTCCTGGAATTATAATAAATATTGTGCGACTAGAATAATTAAAAACTTTTTGTCCTCCTTTTTTTTGTAAAAATGATATTAAAGCCTTCGATTTTTTTGTTTATTAATTTCATTGACTAGTCGAATTTCATCTTTGTATATTATATAAAATATTTACTAATCAAACAATATAAAAAAAAGGATATGTCACAAAATTATTTACATAAAAATTGTTTAAAAAAAAAGAAAATTTGTTCGTCATCCCGACGAGCACCACAAAACAAGTTACAATTTTTCCCTTTTTTTGTTGAAAATTGTATCTTATAAAATTAATATTTAGAAAGTTTTTTTTACCTCCTTTACGCAACAATTTCTGTTTGGTTTTAGTATCCATATTTTATCACAGTCCACGCATGTCTCCAAATTTTTTTTTCTCCTACAACACAAAAGTCCTAAACGCCAACGTCTTTGAGCAAGCCATTTATTTTTTTACCATTTCTTTCCCTTTTTTTAAAACAAATTCCATCCAGTGATTTAATTTGACTAGTACACTGTATACTGGAATATTATTACTCAGTCCCGTTTTCGTTGTTCGCAAATATCGTCCAATCCGGCTTTTCTGTAAATAAAATAAAAAAAAATAGTTAGAATTTTTTTTTACTTTTTTATATTTGTAAAAGAAGGACTTACAAAGATGGAAGATATTGAATAGTGCTGTGATCTAAACGGTGTTTATCTTCGTTTTTCCAACTTGATACGGGAATATGCGGTGGAGGCAAGAAACTTCTTAATGATTGCACGAGTTGTATGGTATCAACCAGAGCTGAAAAATTAGGGAGAAAAAAAAATTCGATTATTTAAAGTTAATGAAATATTGAAAAATAAATTAATTACTCTTTTGCAGGGCCTCCGACTGTTTGCCATAGGGTTTGCACATTGATGGACGAACACAGGTCTTCATTTTGTAGATATTCTTCATCATCTCCTGGAAGCCTCTCACAATCTTCTCTTGACCTCCTGAGTAAGTGACAAAAATTTGTTTATTGCAATTTTTATACAGAAATTAGTTTGTAGATATAATACTTTAAATTTCATGCATAATTATAAATTATGCATTCAAGTGAAATAAGCGAAACAAAATTAAAACAAAAATCAGCGAAATTAACGTTTCGGTAATGAAAGGGAAAGAAGAATAAATGAATTCTTTCTACCTTCAGATATTGCTGCCGATGAGCGAAAATTACTGTCAGCCTCTGACAATGGCCAAGCGCCATTATGCAAAGCGAGTAAATCTTTATTGGAATTTCCCAAACCAATTGCACCGATTCCCTCAATATTTTCCAAATTCGTTCTTAGAAAATCACTCAATTTGTGCGTCTCTGTTATTGGAATATTTGGAATCAATGGCTCGTAATGTTTGCTAGCTTGTTTCTTTTCTTGGGGACCAGGCCGATGTGGAATATTTAAGGACGGACGACTGGGTGGTCGTTGAATCATTGGATTGACACTGCTTCTCATCTCAGAGAAATCGGCTCCCTGTCCACCCATTAGTGTATTTTGATTTGGTCCACTTAGTGCCTATTGGGTACAAAAAATATTTTTTTTTTAGAATTTATAAAAGAAAATAGAAATCCAAATTTCTAAAAGAGTAAAACCTGAAGATCGGAGGAATGTGGAAATGATGATCGTAATAGAGAAGCCGTTGTTTCGTTGTCCTGAATATAAGTTGGCCGCATTGATCCTATTTTTTGTGTTAGTTCAAGTTGATTTTTGTAAAATCGACAAGCCTCATTGGGACAATTTTGTACAACTTCGACAATAAATTCCTTCTCCATTCCAAAACATTCGCGACCAATTGTATATGATTCCATGACTGCGCGTACGGTTCCTTCTAAAGTCACATGCATACCGTGTGGTCCATTCATGTGTTTAATCATCACTGCATTTGCAAAATGTTCAAATGGAAGAATTATTTTTCCATTTTCCCGAAGAACAAGTCGTCCTTGCGAATCCATGGCCACTCGTTGCGCTACCATTCTAAAAATGATGAAATTAGTAAATATAGTAATTGTTCTTGGCAAGATTTTTATTAAAATTCTTTAAAATAATTGAATTGTTTTAAAGAATTTATTTCAGTTTTCTTGAAAATAATAGAGTTTTTTAAAAATAATTTTTACTGAAAATTTTGAAAGTTATTGAATTTTATGAAGATTTTCTTTTAAGTTTTTAAATAATCGTGTTTACAATTAATTGTATTTAATAATTTTTCTATTAAATTATATTAAAATTATTCATAGAAAATTAAATTCTTTTAAAAATTATCATAATATAGTGATAATAATATAAAAATAATCTTACTGAAGATATGCTGGACTTGGTACCATGGACGCTTCTTTCATTTCCGTTAAGTACTGAAGTAATTCGATGCTTTGATTCCATCCCTTATTTGTCAAATAGCATTGAAGTAATGAGTACATTTTTTCTGTTATGTATCCAGCACCACTTGCGGCTGCTGGATAACCAGAACCTCCTCCTGGTGGACCCATTTCTGTTTGCATTCCTTTAGCGACTATGGTTTTCATAGTTTCCACTAAATCCATTCTGCAAATACAAAATTTCAATTTAATACAAATCATCTAATTAAAAGAAAATTCTACTAATTACCGTTAATAATCAGAAAGCCTTCAATCACAATTATTTCATTCAATTGTTAAATTTTAAGTAAATAGAAAACTCAGTAATTAGTAAGACTAATTAAATAAGTAAAAACCTAATTTTGCTATTAAATAATTACTTAAATTATTTAATTTTATTAAAGTATTTTTTAACTTTATTAAATTTTATAAAATTAATTTACTGCTAATTATTTACATTAGCCACAAGTATTTTAATTGGATTTTTTTCCAAATGAATTAACAACAAAAACAAAAGTTTCATTATTTAAAAAAAATCACGTGTTGCATAATTTGATAAATAGAAGCAAACGAAAAAAACAATGTTGCTTTATTGCATCAATTATTTGTTGGGCGCGGATATTAAATAAAATGCAATAAAAGAAAAATTGAAGCAGGCACCGCCCCCTTTTTTACGAGACATATACAATAAAATGAAAATATTACCCTAATTTGCCACGTTCTCGCCATTCACGATAACTTTTATTAAAATCGCTGATGAATTAAAGACACAAATCTCTTCGATTTGTTGGTATTTTTTCCTTAATTAAAGCACTATTTATGCATTTGTAACAATAAAACAAAATCGCGACAATTATTTTTTGCGAAAAGAACTTCCCATTGGTACCGATAGAGGCGCGTTTTTCAATTTTTCTCAAGGCGACTTTACACTGAAACACAGCTTTCTGATTGGTTAATAGAAAAACTACCGGAATCAATAACGTGATTAATATTTACTCTGGGAATTTTCCAGTTTTTCAGTGATGTTTCTAGTGAAAAAATCCCATGTCTTTGGATAATAAAATGAATAAAATTAATTTTCTCTATTTGCAAACGAACAGTAAAAATTGTAAAAATTTTTCAAGTGAAAATAGTGAATAGCCTCCGTAATTTTTACATATTTTGAAGGTAAGTTTATTTATTATAAGAAATTAAAATAAATTTCTAGAGTGCGCATTGTTGCCAACATTGTAAGATATGCATGATTACCAACAAACGTTTTGCGAAAACGTCAAAAGTCCACCAAATAATGTAAACATGGCCTCGCAACGCAGTCACGGTGTAGAAAGAGTTTTATCAAAATTGGAGTCATCAATAAATTCCGGAAACTATTATGAAGCTCATCAAATGTATAGAACATTATATTTCAGGTAATATCAATTTATTAGGAAAACTCCATTTCTTTATTTAAAACCACCAGTCGTCAACGTCATCTAACCTCAACTTTCAGATACTTGGGGCAAAGAAAGTACACCGAGTTATTGAAATTACTTTATAAAGGATGCGTATTGCTCACACAACACAATCAGGTAATTTTATTTCTTTATTTTTAAATACCGCTGAATGAAATTTTCATTTGCTTGTGGTTTTTTTTCTCTTTTGATTTTCGAGTGTGTACTACAAAGTTCTGATATTGAGCCATATGATTTATTGCTTCTCCTTTTTTGTATTATTATAAATTATTCCTTCTAATTTAAATATTATCTTTGACGTTTTTGCAATTTAAAATTGGTTAATGACTGTTTTACTGATCGGAATGACTCTGCATCAATATGTATGAAATGTATAACGAACAATGAATTAAGTGCGGTTATAATTCTTGGATTTTATTTAATTTCATTCATTTCATTGTAATGACATTTATAGATTTTTACTATTTTTCTTTTCTCTTCTAGTTCACAAGTGGAGCTGATTTGGGAATTTTGTATATTGATGTATTAACAAAGGCAGTGCCGAATCCTTCGGAATGTTATTTTAAGGAAATTGTATATTTACTTAGTGTAATGAGTCCATCGACACCGGAGAGAGAAACCTTTATTCACGAGGCTCTTCGATGGAGTGTAAAGGGCACGAATTACAAAACAGGACATCCTGATTTACATCAAAAGATAGCTGGAGTATTTTGGAATGGTGAGAAATCAGGAGAAGAAAATATTTCGAATTTTAAAAGAAAATGTTAATGAAATATTATTTTCTTTTTTTAGAAAAAAACTACTCGATGGCTAGGCAACACTTTTTATACAGTAAAGACGGTTCTGGATATGCCTCAATGTTAGTGGAACTTCATTTGGAAAAGGGTTATTTTAGAGAGATTGATCTCTTTATAGCCCAAGCAGTTTTACAGTAAGAAAAGGGACAAATATTTAAAAATAATTATTTAACAATGTACTTTTCTCTTTTTAACATTTTGTTTATAATCTACAGATATCTTTGTCTGGCAAACAAAGCGACAGCGCAGGAAGTTTTCGTTTTTTATACTTTACGGCATCCTCGAATAGAAGGACCTCCGTATATATACCCTTTGCTGAACTTTTTATATTTTCTACTAAAAACAATTGACTCGTAAGTAAATAAAACACATAATAACAAAATATTTTAAAAAATCACATAATTAACTACAATAATTCGAATGTTCTTTCATTCTTTCATTCATTCACTTTTTCTGTCCCTCACACTCTGAATTTTTCTTTTCTTTATACTTTTGTTTTTTGTTATCTTTAGATAGATTGTATAACATTATATTATTACTAGCCAATGTTACGCGCGGATTGTGATATTCAATTTATTATTGTTATGCAAATAACAAAATTTTTTATTTTCAAATATAAATTTTTTAAATAATTTCATAATCAAAATTTAAAAAATTTTACGAAAGAATTCAATTATTTTCTAAAATTTTAATAAATCCTTCTAAACAATTGAATTATTTTTTTAAATAGTAAAATCTTTACAAAAATTCAATGATTTTCAAAACAATTTTAATTAAATTCCTCGGAAGAATTCAATTTTTTTTTAAATTTAATAAATCCTTCAAAAAAATTCAATTATTTTTATTTAAATAGTAAAATTTTTTACAAGAATTCAATTAATTTTATAAATAGTAAAATTCTTTGCGGAAATTCAATTATTTTCAAAAATTTCCATGAAATTCAATTTCAACAGGAATATTAAATTTTTTTAAAAAAATGATTAAATTAGTCTCAAAATATTTTTAAAAAATTCTATATAAAAATTAAATTACTTTCAATGCAATTTTTAAATATGTTCGTGAAAAAAACTAAAAACATTGAATTATTTTCAAAAAATAATAAAATTCTTGTGATGAATTCAATTATTTTGAATAAAGTTAAATTTATTAAAATTCTTTAAACAAAAAAAAAATTATTTTGAAACAACTTTAATTGAATTTTTCGAAAAAATTTCATTACTAGCAAATATTTCTATAAAATTCTTCATAACAATTTAATTATTTTTAAAAATTTTAATAAATTCTTTCGAAACATTTCAATTATTTTTGTAAATAGTAAAATTTTTCACAAGGATTCAATTGTTTTTAATTTAATTTTAATAAAATTCTTTTTCATGAAATTCAATTGCTTTCAAAATTTTCAATTAAAATTATGAAAGAAACTCCATTAGTTTAAAAAAAATTCAAAGAAATTCTTCATAAGAATTTAATTAGGATTTTTAAAAATTTTAATAAAATTCTTTGAGAGAATTCAGTTATTTTCATAAATAATAAAATTCTTTGAAGGAATTCTATTATTATCAAATTTTTTGATAAAATTCTTTGCAACAATTCGATGATTTTCAATACATTAAGGTCATGTTATTCAGTGGTCACGTGTTCCCATAGTGAAGTATATGGAGCACGTGACCACTGAATAACATGACCTTAATTTTAAAATTGAAAATATTGGAAAGGAAAAATTATAAAAAAATTTAAGAAACAAAAAAGAAAACAACTAAATTTAAACTGCGAACAGATTACCGGAATTTTTGAAAATAATTGAAATCAGGACAAGAATTTTTTTCACATTTATGAAAATAATTGAACTTTGGAGATGAATTTTGTTATTTATAAAGATAATTGGGATTTTTACGAGAATTTTTTTCAAATTTTAAACATAGTTGAATTTTATTTTATTTTATTTTTTTTTAAATAATTGAATTTCTGCAATTATTTGTAATTTTTCCAAAATTGAATTTTTTTAGTGTTTTCAACAAAAGTTTAAATTAGAAAATTTTTTAATTCTATTATTTTTAAAATTGCTAATTTTATTTTAAAAAGGTAATAAAAGTTAGCCGCACAAATTGTTGCTAGTTAATGTATAAAAATCAATTCAATTATTATTTACTAAAAAAAGAATATTTATTTCAGAGGAAAAGTAGCAGTTTTTACAATTCTCTGCAAACAATATCGAATAAGTATAAATAGAGATCCAAGTTACGAGCAATATTTGGATAAAATAGGACAACTCTTTTTCAATGTTGCACCGGCACGACCACGAAATCATGGAATTTTTGGTTCTCTATTACAATCATTCTTTGATGGACTTGGCGATGAGGAGTTTAATGTTGAAGAACAGAATGCAGCCTCTACCTCTCAAGCTGGCCAGGAATTAGACTGATTAACAGCGTGCCACATGTGCGCTGCTTAATGTAAGTGAGTTGAACATTAAAAAAAAAAGAAAAAAAAATGAAATGAAATGTACCTTTTTACGCCCCAGATACTTTCAACAAGTGCACTTAAAAGATGAAAAAAAGCACGAAACAGCTAAATAATTGTTTTAGATGCTGGAACTATCTTAAGAACGATTATCATTTTTATAAGAAAAAAAACGTCAGTGTGCAAGGAAAAAAAAACAGTAAAAATGTGAATGTACCTGGGGCAATAGTAATCGCGAAAAGAAAATTTTTTAATAAATCGCATAATTCAACTTTTAGTGGAACGTGTCTATTTTTTTAAAAATTTGTTCCAAAATTTACGCTGAGAAGAATTTTCAATAATAGAATTTTTATTGAATAAAAATTTCAATTTGAAAACAGAAATTTTTTTCCAAACTTTTATTCAATAATTCTACTATAGATAAAAATTTACTTAAAATTTGGACTAATTTTTAAAAATTGAATGCGTTCCTTTTTAGCTAGTTTCTGTAAGTTACATTGACGTCCCCCGCATTTTTTTTTAAACTTTCCAATTTTATTCGTTATCTATTGTCAAGATAACATTTTTTTTCTATTTTTACCCCCAAAACATAGTTCTATAAATTGAAATTTTATTATCCGCCTCGCATAAATCAAATATTTTAAATAGTGATGCCAAAGAATTTGTTTGAGAATCGAAAATAAGATTTTCATTTTTTTTCTTTTTACCTAAATAACAAAGGAATTTACGAAAAGTTATCTTCCGATTGAGAAATTCTTTGCTTTCAATACACGATAGTAATCAAGAAACTTCCTCGAAAAAAAAGAAAATAAAATAAACGTCCTATTTCTTTATGTGCAAAACTTTTTTTTTTTAAGAAAAAAGTTATTTCATCAATTACATGTGTAATATAATATATAAATTTATACAATTACCGAATTGCACGTACGATCTTTTTTACATGAGCCTTGAGGCAAATTCAAGAATGCAACTTACAAAACAACGTTAAAAAAATTAGTAAATATTGAAATATTTCAATGTGTGCATAAAAAGCAATTTTTGCGCTAATTATGAATTTTAGGCGCGCATCAATTTTAAAAATAGTTCCACCTTGTATAAATTTTTCTTTTTTGTTTGAAAGACTCTCTCTCTCTCACATCAGAAATTTACATAACTAATATAACATTAGAATGAGAGAAAAGAATCGTTATTTTACATAAGCTGAATTGTAACAAATAAACATTAAAGCAGCTTTTATGTAAAGTACAATCACAACTTTTGCTAATTAATTAATTATCGAATTCTTAATATTTGTAATATTTTAATGACCGATAGAAAACGACGTATTTATTAACTGCCACTGACTTGAATTATTAATCATAAGCAAAGAATAGAAAATTTGTGGCCATTATTTATGTTTTTAAATTTTTGCAATAACGTGAGTGATTAATACTGGATTATTATTAAAGAAAAAAGAATATTTTATTTTAGAAACAATAAATTCTCTTTATTATTATGAATTACAAGTTTTTTTTAGTTTTTTTTCTTTTTTGAAAAAGCAATTTTATGTGGAAAAATAAATGGGTTATAATTGTGTTGATTTTAAAAAGAAATCTATCTTGAAATAAATGCAATGTATTTTTTAGTTTATAATAAAAGTGAAATGATCTCGTATGAATTGAAATAATTTGAAATAAAAATACATATTATAATAAAATTTGAGATCAGTATTCGTAATTCATTGATTGTCACGATTGATAAAAATTCGCAAATTAATTTTAACTAATAGCGTCAAAATATGTAATAATGCTCAGAAAAATTGAGAAATCAAGTGATCCCTTAATATGTTTTACCTTTTTATGGTTTAATCTTTTATGGTAGGGACAATAATTTTTTTCTGAGTATCGCGTGATAACAATTATATAAAAGAAAACTTATTTTTCGTCACATGTAAAGAAATGATTAAAAAATATTCATTTCTATTGTTTTGTCACTAATTCTTTTGTTTTTCTAACGGTAAGACAATTTGACAATGTTTAATTTCAAGCACTTTCCATGAAAAAAATTAGTAATATTTTTATTGACTAAGATAAATGCTAAGAAATAATGTGACATTTTCGACATGCAATAAAATCAGAATTAAAATAGGCTGCTGTTATTTATTATTACCAAAAAATAAAATAATACAAGTATAGAAAAATATATAAATGCGAAATTGATAAAATTACTTATTTTCTTTTAGTGGGAAATTATTGTTTCCTACGGAATAAAAAATTAATTTTCAATATGAAAATTCTGGGGATTTTTTTTTTAATGTATCGAAAATTTGATTAGATTCGAAAATACTAATTGATTCAGTAATCTTCGAAGCCTGGTAGAGAGAATTGATTGGAGAATTTTTCCACTTCTGATCTTAGTGATGTAATTTTTTCCTTGATTGTGTCATTAGTTTGTAGAACTTTGACGTAATCGACAAGTTTTGGACCTGATAAGGCCGTTGCTTCCTTAACCAGCTTTAAGCCTAAAGAAAACAAAAATAAATTATGTAAATTTATTGATTGAAATACTTTTTTTAAAATTATATTTGTCAGGCTCCGCACTCGTCTACTAAAACCAATTATTATTTACTAGTTTTTTTACAATTTGCTATTATTCGAATACTTTTTTAAGACTTGAAGCACTAATAGCAACTTTATTCTTTCTTTTTTGAAAAAAAATTTTTTTTTAATTAAAATAATAATTACCTAATTATTATTTTATTATTCTCAAAAACTTTAATACAGATTTTCGCAAGAATTCAATTATTTTTAAAAACAATAAAATTTTCCGCTGGAATTTAATTAATTATCTTCAATTTAATTTCAATATAATTCTTCGCAAAAATTCAATTATTTTCATAAACAATAAAATCCTTCACCGAAATTTAATAACTACGAATTTCAATTCAAAAACCTTTAATTTTTACTATTTCTGTCAGTAATTTATTTAAAATAATTTAATTCTTGAAGAACATTCATAAAATTATTATCTACAAATTATTATACGAATTAAAAATTACAAAAATAATTGAATTTTAGAAAAGTTCTGTTTACAATTTCTATATAAATAATTGAATTTCTAATAGTTTCGAAATAAAATTTTAAAAACTTTGAATTTCAAATGAATTTAATTAAAATTTCTGAAAAAATTAGTTTTTAAAAAGTTTTTATTAAACATTTTTTGAAATTAGTTAATTTTTTGAATAAACATTTAATTGGAAAATTTTTGAATAATTGAAATTTCGTAAAATTGAATACTAATTTTAATTAAACAAGTGGATTTCAAAATTAGTTTAGGTGAATTTTCTTTTTTCTCTAAATTATTAAATTCTTAAAGAACATTTTCAAAAAAATTTTTAAATAATTGATTGTGAGAAGAATTTTAGTTAAGAATTCTAGAAAATAATTGAATTGATAACTTGAAAATAATTTTCGAAAAGTACAGTAGCAATTCTTAAACGTTATTAAATTTTAAAAGGTTTGAAATCTTTTAAAATTTTATTTACTTAAAAAAGAATAATAATATTCAATTATTTATGCTTAAAAATTATTAGTTAATTATTTTTCTGAAAAATTACTAAAGTCTTGAAGAATTTCAAAAAATAATTGAATTCTTCTATAGAACTTTTTGATAAGAATTGATTTCAAAAAGAATTTTACTTACAATTTTAGAAAATAATTGAATTTTCGAAGAATTGCAGTTGTAAATTTTGGAAATAATTAATTTTCAAAAGGTTTTACATTGAAATATTATTAAAAATTTTAATTCCTGTTGAAAAATAAAAATAAAAAAATAAAATAAATAACAATAAGTATTTAAATATTTTGTTAATAAAAATTATTTAACTTTTGAATAATTTAATTAAGAATTTCTGAATAATATGAGGTTTTTTAAAAATTTGAATTAAAATTTTTTGAAAATAGTTGAATTCCTGAAAATAATTTTCAAAAATTGAAACAGTTGGAAATTTTTGACATATTTCATTGAAATAAATTATATGTTCTAAAAAATTTAATTTTTTGACTATTAAAAATTATGTTTAAATGTAGAAAATCTTATTTTTTGAAGAATTCTGACTGAAAATTTGAAAAATAATTGAATTTTACAAAACGATTCTTTTACTATGTACTTCTTTTTAATCTTAAAACTACTTTTTCTTTTAATTAAAAGAATAAATAATAAATATTTTCAAATAATTATTATTTAATTTAGTGCGAAGTCTATATTGTTAATATTTTGATTATTATTACCTTTGTCGATGAAATCAACGACTGTATCAATGTCGTCTTCTTTTAAACCACGTGTTGTTAGAGCCGGTGTTCCAAGTCGAATTCCACTTGGATTCAATGCACTCTTATCGCCTGGCACTGTATTTTTATTGCAAGCTATTGAAATCTCCTCAAGAATTCTTTCGGCTTTAGCGCCTGAAATTCCCGTTGAACTTAAATCAACCAAAATCATGTGCACTTCAGTTCCATCGGTTGTTATTTTATATCCACGTTTCTGTAGTTCGGAACATAAACGTTTTGAATTTGCGACAATTTGCTTTTGATATTCCTTGAATTCGGTAGTTTGAGCTTGTTTCATTGTTGTGGCTATTCCAGCGATTGCATGATTATGTGGACCGCCCTGAAGTCCCGGGAATACTGCCTGATTAATTCTATTCTCCAAATCGTACATTATTTTCTCGCCATTCTTTCCAATGCTTCTCACTCCTTTTCGATAGAAAATAACACCGGCTCGCGGTCCTCTACAAAAGGCAAATAGTAAAAATTAGAACTGATTGACAAACTAAAATTTAATTCAGAATCAATAAAATTTGACAGAAATTTAATTCAAAATCAATCAAAGTTAACTGAAATTTAATTCAAAATCAATAAAAGTTAAGAGAAATTTAATTCAAAATCTTGATTTTGAATTAAATTTCTCTTAACTTTTATTGATTTTGAATTAAATTTCTGTTAACTTTTGTGGACAAAATTTGACCTACCGTAATGTTTTGTGGGTTGTTGTAGAGACAACGTCACTGTATTCAAATGGACTGGGAATAATTTTTGCCGCAACTAATCCGGCAACGTGAGCCATATCACTGAAGAGATACGAATTATTTTCCGTTGCAATTTCTTTGAAGCGTTTGTAATCCAAACATCTACTGTAGCAGGAAACGCCGGCAATGATTATTTTCGGCTTAAAGAGTTTCGCCTCCTCGGCAAGTTTATCGTAATTTATCAAACCAGTCACTGGATCAACTTTATATGGCATTGATTCGAAAAATATTGACGTCGCCGAAATCTTCTTGTTGGCCGTAAAGAAACCTGTTAAATTTGAATTTGAATTTAAATTAATTAATTAATAAATTTCCTTCTTATTAATTAATAAATGAATTAATGAAATTCATTTATTTACAATATTTGTAGATATTTTCTCATCGTTTTCAAGATTTCAGGGTGGTCACAAGTTTCAGTTTATCAATTTCCCTGACAATTTACTGACGTTAAAATTATTTTCCCTAACGACATTTTTTTTACAGGAAAATTTATGAAATTTAATAATTTCTAAAAATTCCAACTATAACCCTTTCTGAATTCAATTATTTTCTATCTGAGATTTTTTCCCCAAGTCTAGAAATTCGAATCCTTTAGCTCAAAAGATGGAAAACAATTGATTAGAATAGAATTTTTATTTCCTGGTCTTTCTTGGTCTTTAAAAATTATTTATAGAATTTTCTATTTACCATGAGTGAGATGACCTCCGTCAGGAAGATCAAGACCCATTATTCGACCGTGTGGTTCAATTAATCCAGTGTAAACGGCAAAATTAGCAGGACTTCCAGAATATGGCTGAACATTGCATCCCCATTCTTCGGGATTTAAACCGAATGCTTCCAAAGATCTTTTTTGCGCCAAAATTTCAATTTCGTCTATAAATTCATTTCCTCCGTAATATCTGTGAAAATTGAAAACTTTTTACATAAAAGCAAAATTTGCAAAATATGCTTAAATTTTTTAGAAAATGTGTCTAATTTTGTAACAAACAAATTTCTACTTGAAATTTTTCTTTTGTGTTTAAAATACCTTTGGCCCGGTTGACCTTCGCTGTATTTATTATGAAGACATGAGCCGAGGCATTGAAGAACACTTAGAGATGTGAAATTTTCACTAGCAATCATCTCTAAACCAGATGTTTGGCGTTTCTTCTCCTTCTTGATGAGGTCAAATAATTCCGGATCATTTTCCCAAAGATTTTTCTTCAGCAATGCTGCCATATTCTGTTTTTAGACAAAAGAAAAAAATATTTCGTTAGTACCATAGAAAAATAAGAGAATTTATAAATAATTATAATAATTATATAAAAGCATTTCTCAGAAAAATTTTCTTCTTTTCAATAACGTTTCTATTTTAAATGTTTACAATTGCCAAAATAAATAAATTATAATAATTAGATTATTAATTAAAATAATTATATTATTATATATAAATTAAAATACTTATATTGTTATAAATAAATTATAATAATTAACTTTTTAATTTAAGAAAAAAATATGAATCTTTTCGATAAGAAAATAAAGAAGCTGAATGTTGCAGATAAGACAAAGCTTCTTATCGTTTTTTTTGCTAGCAATGATCTTATTCTTTACGAATAATTTCATAGAAAATGTAAAAAAAAGATTTTCAAACAGATTTTATTTTAAAACATTCAAAAATATCAACTATTCTTATTTTTGAAAGAAAGAAAACAAAAAGCAACTTTCAGAAGAATTCTATTTTCAAAAACTATTCTATTTTTAATTTTTGCAAATTGTCAAAATTAATAATTACAATATTTATTTATTTACTTTTACTTATAAACATTAAAATATTTACTTATTTATTTACTTAAATAAATAATCATTAATTTTTTAATTATAATTAAATTAATATTTACTTCTAAAGTTAATTAAAGATTTATTATTTCAATTTAATTCAAATTAATTTCTTTGAAAAGAAATATAAATTTATTTTAGTGAAGTGAAAAGAAAGTGAATTGAATTAAATTGGAGTAGTATATTCATTCCTTCATAAATGAAATTATAAACGAATTTATTAATAACTTACTTATTATTGGGAGTTAAATTTTATTTAAATGAATAAACCTTCTTTAAGCTACTACTCAACTTGAACTGATTATAAATGACGAATTTATATCGCATCTTTATCAAACGTAAATAATACTAAATATTCAGAGTTCAAATGATAATAACCCTTCGTATGTGGTAAAATAATAAATTTGCAAACAATTTTTTTTGTGTACTTGAAAATTTGTTTTCTAATAATTAACACTCTTACACGATAAATAATAATAAATAACAACAATACTAAAAACAAAAAAACAATACTAAAGATTGTTCTAAAATGATTCCCCGCATAGAGACAAATTAATTCCTTTGGAACAACACGTGGTTTTTATAATTTTTCATTCGAAAAATAATTCCTTCCCGGCAAAAACAAAAACAAATAATTTAAAATTACAAAATTACCTTTGAAATTTAACGAGTAATTTATATCCGCAATAGATAATTTTTTTTTCTTCTAAATATTTGATTACTCACGATTTTGGAGTTGTTGCAAGATGAAAGATGTAAATTCTTCTGGCTGATTGTCGTTACATCTGAAAATTGACCTTGAAGGGCAAAAATTGGTATTTGACAGCGGGAAAATAAATTTCCAACCAATCGTAAAGTGCCGCGATTTAAATTAAAACGATTTACAGCCATGTTTGCTTCTTTTCTGGAAACATGTAATTAAAAAAAAAAATTCATTTAATCTCCTTCCATATATCTTAATTAGCAATAATTGTTTCAACATAATACAGTAGAGAACATTTTTTTCTTCGTTTTACGTAAATTTGTATGATAACCTATAAACTTCTTTCGATTTTCAATACGCCTGCGTAAAGCGGGAAATATTTAAAAAAAAATTTATAAACTTTTTTTTATTAAAAAAAAAAATAAATTTGAGAAAAAAAATTTAATTATAATAGAAAATTACAAAAATTTTGAGTTAGAAATAATTTTAAGATTTTTGACTCTTGTTTTTTGATTGTTAAAGAAAATTTTAATTGTTAAAAACAATTTTTGCACAATTGGACAATAATTAAAAATAATTAGTTCAATTTATAATTTAAACTGTTAATTTTTCGTGAACAATTTTTGTAAATATCTTCAATATATTTCAATTTTTCTTCAATATATTTTCATTGAAATTTAACTACATACTTGTTTTTAACTACACTTGAAAAATATTTCGAAATTCAGTATTTTAACCAATTGATAAATAATTATTTAATAGAAAAAGTGATTCTAGTTCATTTTAATCAAGAATTCGAATTAATTACATGTTTCGTTTGAATAAAAGTTTACTTACAATTCTTGTTGAATACAGTATAAAATGGAAAATTCTTTCTCGTTTCCCTTTCGTGGTACACGAAGAATATTGAAATAATTGTTACCTAAAAATAAAAATAAGAAAAGAAAAGAATTTTTAAACTCCCATCGAATAAATAATGATAAAAATATAACAAGACAGAAACCTGTATGTGTTTTTAAAGAAAAATGTAAGCTGGAAAGACGGCTTTTTCTACTTTCATTTCGTTTTTTCATTCACTGGAAATCCGGTCTTGTTTTAAAGCAAGTATTGAAATTTTCTACTTGTCAATCCAAACGCTTCAATATCAAAAAGTACGTTAAACAATTTGTACTCTTTAAAAAAAAAACTAGTTTTACTTTATAAATTTATTTTTACACTCATTTTATCTTATCGCAAAAATATTCTTGTTACTACACTCAATAAAGGTGTAATTTTGTTTTTACAATTTCTAGAATATAAATAAGTAAACTATTTTATGGAGTAAAATATTTCTTTCGAATGGGTTTTTTTATTTTGATATTATCATTTTAATCAAATTTAAAATCAAAATTAAGGTCTCGATTGAAATTCAATTAATTAATTAAAAATTGATTAAAAAAATTATTTAATCGATTAAAAACGACAGTTTTTTGGTGATGTAATATTATATTCTGAAAAATATTAAGTAATCAACAATGATGATATCGAATCAGAATTAAAGTCCATATCCCCATACATTCTTCTCATATTGTTTTTTTTTTTGTTTTTCGGTTTTTTTTTTCTTTTTAAGAAGCAACTAATAAGTTACAGTGATAAGACCTTTGCATAATTCGATTGTGGATAGCTTGCTGCCATATTGTATTAATCTGTATACCGATCTCGATTAAAACATCTAAAAGCGATTGTTGAATAGTAATTTTAGACCTGATATTATATTCCATTTTACTTAACAACAAACGAATTATTTATATAAGTTATTTTTCTTTTCTTTTACCATTTTTCATCGTCAAAATTTATCATCAAATTGAAAAGTTTCTTTGCAATAAAATTTTTCAAAATTTACTCATTTTTTTTAATATTTAACAGTTCGTGAAGACATTTTGTTTTAAAAATGCAGTCATTTATAGTTTTTTTTTGCTAAATTCTATTTGTAAATTTGAAAATCCACCAAATTGACAAATGGAATATTAAGAAGAAACAAATTATTTTCAAACACTGAAAATAAATTGTATGGGTAGAAAATTAAATTGAGTAAAATAATAAAAAAAGAGTGAAAATTGTAAATTGTTAAGTCTTGACGTTCTGTTAATTATTAAAATAACTCGAGTTTCATCTAAAAATAAATCAAATTCTTTTTTTGCATTCTGTTGAATGGTTTTTAAATTCATTAAAGTTGTCGACGACCTAGCAAAGAAAATATAATTGCATCGAGTATATTTTTATATCAAACAAAAAGACACTATCTCAAACAAAAAAAAATATATATATATATTACAAAATAGGGATAAAGAGAAATAATCTGAGGATTTGATAAAAACTATCTAGCGAAGTGTTTGTGAAGATTATGTTTGTCGCACGAAATTATTACTTTACACACTGTATTTCGCTGCACTTTGCATAAACCTTTTTTTTTCTTTCTCACAAAGATTTTACGCTCTTAAAAAATACAAAATCAACATTTTTTGTTTTTTTTTCTATTTTTCAATTCAAAATGAAAAATTAAGTTTTTATTTTAAATTGAATAGAAAGTAATTTAAGATTCATTTTTTTCTTTCTATTATTAAATGCAGATGAAAAATTGCAAACAACGTTAAAAATATCGTGCAAGTATTTTCGGTAAAATTATGTAATAATTACGTAAAATCTTTGACTAATTTTTAAAAAGTCTGATTATACTTTTTTTGTTTCACAAACGTGAAATCACTACGTGTTTCATTCTTTTTTCGCAGTCTCTTTTGTATCGTTTTCTTTCCATTTTCTTTTTTACTTTTCCGAAACGAATGTTCGTGTTTATACCTCGTTTACTTGTTATAACTATATTATAATTTTTAAAAATTACAATTATGACTAAACCGAAAAACCGAGCCAATTTTCAATCCTCAATTTTATAGCATACAAATACAACGTTGTTTTACTATACATAATGAAGTATAAATTATCGTGTGTAGTTCGCCTAAATCTGCATTTGTTTTTTTTCTTTTCTTTTTTTTTCAGTTTTAGAAGTCAAAATTTTTAATTGTAAATTTTAATGGCTTTTTCGAGGTAGTTAATTCGTGAACGCTTCGGCGCTTTATTTACGTGATCCAAGCCAATCCAGGGCCTTACGGGTGATGAGCCCGCAGCCGATAGTGGAAATACTGCAAAAAAAGTTTTTTATCAGTTTCAAAAATTTCTTATTTTTGAATATTAAGAATATTCGTAGTTTATATATTATATTTAATAATTATTCTCGTAATAGTAAAAAGTTTCTAAAAACTTACTCGCATTCTGCATTACTTGAAATTCGCTAATGTCAATGCAATATTCTGGCGATTCAATAAATTGAGGTTTACCCAAAGAGACCACAGCAAATTTGAACTGTAAGCAATAAAAACGAGTTTAGAATTTGTTTCTTTATAATTACGTATTTTAGCGTTAAGGAAAAATTAGAGTATAGATAAAATTTTACCTTCTCGAATTCTTTTTCTTGCACTCCAAGTTTTTTGAACAACCTTTCCTTCACCTTCGAGAAAAGTTCGCCCTTGAAAAAAATAACAATTAATGTTTATTTCTATTTTCAATTAAAAAAATTAATTTTTAAGTTGTAACCAAATATAAATACTAACGTGTTTGATTTTTAAAAAGAAGGGAATGCCAAACGTTGAAAATACTTCCTTATTGAAATGCGCAACTGGAACTAACATTTCATCGTCGGCTAAATTGAGTTCATCTTTTGGAATTTCTTCTATCCTATAAATTTTATTGCTGCCCGAATTCAAATTTTCCAAAGGCACATCATCCTTTGGACCGGGTGACAATTTATTGCAACTAATTTCCAATAACCTCAATCGACCAGAACCATTTTCCGAAAATTCAACTTGTTTCTTTGCCTCCTCTAATAATGTTGCAACTGTTCCATTTTTATTTGGATAGAGAATTATTTCCTTCTCCTCCTTCAATGAAGGTGGAACCCAAATGCATTTGAATTGTTTCTTATTTTCGAGTTCATTCACTCGAATGCTAAGTTGTTGATAGAAAATTTTCTTAGTCTTTGGCTTACAATAAGCAATAAGTTCCTTTAGTGTACCATCGAAAGTGCATTTCAATGGATGTCCTGGCAAATCTTTGTAACTGAAAATAATAGATTTAATTGTATAATTAATTTTTTTAATTATATGGTATACTATGTAATGTAATTTTTGTAATGAAAGTAATTTTTTTATTTTTATTTCATTTCTTTGTTTTTGTCTAAAAAATTTTGTTGAAAATTTATTTAAAAATTATTTGATATTGCTTTCTTTTGTCTTTTCTTTTTTGATGGAAAATTCAACTTACTTTTGGCATTTGAAGAATTGTAAACTGTATGGATCTGTACAAAGTCGCTGTGCCACAGCTTTTGCCATTTGCTCGTAAGTCATTCTTAACGAGAGCTCAACTGTAAATCCCGGATCATTTTGAATCGTCTTATCGCAGAAAGTCACTTCCACCCTATAGAATAAATCCCTGAAAAAAAGAAAATTGCAAATTACTTTTCAATTCTATTGAGTTACTTATATTTACTTATTTTTATTACAAATCATAATGATTTTCAGTTTTATAATTACTTAAATTGTAACTATTTTAACTTAAATTCTATTTTAATTTAAATTATAACTATTTTAACTTAAATTATATCTAAAGGCCTCGGTTTAACTTTACAACGCAAAAAAAAATGATTTTAGTAGTTTTAAAATACGAAAAAAGTGAAAAATTGGTTGTTTTATTCCCGATTGTTACAAAAATTTGATTTTTTATTTCCCCGATTTAGAGAAAAGTTTATATTTTTCCATATTCCAATAATAACTTCAATTTTAAGTTTATGCAAAATTCAATTATTTTCAAAATATTTTTTTACATTTCTTCACATTTTTCTTTAAAAAAACAAATTTTTTCAGAATTTCTAAACTTAATTATTTAAATTTTCAAATTGAAAATTTCATTACTTCTAAAAAAAATACCTGTAATTCTTACAAAATTTAATTATTTTCAGGAATTTTTAACTAAAATTATTCAAAAATTCAATTGAATTATTTTCTAGAATTTTTAATTAAAATTCTTATCCAAATCAGTTATTTTTAATAATTTTTATAACTAACTCTTCATGGTTTTTCTTTAGTTTTTAAGGTGAAAAAGAAAATTCCAGAACACTTTACAATTTTCGATATTTTCAAAAAAGAAAGAATTTTATTTAGACTTACTTGAAATAATCACGGCACGTTGGTAGCTCGTACATTTTATTATCTCGTTCTTCTTTTTGGAAAACAATAATATCACCGTCCATTAATTCCTCGAGAACTTTTTCCAATGGTTCCGTTAGATTTTCGATTTTTTCCACCATATTGGGTTTGATTTCCTCATATAACGCAAGCTCAGTGTCAATAGGGAAACCGGCTCTTTGATTCAATATTGGTATAAGTTCCTCTATTAAAACATTTAAATATTAAAATTATTATTATTATATTATTATTATTATTATTACTTTTTTTTTAAATTCTTAATTAATTTTTTGAACTAAAATATTTGTTTCCTAAATAACTTCCAAGTTAAAGGCAACACAAATTTTACATTCTTGATAAATTAACTTTTAATATTATATTATCTCTCTTCTCAGTTTCGCTTTTCATTCTTTTCTTTTCATTTATTTTCTCCTTCTTTTTGGAAATTTATTTCGCAAAAGAATTTTCTTTTTTTGCATTCTTTCGTTTGTTTATTAATTAATGAAATTTCAACTTACGGACTTTAGCTGTTACGGGCATATAGTGATGACCGCAATAATGTATTTTCTTATTCTTCGGATCGTATAATTTGAAAAATAACAAAACGTCTGTGTCCTTATCGAACGACGGCAGTGTTTTTAGTTCCGAATCGGGTGGAACAAGTTCAACAAATACATTCCATGGATTTAAACTTTCTGCACAATCAGAAATCGACTTCTGTAGATCAGCCTCCAATTCAATAAGTGTCGGTCGACAGGTTTGATTCGATCGTAGACTGAATGGCCAGACACGAATTTGTTCTATCGGATATTTCTAAATATAAAAAAAAATAAAATGAAATTAGCAAATGCTTTTTATGAAGAAATTATTTCAAATAGAGCAGAAATACTGGAACAAAATTCAAAGGTGTTAATTAAATATTAATTAGATATTTATTTTAAAATATTAATTAGATCTTTATTTAAAAATATTAATTAGATGTTAATTATCAATAAGAAATTAATTTAATATTAATTAGAAAATAATTAAATATTATTTATTATACATAGTTCATGCCTTTTGGCTTTGAACGAGTAACAATTAAATATTAATTTTAATTTTTTGAAATAATAATGAAACAGTAACTTAAGGATATTAATTGAATATTAATTTAAATATTACTTGAATGAAAATTCAAATTTGTATTTACATACTTACCACAATTCCCTAAATATTAAAAAAAAACTCTTTTATCAGTTATTATTCAATAATGAAAAAATAACATTAAATAATTAACTGAAAAAATTAAGAGATTAAAAGCAAATTTTAAGTGAAAAATGAAAATAGATTACTTCAATGAAGAAAAGAAATTGCTTACCAAACTTTCACTGAGCACTTCAAGAAATTCGTGTAGAGTTGCTTGTTTACGAACACGAAATACACGATAAAGCGCATGTTCTGGATCGTACAGATCGTTGCCCTGGTGACCGTCAAAACTATCTTCGAGAAGTACATTAACGGTCATGTATAAGTATGCTTCTGTTCTCTCCTTTCTTCTTATTTGTTCCAGCCTCTTCTCTTCTTGCAGCCTCTCCACCAGCTAGACCAACAAAATTAAAATTATCCATGTATACAAGAGTACATTTTTTTTTACTTTGAAAAAATTTTTTTTTTCTCTTAAAAATTCTCTCTAAAAAATTTCTCATAATTTTGAGGTCTTGAATTTTTTTTTCTTATTCTTTCAATAAGAAGATTTTTCAAAAATTTCAATTTCAAAAAAATCATCATACTTTTGATATTCGAATATTTTTTTTCGGCTTTATCAGCTCTCTGTGTTTTTTTTATTAAAATATCAAAAGAATGTGCATTTTTTTTCTCTCTCTTCTTTTTCAAAAACACCAATGGTGACAAATAATTTTAATTTTGTTCATCAGCCGCAATACCCGACTACCAAGTTAAAACAGTAATACAAAGTGAGTGTTATTCAGCCTTAATACCTAAAAAAAACAAGTTGCTTCTGGAAAATAAAAACATCGATAACTAAATTCACTTGAGAGTACTTACAGAGGAAATAGAGTTTCAAAAACTAGTGATTTTTTTTGTGAGAATTAAAAAAAATGTACAGTAAAGGAAGAAATCATGCAAGTAGAGATGAATTTTTTTTAAATATATTTTTTCTTTTGAAGAAACAAGTAAAAAGTAGAGGAAATAAAAAGAAGAATTAAAAGAAAGAATCGTAGATATCGAAATTTATAATAAATTTATAAAAAGCTGAATAAAATTCAAATTGTAACGTGTAACATTGGTAGTGTGGAGATTCCTTGTGCATAATCACAATTCTTTTTTTAAACAAAACTAATTACTAAGAAAAAGAGATTTAAAAATGAAAAAATAAATTTTTTCCATCAATTTTCTGTTTGGAATATTCAACAATTTATTTGCTCGATAAGTATTTCGGTTGGTTTTTTTTTTCTTTCATATTTTTTTTCGTAATTTTTTATATAAAATAGTGATGTAGCATTTAAAGGGATCTTGTGATTACAGTGATTATAAATTATTTATTACTCCACTGATGATACTTTGTATTTCTTCTCTAGTCAGTATATTATTATTTATTTAACAACAAATAAATAGATAAGCATCTGTAACTACTCATACTTCGCTATCAACACTGAAAAAATTATTTTTTTAAATAATAAACATCCTTCGAGACATCGCAGTCTAAAAACTAAAACTGCGAATTAAGTTACGAAGGATTTTATTTCGTTAAAGAATTATCATTATCATCATCATTATTATTAATAATATTATTATTATTATTATTATTATGAACATTAGTTCGCGGGAATTAAAAAATATTTATATAAATCACATTTCAATCTGTTCACTAAACATTCCTATAGAGTAACAAACATCATATAGAAGACATTAAGGAAGCAGGTGTTGCTAAAAGTTAATAATTACTCTGAGCTTCGAAAACATCTCTATGTCCGCTATATGCATTCGCACGTTAATATTGAATTACAGGTCGCATTTGAACACTATTCTTTTCTCTCTCTCTCTCTCGCTTGCTCTCTCACTCTCTCGCATTAAATCAGTTATTTACAATATTTTCCTACAATTTTTTTTCCCCACCCTGATTGGACTCACTAATTGAAAAATGCAAAAAAAGTAAATTTTTAATTAAAAGCCTCGAGGAAAAAAATTGTATAAAAACTGAAGCTTCACGTCAAACACAGATCTGGGCCAAATTAATTAAAGACGATGTTTCAACTTATTATGTGAAACATATTTTTTTTTTTAAATATTATACTAAAGAAAAAAATTAACAACACTCTGCTTTTTGTTTGTTAATTTAAAGCCAAACAAATAAATTATCAAAATTGACTCAATATTTAATAATAAACGAAAAATTAGGATAATATTGCCTAGATTTTTGTTGTTGTTGTTGTCATGGCTTCAATTATATAATTATATAATTAATTTATCATTAATTTATCAAACATTTAAAATTAACAATTAGAGTTAAATCGAAACTCTTAGAGTCAAAAAAAGGTAGTATAAGATATTTGATAAACGGAGGAAAAAAGAATATTAAAAAAGTGAATCATTTAAAAAAATGAAATATACAAATTTGAAATAGAAAGAAAAAACACGTCATTTTTGTCAATTGTTCTTTTTAATTGTCAGTCCACTGTCAGGGCATTTTAAAGAACCCTCCACGATTTATCGATAAAATTCAAAACGTCGGACAAAAATATTTTATGTCTACGGGCAATAAAATTTGCTTCATTTTTTTTGTAGACAAAGTTTTTTTTTGTTATCAATTAGAAAAGGTACACTCGAAATGGAAAAAGCGATTCTGAGATTTTTTTCTTCTTTTCTTTAAAGCACAGCCAAAAATATTTCTAATGTAACAAAATAGTATTTTATTTACAGACATTTAGGAAAATATCTCTCAAAAATTCCCCTTGCAACTCTTCAAGAAATTCAAAAATATAACAAATTGGAAAAAATTAATATCAAAATTATCTTTTTTTCTCTATAAAATAATTTTCTTCTAAAATAAATATTTTCGAATCTCAAAAACAAGAAAATAAAAATATTTTTTTATGAACAAAAGTTCCATTGTAAAAGATAAAAAAAAATGTATTTAAAGGCACATTAAAATTATTTATATAATAACCTAGAAAAAATATAATATTTTAAATTTGAAAACAAAATGGAGGCAGTGTGTAAAATTACAGAATCGCTGATTCCTCCTCCCACCTCCCCTTGCAGTCTCTTTGAGCAAAAAAATGCTGAACATAGTTTGATTTTCAATTTCCGTCCGAATTCTTGATATCTGTTCGTTTTCAGTTTTTTTGAATATCCACCGAAATCGAGCAGAATCAAAATTTGAATTCAAGACAGAGAGTTTTATGGTATGATATACAATTTATGATTGAAATCAACAATCTTGATTACTTTCTTTCACATATAAACAGTTTTTTTTTTTTTTTTTTTTTTTTAAAGTCGTGAGGTTATCCTAGTTTTTTTTCTTTTAAATATAAAACAAACCAAAGTGTGGTGTAACTTTGGTAAACTTTTACACATCTACTGATCTAGCTTCTTTTTTTTAAACGCGTCAAAGATTTCGAACGACCGTACTCGTAAATAATTTAAATATGATATGATTTGTAGCGGGAAGAAAAATAATTAAAAAAAACAAACAAACGGGAAGTTTCTATTAATGGACGACACTAAAAAAAAAATAATAATAAAATATTTAAAAATCCGACAAGTCGACGTTCTATTGCCGTCTATTGTTAGAAGTCATGAATATAAAGATTCGGATTACGAGGATTTTGCATGCAGGGTCGAAAGTTTGTACTTTCTGTATTTGTTTCTTTGTTAGCGTCTGTTGTGTCTTTGTCTTTCTCTAAATCATTTGACTCTTGAGTTAACTCTTTTTCAAGAACATTTCTGACCTCTTGGGGTATGTCCTCTTCTTTGACTTCTTGCAACACATTCTCCAATTCTGAATTGTGTATGTAGACCAACATGTAAGCGTTTGTACAGTGCTTCACAGCCATTGACATGTCTTCATCTTGACCACCATAATTGTGCTCGATTGCTTCTTGTTTCGTGCATCGGGATACCACATCGTCATCAAACTTACACCACTGTTTCAAACAAACAAAAAATTATCACTTGAACTTTACAAATAGAATTTTTCAAAAAGAAAAGAGTAAAACAATAATTACGTCAACTTTCTTTACAAAACAAATAAATATTATTTTCAAACTGTCAAACACAAATTCCAAAAAACAAAATTGAAATATTAAATAAAATAAAAAAATACACAAAAAAGTGTTAATACTATTTTTTATTTAAAAATTTACTGAATGACTAAAAAGAAAAGAAAATATTACAGGCCTCGGATCGACTTTAAGACGCAAAAAAGTCGCTTTAGTCGATTAAAAATATGAAAAAGTCGTTTATTTAATTTAGTGTTGTCACAAAAATTTCAGTTTGTATTTCCCTGATTTTCCCCTTTCACTGATTTCTAAATGCAATTATTCAAAACTTCAATAATTTTTTTAAAATGAATATTTAAATACTTCTTACTTGTTTTTTCACGGGAAATGAAATTTAAAAAATTTCAATTTAAAACCTTCTGAAGTTTAATAATTTCTAAAAATTAACACTATTAACTTTCGAAAATTCAATTATTTTCTACAATCTATATTAATAATCGTTGTATTCCGGTAATATGTTCGCAGTTTGAAGTCAGTTTTTGTTTGCTTCTTTGTCTCCTAAATGTTTTAATAATTTTGCGAAGTATTTAATAAAAATTTTGAAAATAATTTAATTCCTTTGCAGGATTTTATTAACACTTTTGAAAATAACTGAATTCTTTTGAGAAAGTTTATTAAAATGTTTTGAAAATAATTGAATTCTCGCAAAGAATGTTATCAAAACTTTTGAAAATAATTGAATCGTTTTGAAAAATTTATTTAAATTTTTTGAAAATAACGGAGTTTTTTTTTAATAATTTCTATTGAAAATTTTAAAAGTAATTGAATTTTCTGAAGAATTTATTTTAAGTTTTTTAAATATTCGTGTTTATTAATAATTGTAATTAACAATTTTACTATTAAATTTTATTAAAATTATTGATATTTAATTCTTTTAGACAATTTTATTAGTTTTCGTAAATAATTAAATATTTTTGGATAATTTCTTTAAACTTCTTAAAAATAATGTAGTTTCTTTTAATAATTTTAATTGAAAATTTTAAAAATAATTGAAATTTACAAAGAATTTTATCAAAACTTTTGAAAATAATTGAAATTTACAAAGAATTTTATTAAAACTTTTGAGAATAATTGAATTTTTTAGAAAATGTTTATTACAATTTTTAAAAATAATTGAACCTGTTTAAGAAATTTTATTAAAAATTGCACTTAATTGGAGATTTTAATTTTAAGATGTAAATTTTAAAAAAATTTAATTTACTTTGTTCAAAGATAATTTAAGCTTTAAAAAATATGATAAAACGATTGAAAGAATTACTTTTTTAAAAATATAATGTAATTTTTCAAAAATAATTGAATTTCTATAAAGAACTTTTGTGTAATTTAAAGAAAAAAACTAATTGTTTGCAGAATTTTAATTAAAAATTTTGAACACGATTGTTTTCTCCAAAATGTTTTAAAAAATTCTAAAAAATTTTTATGTTATTATTTTTTGAATGTATTTAAATTTTCGGAAATTTGTAATTAAAAGTATTGAAAATAATTGAATGTTAAAACATTAGAATAAAAAAATTCTAAGAATTGCTTTTTTCAAAAATATTTTATTATAACTTGTAGAAGCTAATTTTTAATAATTTTAATTTTATATTTACACTTGAAGAATTTTCATTCAAATTTTTGAGAATTCAATTATTTTCAAAATTTGCTATTAAAATTCTACAAAAGTTGATTTTCAAAAATTGTAATAAAATTCTTGACAAAAATCAATTATTTTCAATTAAATTTTACAAAAATTTAATTATTCAAAGTCTTTTTAATCGTTTAAAATTTAATTTTGAATTCAAAAATAATTTTTGAAAGATTTGTCTTTAGTTATTTTTCACACAAATAAAAATCGAGATAAGTTGCATTTTATACTAAAAAAATGTGGTATTTTATTTCAATATTAAAAAGAAAAGTCGACAAACTCGCAATTTTCTAAAATAAAAGGAAAAAAGCACATTTTTCAAAAATTGTAGAAAAAAGTTGAAAAATTCATAATATCCGAGACCTGTACTTGGAAAATATTACAAAAGAACTTGAGAAAAATTTTCCTGTAACTTTTTTTTTAAAAGAAAAAAAAATATTAATCTAAAAATAAATAATAAGAATTTTCAAGATAATTAAAAGAAATATTTACCTTTCCATCTCCTTGTGGATTGATGAATACAACGTAATGTCCACCATGATTATCTCCACTATGAACTAAGACAGCATGAAGTGTATAATCTGCATTTGTTGATTCTTCATTTTGTAAAAAAGGCCCAAGACTTATTTTCTCATAGAATTCAAATCTGTGAAAAATAATTATTAACACACAAATAAAATTACCGATAATTGTCGAAATAGAAACGTAACAACATAGTTTAATCCTTAATTGGAAATAAATTGAATTTCTCTTAATTGACAATTAAATACGATTGTTTACTTAACACTAAAATAGTTTACAAACCAAAAAGTTTATTGTTTAAAATAATTAGAAAATGTTTAGACTTTAAAAAATTAAAAGAATGAAAGAAAATTAAAAGAATAAAAAATTAAAAGTTCAAATGGCAATTGAAACTCAATAGGAATTGTAAATTTAATAATAGTGAAATTTAATTTACCTGTCATTGAATTTTACCGAGCAGTCTGTAATTGGATCATATTGAAATCGCATTAGATGCAAATGTAAAACTGGAGGAAATGATGAGAAGATGACACCTTTTTCGGCATCTTGCAATCCATGTTCTCCAGCGTCGTATTTATTGTCCCCATCAAGCATTTCCGTACTGACGTAATCTTTAAACGATTCGTAAACTGTAAAGAAAAAAAAGTATATTTAAAATTTCGACCATTTTCTAAAATCTCACTTGGAATTTAATTTAGTTTTCTCAAATTTTTCAACTCACTAGTTTTCTTTCCCTTAATATTTAACTGAATATCGTAAAATGTTTCGATCCTCGTTGACTTGTAATCAATATTCTTGCACTTGATGAAAGAAAGCATTTTTCCTTCAAACAATTTTGGCACTGTACCCTCAACGCATGTTCCTTTCATTTTACTTTCCAATTTATCGAGAAGCTGAGGGAGAAATGAAATATTGCTCATTATTAATTCTATTCTTTTATTTAATTAATTATTTTGATTCTTTTCTCTTTTTTAAAAAAGAATGTTTGAAGAAATAAAAAAACATTGGTTTTTTTATTCATTCTTTTTATTTCTTTCAAAATTTTTTATTTTATATTTATTTCCGTTAAAAATGATTTATGTAAATGGAAATATTACACTCACCACTCGTAAAAATTCCTGTACATCGTGTTGCATAAACGAGTCTAACGTTTCCCAGCCAAAACTTTTGGTGAGTTTCTTTGTACCAACTGGCTTGTCACTGAATTGCAATTCGTGAAACACCCTTTGCAAAGCGAGTGCGACACTTTTGCTTGAATCGTCACTCTCTGTTGGCATTTTATAAACAGCCTTGCGTAACTACAAGGAAAAAAATGCAAAAAATATTAATTTTCATAAAATTCAAACAAAATTTCAGTTATTTTCATTTTTCTATTAAATTTTTGAAAAGAAATTTTTTACCTGATTTGTAAAATACAATGTCTGAAGTAAAGAATTCATATAACACGTAGCACCTTGATTCTTTAATCCAACATATCCTGTGTGCTTCTTACTGTCCCAACTGACACCATGCGGTGCATCAGCCACAACATGGACCTAATCAAAAAAGAAATTTATTTATTACACACCGAATTTAATTTACTGAAATAAATTAATACCTTACAAAAAGTGTGGAAAAATAAATGAAACACAAACCTCCAGTGTAATTGAGTCGTCCTTAATAAAACCTTTCTCAGGATCAAGAACATCTTGCCACGTCATAAAATGACTGAATCCCCAATCATTTTCTTTACTATAGAAAAGATGTTGTATTTCTGAAAGAATCGTTTTTAAATGTTAATTATTAAATCATCAAATATTTGAAAATTATTTTAAAATAGTGAATATTACAATTCAGATAATTAAATGCCATCAAATGTTACGCGCGCTTGAGATCAAAATGTATTATGCAAATTCAAATATTAACTTCAATTTTTGAAAGATTTCAGATCAAAACATTTTTAAAAATAAAATTTGTAAAAAGATTTAATTATTTTTATTACAATTTTAACTAATTTCTCGAAACAATTATATTATTTTTATAAATTCTTGACAAGAATTCAATTATTTTCAGTACAATTTCAATTAAATGCCTAAAGAGAATTTAAATTTTGTTCCAAATAATTGAATTTATATTTTTATAAAATTTTATTATTTTTTTTTATTGTTTCATTATTTCACAAATAATAAAGTGCCTTTTAGGATTCAATTACTTTCAATAGACTTTTCATAAAATTTCTTCAAAGAATTCAATTATTTTCCAAATTTTTTATAAAATTTGTTTATTAGAATTTTCAATCATTTTCAATTAAATTCGACGAAAGAATTGAACTAATTTCAAATGTTTTTTATAAAATTCTTCGAAACAATTCAATTGTTTTCAAAACTTTTAATTTTTAATTATTAATTATAATTTCCATTACAATTTTAATAAAATTTTTTGAAAATTCAATTATTTTGAATAATTTTTAAAAAGTTTGAAAAAATTTGTTTACTAGAATTCAACTATTTACAAAAATTTTAATAAAATTCTTTAAAAAAATTTAATTATTTTCAAAAATTGTTCCTAATAATAAATTTCGTAGAAAGACTTAATTATTTTTTTAAAAATTAAATTATTTTTAAAAGTTATAAAATTCTTCAGAGGAATTTAATTATTTTCAATACAATTCAAAAAAATTTCTTGATAAAAATCAATTATTTAAAATTTTTTTTATAAAATTCTTCAAAAAATTCAATTATTTAAAAAAATTTTAATAAAATTCTTAACAGTAATTCAATTATTTTCATAAATGATGAAGTGCTTTGTAGGTATTGAATTATTTTTAATACAACTTCTCGAAAGAATTCAATTACCTCCTAAACTTTTGATAAAATTTGTTTCTTAGAATTTAGTCATTTTCAATTAAATTTCTTGAAGGAATAAATTATTTTTAAGAATTTTAATAAAATTCTTCGAAAAAATTCAATTGTTTTCAAAACTTTTATTGAAATTCTTCTAAACAATTCAATTATTTTTAAAAATTTCAATAAAATTTGTCGCAAGTATTTAATTATCTTTCATATAATTTTATTAAAATTTCTTTTTATAGAATTCAATTATTTTAAAATTTTTAAATAAAATTCCTGGAAATAATTCAATTATTTTTAAAAATTTAAATAAAATTATTTAGAAGTATTGAATTAATTTCAGTACAATTTTAATTTAATTCTTTAAAAGAATTTAATTATTTTCAAAAGTTTTTAATAAAATTTTTCGAAACAATCCAATTCTTTTCCAAAATTTTATGAAAATTCTATTCAAGAATTAAATTATTCTAGATTCGAAATGATAAAAGTTACAAAAATTAGGATAACATTTTTTTTAATCACAAATATCGCCCTTTAAAATTAAAAAGAAACCACTTATTAACGCAAAATTATAGAAAATAATATACAATTTTTAAACTTTTCTTGCGAAAATATTTCTACAAAACTTATTCTTCGAATAAGTAAATATTAAATCTGAATATCTTAATAAATTAGAATTAGTAAAAATTTGGACTTATTAGTGATATGAAATTTCTGAAATTAATTTCTTAATTTTATATAGAGCGAGACATAAAAATATATAAAATGCAGTGTTTTTTTTATAAAATAAATACCATTAACCGTATTTTTCAGCAATAAAAATTAGTTTTTCTACACAAATTTATAAGTAATTATTTTTATATTTTAGAATGTTAAATTAATTTTACAAATTATACTATGATTTTTCATTCAAAACAATTTTGTTTAATTAATTTATGCTATTTTTTTAATCAGATCTTCAAAGCATTAAATTAAAATTTCAACAATTTTAAAATTTGAATCCTTATTTAGAAATAAAAATCATCAAAATAATTAAGAATCAAAGAAGCAAACAAAATTATCTAACTTTTAACTGCAAAACCGGAATACAACGATTATTAATATAAATAAATATTACACTTAAAACATATAAATATTACAATTTAAATAATTAAATATTCTAATTCAAATAGTTATATATTAAAATTTAAATAATTAAATATTACAATATTCTTTTTAGAATATTCTAGTGTGCAGTATTTTAATTTTAATAAACTCACTTCTGTTGAAATAATCCTGTCCCGCTTTACAAGACAAAAGACGAAGTTCGGCAACAGCATAACAACTCCAGGAAGTCGACTCACTTTCTCCATTGCATTGGAGGAAAAATCCAAGAGATCTTTGCGGCTGTCGTTCTTGACTTTGACTTGATCGGGGCATGACCATTATTTTCCATGGTAAATTTCGCACATAGCATGGCGACGATAGTTGAGAATCTTTCATCTTTGAAACATTGTCAACTGTGAAGCGAAAAGTCGCCTCAGATCTTGCTTCATCTAGAACAAAGCAAAATCATACATATATCGTTAAAGTTATTTACAACTTACCCAAAATTTATTACTATTGCAAATTTGAATCATTCAAAAATTCCAATTTCAATTTTGATGGAATTCAAAAAAGAAATTAAACTTCATTTATTTATTTCCAATTAATGAAACTTCGTTTATTTATTTCCAATATATATGAACTTCATTTTTATTTCTATTTTACAAATATGTAAAAAAAAATTTTTTTTTTTTAATGGAAAAAAAATATTATACCTTCTTCCATTTCGTGATCAGTGTGTACAATGCAAACTGGTGGTTCTCGTTCACCATTGATTGGACGTGTTTCATTCCCGTCGCCTCCCCCGTCATTAGGTGTTTCTGCAAATAAAATAAAAGCAATGATAGTTTCGTAGCAATAATAAATTTATCAATTTAACTATTATCCCACATCTACCGACAATAAAAAAAACATTTATTCCTGCATATACATTTCAATGTATTGACATTCTGATAAATTGGGCAAAAAAAATTGTTTTTCTTCAAAATTCAAAACAATTAAAAATGAAAAAAAATTACCACTCATTCGCTTCTTAGTGGAAGCTGAACACATCTATATTAAATTACAGAGACTCTTTTGGAATCATTCCAACTACATTGTCTTTAAGTATTTTATAATATTGAAACATTTTATCTACATTCTACACAAGGTGAATGAACTATTTGAAAAATTACACTGTCAATTATAATTGTAAATAAATCCTAAACTTGAAAATCTCGAAACAAATTTCAAATTTATTAATTTAAACTTTACGTAGAAAAAAAAACGAAAAAGTGTTAAAATTTCCAGACTTGACGAATAAAATTATGTATTTTTGGAATCTTGGCATTTGGTAAACATGTGCGTTCTATTTTACTTTAATTGTCAATACTAAAAAAACATTTTCTTATCAGAAAGGGAATTTTTTTAATAGAAAAAAAAATCTATTTTCAATATTGAGACTTTACCCTTTGTAAGGGAAAAAATTACGAATGTAATTTTCTAGTAGTAAATGCTTTAAAAAAAATCATTGACGTAAATTCACATTTGCTGAGAGTGTATTTTCGGTATTAAAAGAAAATTATATTTGTACACAAAGAAAGTTTACTCTTGTTCTTTTATTTTCAAAGACCCTTGCGCTATATCAACTGGTGTATAGCTATCAAAAAGAACTTGGACAAATTCCAATAGTTGTGCATTTTTATATATTAGTATAAAATACCAAATACTCTTTTCTACAAATTTTATACATTTTTCTACTTATATAAATTACACTCTTTGTGTTACACACTTTTTTTTGGAGTTTCAAAAATAAAGGAAAATCTTCTGTACAAAAGTAAATTTTTCAAAAAATTTAATCAAATTTTAAAAACAAGAAATTTTTTTCGAAATGAGTAATAAATTACAAGATTGATTAAATTTTTTAATTAGAAAATTGACAATAGATTTAACCTTACTTTTAAAATTCTTGAAGACCATACTGTCAACAAGTTTCTTATTTTCTTTCACAGCACTTACCCCCTTTTCGAAAAGGAAACAAGGTTAAGATTCAACTCTAAATTGTTCAAACAAGAATGCATATTTTGAAGTATCTCTTGGAGCTAGAAATTTTTTTTTGTCAAAAAAAAGAAACTATTTTACTTGAATTTGAATGTCCGTATTAAACGTATTTCGTGACAATTGAAAAACGTATTGAAACAGAAGTCACTATTCATATTGTTTTTTCTTTTATTAAAAAAAGTTTGAGTACTTATAAGTACAGATACATTAGAATATAATTGAATTAATTGAATTATTGAAATTTGAGTAATTTTAAAGACGTTTCATATTTTGTGAAATATTAAAATTACATTCGCTAATAGCCGAAATTAAATTTACGCATATTTTTGGGTACGAAAATTTTTTATAGGTCAGGTTATTTTTACAAATATTCGAAAGATATTTAGTTTAAGAAAATATCAAATGCTAAAATTCTTGGAAAGAACATTTTGTCTATAATAACGGTGTTTAAAATTGTCAAACAAAGTATTTTCAAAAATAAGTTTTTGAAAATCGAATACTGAAGTACATAGTATTTTCACTTTAGTCAAAATGCCTGTTGGTAGTACGTGTTTTGTCAATACGTGCTAAATAAGAGCACAGTTTGCAAGAAAGAAACCTTCATTGAAATTAAAAAAAAAAAACGATTCAATTCCAATGTTCCTGATAAAAGGAAGAAAAACAAATATTAGAAAGTAAAAAAAAAACAAACAAACCTTCCTGCGTGTCCATTTCTTCTACCTCACCGACCTGGACAGGGGTCAGGTTGAGTTGCTTAATAGTTTCTTGATCGTTAACGTGATTCATCGTTACGCCAATGTTGACTGTCGTTTTGTCTGCTCCAGGTGCCTCGTGGACGGCAATTGCCGTCGAGGTCACTTCTCCGAATAATTGAGAAAAAACTTGTAGGCTCTCTGATGTAGGCAATTCGTCCTGTTGATGGTCCGTTCGTTCCGTAGTCTGCTGTTGATTATCGCTAACAACAATAATGGAGTCGTCCTGATCGGCGACAGTGACCGGATTATCCGCACTCGCGTCACTGCTGCGGCCCGACGGCGACGTCGCTTTACCGCACGATTTACTTGCAATTCGCCCAATTTCTGCGGCTGTCAAGTGCCCCCGCGGTCTCGGGGGACGCCCACAGCATATATTCCACCTTTGTGTTCACTCGTCAAAAAAGTCGTGGTCGTATGTTCTCGCGTTCCTTCGTCCTATTGTTCTAAAAACTCGATTCCCCCTCAGGATGCGCAAAAATTGCGCAAGTTCTTTTCACTGATTTCCAACACTTTTCAACCAAAAAAAAAATAAAACCTTTTTTGAAACGGCTTCTTTTAACACGATGGACCGGTTGTTCCGTTGAAATATACACGATTCCTACCGATTAAGAAGGCTTGAACAGTCAATTTTTCAAGAGTCTCGGAAAAGTTCCACTTTGTTCCGGCTCAACTTCGTTCATCAGATTCCAACGAGGCGCTTACGACCCCCTTCCCTGTTTAGCAAGTTCCTAACGATCCGGAAACTCTTGATTTATTTGCAAGATCCCCCACGAGCCCACGAAGCCCACTTTCACGCGAAAATAAACAAAATGGCGTTTAGGCTACCCCTGTACGTTACCAAACAGGATTCCAATCTACCTTCACCCACCGATGAATAAACGCTGTCATGTGTTGACTTGCACTGTTCACAAAAAAGACTCTTAAGGCAAGTTTTCATTTTGCACTACGCAGCTGATTTTAAAACCCCTCTCTCCCATTGGCGGAACGTTTCAACTATCCACCAATCAGCTTTCACTTTCCGTTTGTTTCTTTTCCAGTCTTCACGAATCAAATTTCATACTATGTAAATCCGCGCCAAATTCAAATGAATTATATCATTTCAGTAATTTTTTTGTAATAAATAAATAATAAGATACATTTATGTTAATAATCAATCTTTTATTCGCTTATATACAGTATTTTTTCACTTCAGTAGTTTTTTTTGTTGATTTCTAATCCGCTAGCGGTAATAAATTATAAACAGTTCACTATATTCAGGCAATCACCTTTCATTTAAACATTCGTGTCTAAATTTAGCCATTCAATTTGACAATTTCGCATAATTTTCCATATTCGCTCTCAGCGACTATTTTTTCGCAGGTATACTTCTTTATATTTTATTATTTTTTTTTTGTGAATTTTCATGACTCCTAAGAAACTTGCACGTATTCAATGCATTACCATTATTTACATCAATGCATGCACCCTTAAAAATTTTCACGATAAATGAGAAAAAAATAAATTTTATAATTTCCATGAATTAAAAATGATCTACAAAAAATAGTATTCTTTTGATAAAAAAATTATCTAATCAGTATACGAAGTATTTACGTAGTTTTACATTTGAAAGAGAAGAAGAAGAATAAGATAATGATACTGACATAAATTAATTTTTACAATACCAAGATAGTATACATGTTTCATTCGTTCGCTCTCTTTCTCTCCTTTTTTTTTGATAAATATAAAGTAGATATTTAATAGCTTTTTTTTATACAGAAAAAATACGCCGTGTTGATGAAGTTTCAAAAAGCCGTGTACGAGTATAAAACATATTTATCTTCTTTCTTTTAAGGAAAACACACTCTTCTTTTTAATAATAAAAAAAATCGAGTGCGTTTAATATTTAAACGTGAAACTTTCACTTTTTAATATTCAGTTTGTGAGTAAATTCAATTGTCCAAAGAAGTACATTGTCGAGAAAATCACAATAAAAACCCGCAGATTTAAAGTTTCTCTTGTAATCTTATAAAAAAAACAAAGAGTACAAAAAAAAATCATTTCTCTTTGATCTCAGTTATGAATATCTATTTACAAATAATCTAAACTAATGGATGTTTTCCGATTAATAAAAATCGTATTCTTATGAAATTGGAGTTTAAGCAGTTTTTGTTTTTTCCTTTTTTATGTCAAGTTTTTGAAATAAATAGTCAATCGACAGGACATTACTAACATGTGTCAACAGTTATACAAAAATGAGAAAAAAAAATCTCACAAATTATACAAGTGCATACAGTTAGTACTGAAAATGCAAAGTGCTCTCTTTTATCTCTGTTTCTTCTTTTTCACTATTTAAAAGCATTTTATCAAAGTCAATAACAATCTCATAAAATGTCTTTATGAAAAAATAATTGTAAATATCAAACACAATTGGAGCTATAAGTTAATTTTCAATTTCTACTATAAAAAAAAAAAAAAAAAATTTGATGAGAAGAATATACTGCTGATTCTTGGATTTTTTTTTGTTAGATTTGTCCATGCACCGATCGTCAAAGAAATTGATTGAAATTCATTTTTCGATCAAATTCCATTATTGACGGTATTTTAACAGCAGGTATTTAAAAATTGGTGCAATTTGTAATTAAACTGGGGCATGCTTTTGTTTTAAGACTTGACATGATTAAATAAATTCATAACCGTTTGATCATATGATGAGGGACGGTGAGAAAATTAGTGCACTAGGAATTGGCATTTGGCGGTGGAGGCCTTCGATCGTAGTCTCGTCTGTAGTCTTTGTTTGACCTCCAATCACCTTGGTAACCATCGTTGGAGTAATTTCTACCGCCTCGAAAATGATTTTGTGGCATATCAGGGGGTGGATAACCACCACCACCACCACCACCTCCTCCTCCACCGCCTCCGCCACCGTAACCACCCGATCCACCGTATCCAACGTAAGGAGGTGGCCCCGATTGATATCGATAGTAATCGCTGAAAATAATATTCATATTGTTAGTAATTTTTTCTAAGAAGCAAGTAAACTCTCAGTACATTTACATCGATTGCCTGAAAATTATTGCCAGAAATTACAGACTTTGCATTCGTTAATTAACTTTAAAAAAAGTATCAAAAAGTAATTTTAGGAGTAAAAAGAAATAGTAAAAAGTAGCTATCGAAAAATTAAATTTGACGAACGAAAAAACTCGTTTTCATTGATTCAATGTGCAAACAAGTAACTTACTTGAAGTACGTTTATCACAAAAATTTTATTATGATTTCCAGAAAAAATATTAACTTCCTTCTTTATCCTAGTGACCATTAAATAATTTATTTTAAATAGGGATTTAAATACATATTGTTTTTTTTCCGAAGGAATTAAATTTTTAATAATTTTAGTGTAAAACCTTTTGAAATATAATTATTTATAAAAATTACAACTGCAGTTCTTCCAAAATTCAATTATTTTTAGGATTTTCAAATAAAATTAAACAAAACTTTAAGAATTTTTTAGAAAAATAATATAATAATATTTTTAATTAAGTATTTAAATATTATTATTCTTTTACAACAATAAAAATGTTCAAAGATTTCAATTTAAAAACCTTTTGAAATTTAATTATTTCTGAAAATTTTTACTAAAACGTTTCCAATATTCAATTATTTTCTATAATAGAGTTGACACAAAAATTTGATTTTTCCCTGATATCCAGGAAAAATAATTTTCATGATATCAATTTAATTATTTTCTAAAATTTGTAACTAAAATTCTTTCTTAAATCAATTATTTTTTATAATTTTTGCAAAATTTCTTTGTGAATTCAATTATTCATAGAAAAAAAAGAAATTTCACCGCAAAAATAATTTTGAAAACCATTTGCTAATAATTCAATTTTATGAAATTTAGATTAGTCGAAAACTCACAATTAAACTTATATTCAAAACTTGAACTAATTTCAAAAAAAAATTTTTAATAAAATTTTTCAAAAATTGACAATTTTTAGAATTGTTAACTAAAATTTTTAAAAATCCAAATTTTCTAAAATTTCATTTTGAAAATTTTTGATAATCAATTATTTATAAAAACTGTCAACGCAACTTTTCTAAAATCCCATTATTTTTTGATTTTTTAAGTAAATATAATAGAATAGAATTTATTTATTGATTTTTTAAGTGAAGTTCTTCGTTAAATAATTTTTTAGTAAAATTTTATGATAGTTCTCCGAAGAATTAAATTATTTCCAATAAATTTTTGTCGTGAATAAATAAAAATAAAAGGTTTTGCATTAAAATTCGTGGTGATTTCAAACAAAACAAAAAAAATCAAGAAGAATTAAACTTATTGATTTAAATGTAAAATGCAAAATTTTAAATTAAAACTTAAAAAAAATGATTTTGATAAACTTACTTTCTTTTTTCATTCATGTGCATTCGATCACGATCTCGATCTCGATCGCGGTGATATCCACCTCCTCCCATACGTCCGTAATTGTCAAATCTTTCTCGTTTGTGATCTCCAAACCTGATTTAAAGGATAAAATTTTTTTGTGAAATGGAGAAAATAATTTTAAAAAAAGTCAAAAAAACTTAATAATTTTGGACACATTGAATTGAAGAGTTAGAATTAGAATTAGAGTTAGAATGAATCTAATTTTAGAAAAATAACGATTTTAATTATAAAATCCAAAAACTTAGTCTTTAATAAATTACAAATTTACTTCAAGTTCAGATAAATACAAATTTTGTTTAAATAGTAGTTTTGTTAAATAGTAATTCATTTAAATGAAAATTTAGTTAAATAAAAATTTAATTCCACAAAAATTCAATTAAATGAAACTTTAATTAAATAAAAATTCCAATTAAATGAAATTTTATTTAAATAAAAATTGAATTCAATGAAATTTTAATTAAATAAATTTCAATTAAATTAACCTTCAAGTAAATAAAATTGCAGGGATCAAAGTGATATTTGCATGTTATATATTATATTAGATAAAAAAGGAGATTTTAATTTTTAAAAAGGGGAATAAGTTTTAAAAAAGAAGATTTTTCAAATTAAGTTCAAATAACTAAAGTTTTTCCAAAGCTTGCAAAAAGTAAAAATTCTTTTCTTCAACATATTAAAAAAATGTCGAACTTACAAAGAGATTTTAATTTTTGTAAATTTTTTTTTAAAAAGTGAAAAAGTGGACTATGATTCCTGAAATTGTTGTTAAATAAAAAATGCAGTTGAATAAAAATTCTCTATTATTAAAATTTAATTAAACCTAAATTCAAATAGATATTTAATTTAAATGAAATAAAATGACAATTTTTGTAAAGTTTTCTTTAAAAAAAGGGGACAAACTTTTGATCCTTGAAATTGTTCTTGTAATATAAAAAATGCAGTTTAATAAAAATTCTCAATTGTTAAAATCCGGTTAAATATAATTTCAAGTATTTGACTGAAATAAAATAAAATTACAATTTTTGTAAATTCTTAAAAAAGGAGAAAAAAAGAAACTAACTTTAATTCCTGAAATTCTTATATTATTTAATAAAAAATGCAGTTGAATAAAAATGTCTAATTATCAGTATTTTTAAATGTAAATTCAAATATTTAATTTAAATAAAATGAAAAAATATAAATTATTATTCAATAAAAAGTGCAATTGAATAAAAATTTCTAATTATTATCAGTATTTAGTTAAATGTAAATTCAAATATTAGTAAAATCGCAAAATACAAACCTGTTATCTCGATGATCTCGTCCGTCTCTCGGCATCCAATGTTCGTCCTCTCGACTTCCACTATAGTGTCCTCCCATTCCATATCCACCGCTGTCTCTTCTAATCCTCTCGTCCTTACTTGAACTCAATCGATCCATATTTCTGTCATTATGACCTCGATCTCTATCACGATCACGATCTCTGTCGCGATCCCTTTTCATTTCCTTGTGCTTCATCGGTTCCTTTGATTCCTTATGCCTCGTCATTTCTCCAGTACTGTTTGTTGTACTTGGCGTGGAATTTGACGTCGACGTCACTGGCGTTATTGTTATCCCTCCAATTGTCACCGACGAAGTGCTACTTATAGTGCTCAACGATGTATTTGTTATTAAATGTTTTTTAACTGGGAAATTATTTGTATTCTCCTCGGCCTCTTCGATTCTTCTTTTAACTGGACGTGATTCCTTCGCATTGTCCGCTGGACTTTTCGTCGAGTGCTTCTCTGATTTCTCCTCCGATTTCTAAAAAAAAAAAAAGAAAAGGAAACATTTTTTTTTATTTAAATCGAAAATTACATTTTTTTTTAAATCGAAAATTTTGAAATTATTTTCTTTGAATTAAAAGATTTGAAAGTATATTTTATGAATAAAATAAAAAATATTTTAGTACCTTTGTAGGAGTGGCTTCCTCTTTTTTCTCAGGCGTCGAAGTCATACTGGAGTGTCCATCTCCTTTTTTAATTGCATGCTTATAAAGTTTATAAAGTTTCTTTGCATCGAACTCGGTGAATTTAGAAACAAAATACCATAGATTGCTCCTCCATTCTTTCACTTGCTCGGGGTCTTTATATTCCAAAAGACAGGTATTTATTTGATTTCCAATTTGTACAAGACAGTTTCTGGTGTGAGCCAGTTGATCCGATTCACTTAATGATTGATCAGGCTTGTCTAGAGCTTTCAAAGCTTTCTTTACTGGTCTCATCTTTTCCTTACACTATTGAGCAAAATTTAAATATTTTTATTATAATATCGAAAAACTTCCTTGACGAGGAAGAAAAAAATAATATAAAAGAAAATAGAAAGCGTTGAAAAAATTGGTATTTTAAAAAAAATATTTAAAAAAAATATTTTTAAATTTAGAAGATAGAATAAATTAGGACTTAGATAATTAACTAATTAGTGCATAATTTACCTCATTAAAAATTGACGGATCCAAATCGCCCAGAACATCGAGAGCTCTTGGTTCATTATTCGCTGTAAAATGCATTGGCCCTACAGGTTGCTTCGACTTTTTATTTTTCTTACTCTCTTTTTTCTCCTTTTTCACTTTCTTCTCCTTCTTCTTCTCCTCAGAAACTGTTTCAGCCTCCTCTTTGCTCTCCTTTTTCACCACAACATCTTCATCTTTATCTTTATCCTTATCCTTATCTTTCTCTTTCTCTTTTTTTTGTATAACCTGCTACAAAAATTTTTATGGGAAATATTAAGCAACAACATATACCAAATCCATTTATTATTCCATTTTTAATTTATTATTTATATATATATTTATAATTTAATTTTTAATTAATTATACCTTTTCAATCTTTGGCTTTGGTTTTTTGTTTTCCTCTCCAGAACTGTCGTTTTCTTCAACAATTTCCTTCGTAATTGCTTTTGAAACATCTTTAGTTTTTCTTGGTTTTCTTGTTCTTGTCTATAAATTTTTATAATACAAAAACATTATAAGGAATGTCGTAATTTATTAGATATTCAAATTGTTATTATTTTTAAATTTATTAAATATTCAACACTGATTGAAACAACACTAAGTGAATTAATGTGCGTGATAATTTTTTACTTCTACTAAATTACGTACAATATCAAAAATTTTATAAAATCTTGTATTTTAATATTATAATGATTAACGAGTAAGATTTTTATTATTTTTAAATTGAATAGTTGTTAAAATTTAGAGATAATATAAACACAATACTCACGATACATTTTTCTGAACACAAATATAATTGAACGAAATAAAAAAAAGATGGTACGAATTTTCAATTTGTAAATTGTTTTTACAATTTGATACAGAAAGATTTTTTTATATCAAATATTCGAAATAAATTTATTCATTTAATATCGATACCTATTAATTTAATTGAATAAATATGAAAATAAATAAGTAAATAAATAAAATTAATTAATTAAATAAATTCAAAATCAATTGAATTTTTATTTTCTATAAATCAATTTATAGATTCAGTGTTCTATTTACAAAAAAAAAAAAAATTGGAAAAAATGCATAATAAATAAATAAATAAACGACAAACATATAAACAATGTGGAGTACAAAGGTGCGAGTGATGGGATAAGGCAACAGTCATTAGGATTTACCTTGGAAAGGGAATCAACTTGTGGGATCAGGACGAAACCCTGTTAAAATAATAAATTATATATGAATTTAAATTAAAAAGAAGTCTTCGAATAAATTATAAATTTTTTTTTTGTTTCTTTTAATTTAGAAATAGAAATTCGAAAATTCTTACCACTCCTAATTTGAGATCCATTTGTTTCTTCAATACTTTCAAAAGATATTCCCCTCTAGTACTGATTCTCTTCCACTGTAATTTATTGCTACCATTTCCTTGCAATTTTTCATTTAGCTTTAAACTTGGATCAGCTTTAATTGCCTCCCAAGATCCCATACCGTGTTGATAGATACCTCTCAATAGTCTCGAATCATCCTCCGTTGTCCATTCACAATCGAAATTTGCTGGTTTTACTCTGCAATTAAATAATTATTATATCTATTTATCTTTTATATTAATAAATTAATAATTTAAAATAAAATATGAATTTTTTTTTTTGTTTTAAAAAATGACATTTGTGTTTAAAAAATGGTATCCTAATTTTTCTAAATTTTATAATTTCAGATCTAAAATAATTTAAATCTTGTATAGAATTTTATTAAAATTTTGGAAAAGAATCGAAATGTTTAAAAGAATTTTATTGAAAACGTTTGAAAACAATAATTGAATTCTTTCAAGAAATTTAATTAAAATTATACTGAAATTAATTGAATTTATCTAAAGAATTTTATAAAAAATTTTGAAAATAATTGAATTCATCTATTAAAAGAAATTTTATTAAAATTGTATTGAAAATAATTGTAATTATAATAATTTATGGTAATAATTGAATTCCTTCAAGAAAATTCATTAAAAATATATTGAATATAATAAAATTTTAGTAAACAAATTTTATTAAAATTTTTAACATTAAATTCAATCGAAAATTTTATTAATAAATTATTATTATTTAGGTATTATTATTATTTTTTAATAATAATTGAATTCCTACCAAGTACTTTATTATTTATGAATTTATTTAAATTATTTAATTCAATTAAATTTATTTGAATTTGTAAAAATACAAATTCAATTCCATCAAAGAAAATTTAAATTCTTTTGAGGAATTTAATTTAAATTGTACTGAAAAAAATTGAATTCTTTTAAAAAATTTTACAAAAATTTCTGAAAATAATTGAATTCTTCTAAAGAATTTTATTAACATTTTTGAAAATAATAAATAGAAATAAATAATAAAATAAATAAAATAAAATAATAAATTAATAATAATTAATTAATTAATTAATATGTGAATTTTTTAAATTTTGAATCTAAAATCTTTCAAAAATTGGAAGTTGATATTTGAATATAAAAAAAAATTTGAAATTTTGCATACTAATAATAATAAATCAAGTACCGCGTTTCGCTCGTATTATTAGCTAGTTTTTTACTAAAATGGAAAAATTTTTTAAATTGTTAAATGGAAAATTGTTTACATACTTGACATCCAAATGCCAATTGGCTCGATGCTCGGCATCAGATGGTAGAGCTTGATCCAAAGGTTCGAGTTCTTTGACAGCAGCTGACAATGATTTAGCATTAACCATAACACCGCCCAATTTGAAAGTTGGTCTTCTTCCACGTTTACGTCCTGTTCCTTTACCATCATCATCATCAGTAGCAGCAGCAGCACCAGCGGCGGTGGTTTTATTTTCCTTCGTCGGGGCAGCACTCTCATATTCTGTCAAACAAGTTTCACTTCTCGCTCGTAATTGTTCAGATAGAAATTTCAATTCAGGAAGTGGCTTCTCCTGTAATTCAGCGTCAACAGCAATATCGTCTAATCTCTTTAAAGGAGCTGGGAATTTTTTATAACTCTTGATAAATCTCCTAATTTCAACGTCAGTGAAACTCTTGATATTTTCACGTGGTGTGACACGTGGTCTACCACGTTTCTTCGGTCTATCATCATCACTTCCATCGCCTTCACTACCCGAATCATCAACATCATCACTCTCCTCATCATCATCCGCCTTTTTTCTCTTTCGTCCTCTACCCTCGCCTTGATTTATTTGCTGCAATGTCTTTCGACTCCTCGGCGGTAAATAAAGATCCTCCATTTCCTTCGATTTCTCCTCCTCTTCAACTTTCATACGGAAATTCTCAGGTATAATTTCCGCCCAATCTTTACTGTCATCCTCATTATCATTCATTTGATTCACTGGTTCTGATTCCTCCTCAAAGGCGGCAAAACTCGCAACTTTAAAAGCCGATAATAATTCATCGCCAACTGTTGTTGGCGCCTCATCACGTGTCTCAGCTCTTCGTAATATTTCATCAATATCACAAGTTGGCTCCTCATCGCCATCCTCCTCGTCCTTGAACAATTCTTCAGCGCCAAATTTTAAAATTGCACTTAAATCTTCTTTATTAAAGGGATTATTATTCGAACTACTGCCCTTCTTATCTAAAACAGTTCGACCAGTTGTGTCCATTCGTTGAATGACAAGATGATCGAGAACCATTTTTTGCTTGGCACGTTCAACAATTTCCTCTTCGACAGAATTCTTTGTTACTAATCTATAAATATTGACTTGATTCTTCTGACCGATACGATGTGCTCTAGCTTGCGCTTGAAGATCATTCTGTGGATTCCAATCGGAATCGAATATAATAACAGTGTCGGCGGTTGCTAAATTAATTCCCAAACCACCGGCTCGTGTTGAAAGGAGAAAACAAAAATCTGTTGAACCCTCAGCGTTAAAATGATCGAGAGCTTGCTTTCGCAATTCACCCTTAATACTTCCATCCAATCGCTGGAAGGGAAAATGTCTCTTTTGAAGATATTCACTAAGAATATCCAAAAGTCGGACCATTTGACTGAATATTAATACACGATGACCAGTTTCACGTAAACGGACCAATAATTTATCGAGTAGAACAAGCTTTCCAGAACCACGTATCAATTGCTGAAGATAATCCTCATTTGATTCTCTATTATCATTATCGGCTGGTTTCGTCAAAAATGCATGATTACAACATTTTTTCAATTCAATAACAATATTTAAGAATGTCGTCGTTGATCCTTTATTGCCTTTTCTCAAGGCATTGTAATTTTTTGTTAAAATCCACTTATAATATTGTTTTTGTAACGATGTCATTTCAACACGTAAAATTTGTTCAACCTTTGCCGGAAGGGATTTTTCAACGTCTTTTTTCACACGACGAAGAATAAACGGCTCCAGTTGTTTATGAAGTTTTGAGTAGCCTTTCTGTGCCGCATTATCGTGCTCTTTTTCAAATTCCTCCCACGTTACAAATCTGTAGAGATAGAAAAAAACAATAGATAAATAAATTACAATTATGAAGAAAAAAGAAAGAAAATTCTAAAATTTATACAAACTTGTTGGGCATAATGAAGTGTAACAGTGCCCATAATTCTTTGAGACTGTTTTGCAAAGGTGTGCCTGTGATTAAAAGTCGATGATTTGTATTAAATTCAGTGAGTGCTTTGTACAAGAGTGAGTCATCATTTTTTAAGCGATGAGCTTCATCGACCAATAGAACGGCCCAATTCAATGCACCTAAGAACAATTTATCCTTAAGGACTATCTCGTAGGTCGTGAGAATAGCGTTAAATTTTATTTTCTTTGATTTGAAACACCATTCATAGTCTCTGATCTAAAAAAAGAAAACAGTATTTTTAAAAGCCATCGGTTTTTTCTATCATATATATAGTTTGCCTAAAAGTAAAATTCTATTTTTGACTAATTGAATTTTAAATTTAAATTAGTAAGTTGTTAGAAATCTTACCTTCCCAAGATCATTTATATTATCAGCATTAATAGATTTAAATTCAATAATTTTTAAATGTTCAAACTTGCCACACTAATAGAATCTTAAAAATTTAATAAATTCAGGCTTCGCACTTGTTAATTAATTAAAAAGGGTATAAAAAAAGCTTTTAGACTGAAAAAAAATGAGAAAAAAATAGCTATCGATAAATTAATTTTGACGTCCGAAGAAACTCGTTTTCGTTGATTCAATTTGGGCAAAAGTAATTTATTTTATTCAGAGTTATCACAGAAACTTATTCTAGTAATGACTTCAACTCTAAATTTTTGGAAAATTAAATTATTTTCCAAATTTTCAATTAGAATTCTTTAAAAATATGATTAGATTATATTTCAAATTAATTTCTAAAAGTAACTACCTTTAAAAACTTTTAATTACAATTTTTCAACAACCTCAAAACATCAGAATTTCACTAGAATTTAAAAAAATTATTGAATTACATTTTATTACTTATGATAATAATTGAATTCATTTAAGAATTTTATTTAAATTTTTGAAAATAATTTAATCGTTTCGAAAAAAAATTAAAATAATTGAGGCCTTGGATCCAATAACTCGCCCGACGCTCGGAGGAACGCGCAACTGCCAGTCAGTGAGCAGTGAGCGCCTCTGTGTCACTCACTGCTACCCAACTGGTATTAGCGCGTTCCTCCGAGCGTCGGGCGAGTTATTGGATCCAAGGCCTCAATTTTATTAAAAGTGAATTGAAAATAATTGAATTCTTGTAAAGAATTTTATTATTTATGAAAATAACTGAATTCATACGAAGAATTTTGTAAAATTGTTTTGAAAATAATTGAATTCTTTCGAGGAATTTCATTTTATTGTATTTAAAACAATTAAATTTCTACAACGAATTTTATTATTTTTGAAAATAATTGGATTCATGCGAAGAATTTTGTAAAATATTTTTAAAATAGTTGAATTCCTGCAAAGAATTATATTATTTATAAAAATAATTGAATTATTGCGAAGAATTTTATTAAAAGTTTTGAAAATAATAAATAGTAATAATTAATTATAGTTAATATATGAATCGAATTATTCGAAACTTCAGTATTTGTTGTTAAATAAATGTTTAAATACTTATTATTATTTATTTTTTCATAACAATTCAAACTTTTAATAATTATAATGAAAAATCTTTTGAAATTTAATTATTTGTTAAATTAAAATTACAACTGCAATTCTTCCAAAATTCAATTATTTTTTAGAATTTTGAAATAAAATTATTCAAAACTTCACAATTTTTTAGAAAAATAATTAAATATTAATTAAATAAAATTTTTTTTTAAATTAATTAAATATTTAAATACTACTATACTGTTACAAAAATAAAAAATTACCAAGATTTCAATTTAAAAACCTTTTGAAATTTAATTATTTCTAAAACTCTTCTAATAAAAAGCTTCTAATATTTCAATTATTTTCTATAAAAGAGTTGCCACAAAAATTTGATTTTGTTTTTCCCTGATTTCCAAACGAAATAATTTTCAAGAATTCAATTCAATTCTTTTTTTACAAATTATAACTAAAATTCTCTTTTAAATCAATTATTTTTCATATTTTTTTAGAAAGTTCTTTGTCAATTCAATTATTCATAGAAAAAAAAGAAAGTTTACCTCAAAAATAATTTTGAAAACCATCTGCTAATAATTCAATTTTATGAAATTTCGATTAGTCGAAAATTCACAATTAAATTTATATAGGTATTTTAAACTTGGACTAATTAAAAAAAAATGTTAATAAAAATTTTTCAAAAATTTACTTCTTTAGAATTTTCAACTAAAATTATTCGAAATTCAAATTTTCTGAAATTTTAATTTTAAACTTTTTGAAATTCAATTATTTATAAAAATTGTAAACGCAATTCTTTAAAAATTCCATTATTTTTGGAATTTTTAAGTAAAATTATTCGTTAAATAATTTTATGATTGCTTCAAGAATTAAATTATTTTAAATAAATTATTGACGGAAATAAATGAAAATAAAATGTTTTGCATTAAAATTTATAGTGATTTCAAAGTTTATAGTCAAACAAAAAAATTCAAAAAGAATTTAGTCTTTCTCAAAGGTTTAAAATGTTTAATATTTTCAAAGTTTCCTGTACACCAAAATCCAGAATTTTCTAATAAATTCTGAAAATTTAATATTTTTTCAGTACTTTTCTGAAAATTCCCCCACTTTCCCCTGAATTTCCTATAATTTTCCAAATTTTTCAATTCTTATCAGAATTCAACTACGAGAATTCAATTATTTCATTAATTTATTATTAATACTAATTAAAAAAACAGTAATTGATAAAATAAATGATTATTTCTAAAAATCGCAATTGAAAAATTTCAATTCAAAATTGAACATGTTTTTAAAATTTTTAAGGTGACCTAGAAAATTTAAAGATAATTTATGTTTTTCAATAATTTGATATTTTTCTTCTACTTGATGTAAAGTTTTCTTACTTCTCTTATTTCTGTTCTATGAGAACCCACTTACTTTCAAAATTCATCAAAATGTAAAAAAATGTCTAAATCAAAAATAATTTTGCAGCAATCACATCACTTTATCTTTTATTCTAATAGAATGAAGGGAGGAATTATTTGTCGAAAAAAGTAGATAAAACAAATAATCTTGTAAATTAATTAATGAATTGTAATTTTGTATCAACACTTAAAATTTTAATAGTTTGGAACTTGAATCAACGAAGATTAGATTAGATTAATTTGGATTTATAAAAGTAAATTTAGTAACAAAATTTTTATACATTAGTGAAGCAAGATTGCTAAATTTATGATTATTTTGAAGAAAATAAATATGAATTTTATTTAAGCTACTAAGGGGTTTAAAATAGTGCAAATTCTCTAAAAAAAAATAGAAAAAAGTAGCTTTCAGTGGAAGAAATCTACAAAAAAGATCTGAATAGTAACAAATCGTTAAAAAAAAAAGTAGTAAATAGGTTTTAGGGGCCGTCCATAAACTACGTCACGTCTTAGAGGGGGGGTGGAATTCATTTTTTGTGACGTTCTGTAGAAAAAATGGCGCTAGGGTAGGGGGGGGGGTGGAAAAATTATGCAAAATAGTGTGACGTAGTTTATGAACGGCCCCTTAGTAAATGAGTGCGAAGTCTGTAAATAATATGGGCGAGAAACTTACAACATTCCTTGATGTAATGTCACCGAGATATGTCACAAAATTCAGTTCTGGTGCCCATTGTGTCATTTCTCTCTGCCAGGATGTCATTGTCGATAGTGGAACAACTAACAAAAATGGCCCATAAAGTTGATGTGTATGAAACAGATAATATAAAAAGCAAATTGTCTGGATTGTTTTTCCGAGACCCATTTCATCGGCAAGAATTACACTGCAAACAAAAGAATTATTACATAGTGAAAATTATTTTTTGGAAAAGAAAAATTGAATTTTGTACAAAATAAAACAATTGTTTTTTTTACCTGTTTTCTTTACACCACGAATGAATCATCCAATTGAGACCATTCATTTGATAATCTCGGAGAATTAATTCCTTCCCTTTACCCACATATTCGGGTTGTTCTTTAAGTTGATGAAACTTTGGCCTCGATTTTAAAACTTTACAATGCTTACTGGGCGTATTTTGTGAGTCCTCTCTATCTCGGAATTCTTGAATTTTTTCCGGCCATCTTTTTACAATGAGAGCACCATCTTCCCATGTTGCATCGGCATATGGTAAACTCTCCCATTTACAATAATAATCCGGATAAACTGAATCAGGTTTATCGAATTCGGCAATTATTCTTTCAACAAAATTATAACTTTTTAATAAATCTTGTTGAAGTTCAAGTTGACATTCGTAATAATCAATATCTTCGGGTCCCGCATAATCCCTCCAATATTTAATTTCACGTTCTTTTTTCACAAAATTCTCCAATTTTTTTAAGCCCTTTACCTTTTGGGCTTTTAAAGAATCATTCGATTCCCAGGTATTGTGAATGTGTGACCAGCCTTTCCATTTTATTAAATATTGTACCTCAGTTTCTTCATTTTCCAAATCAGTTGGATTTGGATCGCCATTCTCTTCAACGGCGTAGAGTGTTGTTATATTACCTGTAACTGTTTACAAAAATTCGTCTTTTAAATGGAATTATAATTTTTTTGAAAATTATTTTTCAGTTTCATTTTAAATTTAGATAAAGATTTTTTAAAAATCTAATTTAATATTTTTCTTGAATAAACAAAAATACACTGATTATTTTTAACGAACCTCCTTTCTTTCCATTTCTCTGTCCCAAAATGCGTTCAATTGTTTCCGCATTATCGGGCTCGGCTGGTACTTCAGTCTCATCTTGTTCCACAAGATCCTCACTGTCAGTTTTATCCTCGCTTTCTTCTTTGTAACTAACAGCAGCTCCTGTTCTTCTTGTGACTTGTCTGTAGAAACAAAGAGCAAAAAAAGGTGTCAAATTTCACAAATTATAACATTAAAGTGTAATTTTAATTAATTTAATTAATTTCTTCTAATTTATTCTCAGCATAGAAATTGAATTAAATTATTTAAAGAAATAAATTACAATAGAATGAAAATATGAAAAACTCTTACCTTCTATGATCATCACTATCATAAGAGGACTCTGAAGAGTCAGAAAGTTGTTTTTTACGTGCTCGTGCTTTCTCTTTGGCTTTTTGAGCAGCTTGCCGATTTATCGATTTACTCGGTGGTGGTTTCTTTCGTTCAACATCTGACTCTGAATCTGAACTATCGGAATTCCACGTACTATGTGTACTAGAAGAAGAAGAATAACTAATCTCAGCTGTGCAAAATTCAAGTTCTTACAATTTTTTTTTCTGTTAAACAGATTATCCAGATAAAGTTCTTTATATTTAAAAATTTTCCTTTGACTTTTTTTTAATTTCAAGCGTCTTAGTTTTTTCATTAATTAATATTTCACAACTTTTATTTCTTTTTTCTTTGTTAATTTTAATTGCTATTTTTTCTGTTTTTTCCCTTTATCTTAATAATCGGTTTTTTAATTAAAATTAAATGTTAAGAATTAAAAAATACAAAATTTAGTTAAAATTGAAGAAATTAAATAGGAAATTTAATAAAATTGAAAAAAATTAAATTAAAATTATAGTCCAATTTAACAAATTTAAAAAAGTGTTTTAAAATAGATAGATTTTAAAAATATAGAAATAACTGAAATCTTCATCAAGAGTAACTTTTCGAGAAAGAAGAATAAATCGTGGTCAGAATTTTTTTATTTTGCGAAAACTTATGAAGATCCCATTCTAAAATTAATAAAGTACTAAAAGAATCCACTTTTATTTAAAGATAAAAATTAATTTCCAAATTCTAATAAAATAATTTTTTTTTTTGAGAAAACTTTAAAACTGCTGAAAATTAGAAATGAATCTAAACCATTAAAAGCAATAGTTTACACTTCGAATATCAATTTATTAACACCAACAGTTTATATATAAAAAGCATTATCAACTTTCCAATAAAAATAGAAATGATAATAAAAATAATAATAACAAAAACAGTAACTGTATTAATAAAAAAATAATAATAACAATAATAAAAAGTCGATAGGTAAGAAAAACTATGTACGAGTGACTTAATATTACAAAATAATTGTTTCAAATAAACAAACATAAACCAGTGAAACATTAAATACTATAATTGTGAATAAAAAGCAAATTTTAAAACCACACAAACTAAAAATGAAACCTGCAAATATTTGGATTATGCCCAGGAAAAAAAAGAAGTAAAAATTCTATTTCCAATATTCTTAAGTTTTAGATTTTTGTTGATTTGATAAATTTTCGAAAATAAAATATTGGAAATAATTAAAAATTCCTAATTCTTAAACTTTTCCAACTTTAAAAAAACATATTTACAGTTAATTTTAAAAATAAATTTCTTTTAATATACACAATCTATTTTCAGTTGAAAAACAAATATCATAAATTTTATACAATTTTGTCAAAGTTTTTTCTTTGGAGTACATCCAAATTAATCAATTTTATTAATTTTTCCCGAAGATAATTTTTTTGGTCAAATTATACAAAATTAAAAAGGAATACTTCTTCCAAAGTTTTTCAATTAAAAATATTTTATTAATTTTCCCCGAAGACAATTTTTTTAATTATTCAAAAGAGAAAGGAATACTTATTTCTTCCATTTTTTCAATTAAAAAACCGAAATGTGTATAATTTATGATTAACGCGTTTTCAACTTGTTATTACTTTATTGTTTTTAAATTGCAAAAAAAAAATTTTGGAAAAACTGTCTAATGAATTTCTTCTTTGGAAAATAAATATTTGTTCTTCTTTCTTTCCTGGGCAATAGTGCTATTGCTTGCAACATCAAAAAATTTGAATTTAAATTTAAAGCTTACACACTGTTTAATGACGAAGCTTAAAAACTGCAAGCACAAAAATATACACTTATTATAGTGCCAGTGTCAATGAAATTTATGCAATGTAAAATAGAAATTTATCTATAATATTTAGTAAATTAACAATTAGAAGGAACCTTGTCTTACCCACTTTAATTTCAAATAATATTTCCTACAGGCTTCATTAAAAAAATTAATTAAATTGTTAATTGAAGAGAAAATTTGTTAAATTATTAAAAAAGTATCAGTAAAGAAAATAAGTAAAACGTTAATATTAGGAAAAATAATTCCAATAAAATAAATAATTAAAATAAGAAGTAATTTAAAGAAAAGAAATAATTTAGATAAAAGAAGTCATTTCAGTAAAAGAAATAATTGAAATAAAAAAAAATCGTTCCTTCAAATTAATAAAGAATACTTACCTTTTTTTCTTAATTTTCTTGCGACTATCGCTGTCGCTTTCACGTTGTGTCGTGAGCCTATCGGGCTCTTTCCTCGACCGATTGGACCTTCTGATGCCATAAATATCAGGATTCTCGTCCCATTCACGACTAGAATCGCTTTTGTGTCGGTGTTTTGTTTCAGTGCTGTTATTCGTTCGTTTGCTCTGATAATTATCATTTTGTGCAGGTGCATCAGACTTTTCAGATTTCTCAGACTTTTCGGATTTATCAGATTTATCTGATTCAGAACCTGACGCTGAACCGGAACACGAGGAGCTAGATTCACTGCACGAGCAGTCAAATTATTTTTACTTTTTACCATTTCCAATAAATGTTTAACGAATTTTTTTTAATATAGGTACAGTATAATAAACCAAATAACATAACTAAAATTTTAAAACAAATTTCGTATCAACAGAATTTTTTTCTAAAAAAAATAATAAAAGAACATTAAAAATTTATTAATCTTTTTTAATTAATCATTAATTATAATATTAATAAAGATTAATTATAATAAATTATTAATTAATAATTAATAATAATAAAATTATTAATATTATTATTTAATAAATAATTAATAATAAATAATAATAATAATAATAATAATAATTAATAATTATTTAATATTATTATTTATTATTAATAATAATAAATTAATAATTAATTAATTAATTATTATTAATTATTATTAATTATTAATTTATTAATTATAAATTATTAATTTATTAATTATAAATTATTAATTTATTAATTATAAATTATTAATTATTATTAATAATTATCAATCAATCCAATTATATTAAATAGTGACCAAAAAATGATAACTTCGAAAAAATAAATTATTATAATTAATTAAAAATTAATATTAATTTTTAATATTTTAATTTTGATAATTAATAAAAATATTAAATTATTAAAAATTATTAATTATGATAGATTAATATTATAATTAAAAATTAATTACTAATTATAATAAAATATGTTGATTATAATTAATTAAAAATAAGGATATCGAATTTTTTCAAAAACAGTAACTGATAAAATAAATCAAAAGTCGAAGAAACTGTGTAAGATAATTATCATGAATATATTGTTAGTGTAAGGCGGAAAATTTCAATAACCAGGGAATTTATTGCAAAAGGACAAAGACTATAATAATAATAATATAGCAAACATGAAAATCAAATACAAAAAAATGTTAAGCGAGTTGAAAATTTAAAAAAAAGTAGCATTTTTTTTAATTAGTAGACAAATATTAGTGTTTTTAAATAAGCTTGAAGTAACAAAAAAAAAAAATATTCAGTGTCTTGATTTTTTTCTAAATCATTTTCAGTGTTTTGATAAAATCAGGCATCACAGTACTTTTTTCCCTCAAAAAGGGGACAAAAATTAATTTTTTTTATACAACTTGAATATACAATTCAAATTTTTTATCATAATAGCTTCTATAAAATTTTTTAAAAATGATTCGATTTTAATCAGAGTGTCAACAAAAATTTAATTTTGTTTTCCCTGATTTCCAGACCAAATTTGGACTTTTCCCCTAAAGAATATTCTGCGGTTCACTCTAAAAATGATTAGATATTAAAACTATTCGAAACCATCAATAACTTCTTTTTAAAAAAAAATATTTAATCATTATTGTTTTTCCATAGGAATTAAAATTTTCAAAACATTCATTTAAATTTTGAAATTTTTTGCAAAAATTTAAGTTTTTTAAAATTTCTAATCAAATTCATTCAAAATTGAAATTTTAAAAATTTTGAAGTTCATCTATTTAAGAAAATTGTAAACGCAACTATTTTAAAATTCAATTAATTTTGAAATGTTTGAATAAAATTATTCATTAAATATTATATATTAAATAAAATTGAAATAAAGGGGCCGAAAGGGGACCAACTGTGATGCCTGTAAAATGTATAAACAATTTTTTTTAAATTACTTTTGCAATTTAATGATTCTACAATTTGCAACGATTTCCCATTTAGTAACAAAAATTCTCTATATTTATACGCATTATTACTTCATTTTTGAATACTATTATAAATAAATGAACGAAATTTATAATTTCGATCATTAAATACCCACCTATCAGATCCTGAACCGGAACCAGACGACTTACTTCCGGAGGAACTGCTGTCACTTTTACTTTCATTGTCAGAATCTGATCCAGATTCTTTACCAGATTCCGATTCTAATGTTTTCTGAAATTAATTAATGAAAATTTTTCACTCACAATTTTATAAATATACAAATAGAAATATATGCTTTTTTCATAGCCTCGGTGTGTGTTGTTTGGAATCTCTGCACATTTTCACAAATAATAAATATTCAAGAAATTTTATATGACAAAATGAAGGAAAAATTTCTTTTATACATCTTTTTATAGAATGTTTATTAAATTGTAAAGATATTTCAATAGAATTTGAAATCGCTTGAGAGTAAAGAAAAAAAAAATGAAAGTAACTGATTTCAACGTTGAAAACTGATTTTTCCTCAATATCAATATCACCGCCATTTCAACAAGTGTTGTCAAACGTCCATTTTGTGATGCAGCTTTTCAAATAAAAATTGTCGACTTCGTGATTTCCCTTCTTTTTTAGGGAACATACTTTTATTGTGGATTCGAGAAAATAAGGATTTTGGGTTTTTGAATAATTCTCAAAAATAATCTTCTGTAAAAATATATTTATTTATTTCTCCAAATCTTAAATTACAGATGTACAATATTTTTTTTGTACACAGTATAAATGTAATTTTAGAAAGAGCGATAAAATGTCATTGTTTTTTCGAGTTTAATTGCTTTTCAATAATAGACAAAAAAATCCATTATTTTTATGATAAACGAACAGAAAATAATAATAATAATAATAATAAAAGTAATAATAAAATAGAAAAAAGTTGATGTTAACTTGATACAATTCAAGAAAACATAATTAAAAAAATATTTTCGAATTCTTTTCCCTCATGTTTTACTCGTTGTTTTGTATATTTTTCTGAAATATATAATTTCAAACAAGAAAAAGAATAAAATTCTAAATCAAAAAAGAAAAATTGGAGTGAAAATATCATTTTACAATCAAAAATGAATTCCACTTTCTGAATAAAATACCAAAAACACTTCTCACAGTAATGTGAGATATTTTTAATAAAAATACTTGTTTTAAAAAACCATATTCTTGAATAAAAACAATGTTTACAAGCTCATAATACAACTGTTTACTCATAGTAAACATGATAAATTTATTTCCCATTATTTTTAATCCAATTCTTTATTCTAAACGATCATAAACAAACTTATTTACGTACAAAAAAATTAAATTAAACATTTAGTTTCTATTTAATTTTATTTGTTCAATTTCCAGAAAATCGGAAGAAAAAAACAGCTGATAAATATAATCACTTAAAATTTTTTTTAGTCATTTGGATACAAATTTTATTTTTTAAATTTCTCATTAAATTTTCTATAGAACTTTGAAAAAAGTCAACTAACCATAAAAATACTGCTTTCATTTAAAATCAAAAAATAAATTTCTATTCTGAAAAAAAATTCTAACAACCAAATTGTTCAAAAATTAGAAAAAAAACCTTTGTTTATGTATTCCCACGAAGAAAAATAGTTGATTATTTTAATAAACAGAACCCATTTGCTGACAGTTTTAATGAAGATTTTTTCATTTTTATGGTGGTAAAAGCCCATGAAAGAATATTAAAATGCTTTATAGAATATTGAAATATTTTCGAAGGATTTACCATAAACTTGATGACCCTAAAATTCCAAAAGGTTCATTAACATTTCTCAGTAAATACACATAGAAGATTTGTTTAAAAATGTCCTGAAATATTAACTGAAACTCCAAAATAAAGAGTCAAAAGTCTCTGGTAAGTCTGAAAAAAATGTTTTATTCAATTTTTGATGAATGTTAGAGGTATTTTTTGAAAATATTGTTAAAATAAAGTGTCTAATAGACTGTTAAAAATATTAATAACAACTCTATGATGACAATAACACCTGTCAGTATCAACTTTAGGCTCAATTTGCAAAAATGGGTCTAACTTAAAATTTCAAATAACTACAAGCATGAGGTGAGGAAAAACCCAGGGGATTGTTTTCCGGAAAAATTGGAGTGGAACAATAGCTCTAATTTGAAAAAACACGTGTTTGACAGAAATTTAAACAAACTTGTAGGTTATTTTAATATGAAAACTTAGTAAAATTCAGTAAAATAGGAGTGCAAGATGGTCAAGTCCCTGGCCTCAAAAGGACCTTGAGGCTACGCCCTACACGTAGAAATCAGTTAAAAATCATTATAATAATTATTTTCCTGTTTATAAACATTTTTTATTTGGCAGAGTGTGTAAACGCTTGGTTGCAATGCGATTTTCACTTTATTCCAAACAAACACCGAGGCAAGATTACGTAAATCTTTTTCGCCATTTATTCGCCGGGGATTTAAATTAACAATAAAATTAAATAATCATTAATAAAAAACCACGAGGATAACTTGAAAATTAAACAAATTCAAAACCCGTACACTCACCTGCATCGTCTTGTCTACGCGTCGCACAATGATTCTAAGTGAACATTCACAGCGTACAAAATTGCACAGTTTTCAAAATAATAAAATCCAGAAACACACGCGCTTACGATAATACACTAAAATTGATACTTAAGATCGCCACATTGTAGAAAAATTACAGATTTCACACGTACTATATGGTCGCAAACCTTAGCTTGGCCGCCATTTTGTGAACTCGACTCGTCCGTTCCTTCGCCTTCACCGCTGCCCAACCCTCCTCCCCACCCCCCCTCAAACCATAACCATGTCATAAAGGGGAACGAGGGGCAAAGGCAAGCGCCCCCTTCCTCTTGTTTCGAAATAAAACAAAAATCACGAGATTTCCCAATTTTACCTGTCGAAAACATGTTTTAATTTTAAATTTTAACGAGAAATTTATGACGAAACATTCGAAAAATTTACTAGAATTTCAATTTAATTTAAAAATCTGTAGTTGTTCGGAAAACGATTCACGAAAATTGTTTAATACGCATGCGCAATGATTACAGACGCAAATACTACCCAGAATGCAACGCGGTTCGTTTTTCGATTTCCTCTTTATGTGCGCAATTAGCGAGTTGCGCCGTTATTAGAAAAATTTTCTTGTAATTAACATTTTTTTCAATTGTTTTTTATTAATGATTAATTAGAATATTATTTTCCGATTAGACGATTTTATGAATAAACACGAAAAACATTGATTTCTTTTATAAACAAATAAAACTACTAAATACTTTTCTTTTCATGAGTAGAAATGAGAAAAGTTTTTTGTAAGTTTTTATTTATTATATTTTATTTTACTTTAATATAATTTATATTTAGTAAAAAAGTTAAAAATTTAATTTTTGAATAGAAGATCATTTGACCAGGGACTTTAAGACCATCTTTGTCACTCTTTTTTTTTTAACAGAATATATAATATTTTTAAATATTTTTTTACATCTAGGTGATAAATTAAAAAAAGCCATGCAAATATTTAATGAAAGAACAAGGCAATGAGATGTTATATAAAATAAATATGTTAATGATGTCATTAATTTGTTGAAAGCGCCCCTAGAGGGAATTTAGGAAGTGATAATAAGCTGATAATGATTTTAAATATAGATATATATATTAAACATATTGAATGTAAAATTGAGATTTTCAAATTGAAAAAGCTGGTGTAATTTTTCAAATGAGCAAAAAAATCTAATTCTCATGATTCAGATTTGGAATGTGTAATATACCGTGCTTTAACACTCACGACAAATGGATGTGGATGGTTCCATACTGTACGTAGAGATAACTATTTTATGATATTTCCTTGGATTCAATGAAAAAAATGTTACTGTAACAATTTTAAAAGGAGCAGAATGACTAGCTATTTCAAATGAAATGCACTCAGAAGTTTAGCATGCAAAACAATACTACGTACAACTGATTGTATGAAAGACAGAAAATAATACCTAAACCCACCAACGGCGTAGAAGTAAAAGGATATTACAATTCATTGACAAAATGCATAACAGATTTGGTTCTTCAATTTTAAAACAATAGTTCCCAAAATGGGGGCTTTAAAACCCCTTTGTCGAAATGTTTAAACTTTGAAATAAAATGGCGCGTACCTAAAGGCGGGTCCGCATGTTTTTTGTAACAAAACTACCCAACCCTGGCTGAAGGTAAGTACACTCAACTGATTGTCAGCCAATCAGAACATACTTCCTTTAATTTAAAAGGAAAATTCATTGAAATAGAAAATATTGATTCAAAGCATTATTTTTTTTAAAATTATAATATATTAGCAAATGTTACGCGCGCGGAACGTGATATTCAATTTAATATATTATTATATTTTAAAAAATTTTAATAAAATTTCAAGAAAGAATTCAATTATTTTCTAAAAGTTTAATAAATCCTTCGAAAAAATTCAATTATTTTTATAAATAGTAAAATTAATAACATTAGAAAAAATTGTTTTTTACCAATAAAAATTGATAAAATTAATAGCAAATTATTTACAAATCAATTTATTCATTATATATACATGACAAATACCTGACAAAGACAAAAATAAATTTCAACATTTAATGTTTTTAATTTGAAATTGATTAATAATTATGAATATTTTAGAGTAACATTAAATTTACTTGTAATTTTTTAAATATATATGTGTCAAAAATTCACGAGGCGAGAGACGAAATTCACATGAAGAAATAAAAGAATTTGAATTATTAAAATGAATTCGAGTAAATAGAAAAATTATTCAAATTATCTTCTGAGAATTATTTCTCGTAACTTTAGTTTATATAAAGTAATAATGTATTAAAATTATGTTTTTGGGGAAAAATTATTCAACATCACCTCTTTTGTTTTCAGTCGTCTGTTGGCACTTTTTTTTCTTCCTTTTCCTCCTTGACTGCACTTTCTTCTTTTGCCTTTGCATCAGGAACCCATAAACCACTGTCAATACATCGCTTCATATGATAACGTGCCTCCTCTTCTGGCATCGCTCCAATTGTTTCTTGCAATAAAGGTATATCCTGTGACTCGAAACATTTTTTTAAAGACTGCAAACAAATTTAATTATTTAATTTAAATTTATTTCCAAAATTTTTTTTTTCTTGAAAAAAGAAGAAAATTTACCTCTGGAAGACTTTCGAAGACTTCTGCTGGATCAAGACCTCCAGGTCCTAGACGTGCTTTTCTCTCTTCCTCTTCAGCTTCTTTAATTGCTTCGGCAACTTTTTCTGCTGCTCGTTTTCGAATTCTTTCCTTAAAGGATCTCAATTCGTCATCAAACGATGTTTTATATTCAACTTCGGCAATTTGAATACGACTGAAGAATGAACCAACGCAAGCTCTTGGATCCACATCCAATTGTTTGGAAAATTCTAAAATATACTGCATGCATATGCACTGATGTGCAACGTGTTCCATCAAATCGTGTTTCTAAAAAAGAATTATTAAATTTAAAAACAATATGTAAAACTAAATTAGAATCTTTCTGAATTTGTTCAGGGTGGCCACATGTCAGTAAAGTCAGGGAAATGACAGGTTTGTTTTTCTACGTATAAATACCTCCTCCATTTCCAAGTTTATGCACCATAGTACCAAATAATTGGCCGTATTCTCACAGACAAGATGTAAATTATCCTGTAAAAATCGTTTACTATCGTCGTACTTTTTCAACATTCCAAATTCTTTAAGTTTCTTTTCATTCTCCTTAACATATTGTCTCATTCTTTTTTCTTTCTCCTCATCGCTCAACAATGCCTCTTCATCTTTTCTTGGTAATTTTTTATTAATAACTGTTTTGGCAAAACCCTCTTGACCAATAGTATCAACATTCCATGGTGTTAATTTTTCCTTCTTTTTCATTTCCTCCTCGTCTTGAGTTATTTTCTTCTCCTCCTTCTCAAGATCTTGAAGGGCTTTCTTTAAATCTGATAAATCTGCAGCTTTGTTACTATCAGTTTCTAACTTTTCAAGTTTTTGTTTAGTTTCATTTAATTTCTTTACTGTCCTGTTTTTGAAAATAATGTCAATTAATAATATTTACTTTCTATTTTTAAATTCAAGTTAATTCTTTCTTTTTTAAATTCTTACTCCTTCTTTTTCTTTTCGTGTTCATCTTGTTCCCGCTTACGCTCTTCCATTCTCTCAACTCTCGCCTGATGACGCCATCGAAATAAGGATGGTGTATCAATGTTAGGATGAGTATCATCTTCGTCATCTGAAATCTGTTTTAAAACATTATTTTTTAAAGAGAAAAACTGAATTTCCCACTTTTACTCGAGACATTAACGTTTATAATAAAAAAAAAAAACTAAATTTTATTTATGCTCCAAAAAAATTGCTATATTTCGAAAATATAATAGCTTAGCAAAAAGTCAATTAAGAAAAAAGAATTATATTCTCAATGGAAAATGATAAATAATTTTTTTTCTAATTAGATATTTTAATTAATTGAAAATCAGATAAGTCATCTTAATGGAGATAACCACGTTCTTTCGAGAACGTTCAATTCGTTCAATTTCTATTAAGTCAGCTTTTCTTACCTCTATATCTTTCCATTTACTATAATCCACCATTTTGTACTATTAATTTCTTATATTTGCAATAACTCACTTCTTTTGTATCGAAAATTTATAAAACCGGCAGTGGTTTATTCCTAATTATATTCGAAATCTTTACTAATCAGTAATCACAAATTCACAATATCACAAACAATCATAAACAAATTTTCTGGTATAAATTAATATATATATAGAATTGAACTTGAAAGTTATTATCAAAAGAGTGTCCTCTTTTTAAGACACTTCAATTTCCCAAATTTTCCGTGGCGCTACTAGTCTCTATTTAATTTTGTTTGGAAAAACCTTAAGTCAAATACACAGGCCAGTAACAATTTTTCCAGAAATTTCTTCTAAGCCAATAGCTTTAGATCTTTTTGGAAAAGATAAATTGTCTGACCAATGAAATAGTCAGGAACGATTGAATCGACAAAAGTCGACGAACTTCGGTTAACTTCGGCTCTAACTTCCGGCGTGTCATCATCCTCTTTCCCTCCACCTTCATCTCGCCCATTTAACAGTCAGCAACTAAACAAATTCAAACAGAGACGTTATTCAGAAGTCCGTTAAATCATTTGTTGCCTTCGGCTTCGTTTTAGGAACATCTCCTTAAGCAGTTTTTGATTGACCCAAGGATAAAAATTACAATGGCATTAAGAAATCGAACTGCAGTTACGGTAAGTCTTAAATATTTTTCGAAAAAAGAAGATAATAACTTTTTTATAGTGGGGAACGCGTGACCGTTAAAGAGTCGTTTAAATGCCCTCCTTTGTAATCAAAAAAACCACGCCAATCTTATTTTGAATATTTTTTCTAATTTCACAATTTATTTACAATTTTTGACAGAACATATTCTTACTTTCTTTGTTTTTTTTCTTTTAATCCAAAAAAAGAGTTTTTTTTTTTTATTACAAAAAGCTCCATTGTCCGAGTGTTTGCTTTTTTTTAACGACAATTAATAATACTCCAAACAATAATAATTTTTTGTAATTAAATTTTCGTTATATTAAATTAACAAAAAGATTTTCTTCTAAGTAAATTATATTTTTGTTTAGAGGGGAGAAATAATTTTATTTTCATTGACCTCACACGCCTATAAAGAAACAAACATCAAAATATTTACTATATTTCATCCAGAGAAAGAGAGAGAATCTATATTTTCTTTTCAAATCTATATTAGAAATACAATTTTTTCTTTCGAAAGAATGAAAAATATTTTCGAGCATTTTTTTTTAAATTTTAGAATATCCTGAATCAGGAGAACACGAAAAATGCTAAATCAACAGCACTTGGTGTACCAAAGCCATCGAGAAGACCAGCTTTGGGTGAAATAGGAAATAAAGTAACAATTCATCGGGGTGTTGATCCAATTCACAAATCAAGTTTATTGCCTGCTAATGGACAAAAGAAGCCAACATTAAAGGAACAATGCAATAAAGAAACGGAGAAGGACAAATTACCAGTTCAAGTTGTAAAACCAGTGGTAAAAACTGATGTTATCTCTGAAATAAGAAAAGAAGTTGAATTAAGAAAGGAAGTTGAATCTTTTTCATCTGACCTCTTAGAAGTTGAGGATATCGACGAGGATGACAAAGAGAATCCCATTCTAGTGTCAATTTACAGCAATGATATTTATGATTATCTTAGAAAATTAGAAAGGGAATATCCTGTGAAGAAAGGTTTTTTGGCCGGACAGGAGGTTACGCCAAAAATGAGGCTAGTTCTTGTTGACTGGCTTGTTGAAGTTCATCAACAATTTCGCTTGATGCAAGAAACACTTTATCTAACCACTTCTATCATCGATCGCTTTTTGCAGGTTTGTTTTATTTGGAAAATGATTTTTTCCTCGTTTTTTTTGAAAAAAATACTTTTTTTTAAAGAAAGACTTTTTTTAAGGAAAAGAACTTTTTTTTAAAGAAAAGAAAAACTGATTCGCTAAGAAGTTGAATTTGATTTGTTGCTTCTTTTTTTCAGGCGTTCTGCTCGATAGATAAAAAAAGATTGCAATTAGTAGGAGTCACTGCAATGTTTATAGCAAGCAAATACGAAGAAATGTACTCTCCAGACATTAGTGATTTTGTTTACATCACTGATAACGCATACTCGAAAATGGAAATTCTTCAAATGGAAATGCTAATTGTTAGAACGCTAAACTACTCCTTCGGAAAACCTCTCCCTCTTCATTTTTTGAGGCGGTACAGCAAAGCTGGAAAGGTTAGCAATTTAATGATTCTGATATACTTTTTTTGAATCGTCCTTAAAATAATCCTTAAAAAATAATTTACAATTGAATACAAATTTCCATTACACTTTTTAGGCTCTTGGAATTCATCATACGATGGCTAAGTATTTTTTGGAGCTGAGTATTGTAAATTATGACACAAGTCACTACCATCCTAGTTTAATTGCAGCAGCTGCTATTTATCTGTCTTTCTTGTAAGTACCTTTATCTGCTTTTCTATTTTTTCCTTTTTCCTACTTTTTTGGTTTTTAATTAAAAAATTCGACTGTCGAGAATATTTTTTAAATTTAATTGTAATTTGAAATTGTGACTCAAATTTAATCACGTACAGGCTTTGCACTCATCTGCTAAAATCTACTATTTACTACTTCCATTATTTTTAATATAATTCAATAAATTTTCTTGATGAAATTTAGTTATTTTTAGAACATTTAATAAAAGTCCTTAAAATAATTCAATTATTTTCAAAACTTTTGGTAAAATTCTGTTGAAGAATTCAATTATTTTCAAAACAATTTTATTTAAATTCCCCGAAACAATTTTAATTTTCTTCCAAACAATTCAAATATTTAAAAAAATTTAATAAAATTCTTGGCAAGAATAGATTTATTTTTATAAATAATAAAATTTTAAGCAAGAATGGAATTATTTTCAAAAATAATAAAATTCTTGTCAAGAATGGAATTATTTTCATGAATAATAAAATTCTTTACAGAAATTCAATTATTTTCATAAATAATGAAATTCTTCACAGAAATTCAATTATTTTCATATAAATAATAAAAATCTTGGCAAGAATTCCATTATTTTTAATAAAATTCAATAAATTTTCTTAATGGAATTTAGTTATTTTTAAAACTTAATAATTTTGAATTAAATTATTTCAAAAATTGCAATATTTTACAATTACTTTCATAAATAATTATATTTTTCACAGGAATTCAATTATTTTCAATATAAATTTAATTAAATTACTGAAAAAAATTTAATGATTTTCAATACGAATTTTGGAAATATTGCAGTTATAATTTTTAGAAATAATTACATTTCATAAGGTTTTTCATTGAAATTATTAAATATTTTGATTCTTGTGGATAAATAAATAACAATTTGTATTCTAATATTACTTTAAAAAAAACTTGTTGAAGTTTTGAATAACTTTCATTTAGATATTCCGAAAAAATTAAGTTTTTGCAAAATTGTAAAAATGTAAAATGTAAATATTTTTTAGTCGTTAAATTTAATTTTTCGATGGCTACTTTTTGCTACTTTTTGTTACTTTTTTTCAATTAATTAACGAGTGCAAAGCCTGCATGTAGAAAATTTTCAAAACTAAATTCTAATTCACATTAAAAAAAAAATTGCAGTGTTATTGGAAATGAAGAGTGCGACGAGGGAAAACAAATTTGGACATCAACATTGAGGTATTATACAACATACAAAAGGGAAGAGGTTTTGCCTGTGGTGCATGAGATTGCCTCAATTGTATTGGAAGCAGAAAAAAGCAAGTACCAAGCCGTGAGAAAGAAGTATACATTAACAAAACACATGAGAGTAAGTTTACGAACAGAACTCAAATCGCCAACAATGATTGCATTGGCAAAGAAAAAGCAGGCTTGAAAGTGTAATATATTTATAAATATACATATTAAATTGAGTTTAGTTTTTTTAAAAAAAAATGAAGAATAAGGGATACGACAGATAAACTCTTATATGAATTTTAAATAGGTAATGTTCAATACCTTAGTCAATATTTCACTGCATGCAAAATTGAACTATTCACGAAATTGTTTCGTTTAAAGAAACAAAATTATATCGTGAAGAAAATAATTTTTTCTTTCCCCTAATTGTAGTTTGTTAGATAGAGAAACGGTGTATTTAGATTCCTACTTACAATAGAATTTTTCGGTAATTTGACATTTAGAAAAAAAAAACTGCGAAGCTGTTTACTTTTAATTATATAAATTTTTTCCAGCCTTAATACATCGACGATTTTAAAATTATTTTTTAAATAGCTATTCTCAACCCTATTTTTCATACACTTTTTGCAAAAAAAATGTTAATGAAAGAAAATCTATGAATTTCTGTTCTAATGGAAAGTGTTTCTGTTAAGTTTCTTCTTAAGCGAAGATAGCTTGATTGCTTTTTTTAAATAATATAACGTGCTTATGAAAAGCAAATATGTGTGTTTGAGAAAGAAAAAGAAAAAAGTAATTCGATAGTCATTAATTAGAGTATCTGGCGTTTTGACGTGAGACACAGTTTTTTTTCGTATTTTTAATTATCTAAATATTAGAAATAATGACTTTAGTTTGCTAACGTCGGTGATATGAGGCTAGAGACTGATCTATCGATGGATTACCGAGTTTTAAATTTCGACAAAACTATTCTATCTTATTTTTTTTTAATGAATTTGGCACTATTTGAAAGAAAATAAACTTTCACTGTCGATAGTTAACTCTCACTAGCCACAGCACGCAATTTTTGTTTATTTTATTTTTATATAGATATATATTGTATATTGTCAAAAAAAAAAAATAATAAATAGATTTTAAGAATGTGGCAAATATATATATTGCACCTTGAATAAATTTAAATGAAGCTATGCCATGCGTTGTACGCTTTAAAAATTACAGATGAATTGAAAATGACAAAATGTAAAATTAGAAAAGGCATAGCAAAAAAAAAAAAAAATTAAAAAAAAATCTTATGCTAAGGAAAAAAAGAGAAAATATTAATAACGAGAGGATAACTACATGTAAAGCGTTTCTTTGATTTTATTCATAGTCAATTTTTCGTAATACTATCGACCGACTGACCTTTATAATATTCTAGGTATGAAAACTATTTCGTCTGCCATTTTGTAAATAAATTCATCATCTATCAAAATTATTCTCGTTTAATTAAACCATTCACTTACTTTAATTTTCATATAATTAAAATTTTGTAAATATTTTTCCCTTAAGAATATAAATAGAATATCCCCGAATCAAAATACAGTCAAAATTCGAACAAAGGATCATATGATAGGACTTGAGCCAAGAATAAGAAAATTCGAATATACTGAAATTCCACTAATAGAATTTGTTATAATTCTAAAAAATAGAATTATTTTATTTTTTAAAAACTATTATAAGAATAAATTTATTCTTTTAAAAATAAATGTCACTTACTTTTATTATTATTATAAAAAAAAGTTAAGTCGTCTCAATTTTCTTCGATGCAAACATATCAAGTCCCAATGAACTTGATTTAATTTCAGGTGGATAAAATATTTTCGGCTCTGAAAAGAATTTAGACAAAATTAATTCAACTGTTTTGTTTTTCAAAATGAAATGCTTTTTAAAATTCGAAAAGTTAAGTTTCAATAAATTAATTAATTTTGATGACTTACCAATTAAATTTTTTGGCATTGGATTTTGTAAATTTTCGATATTATCACTTGCCTGTAGAATAAAAGGAAATAAAATTAGTCTTATAGAAATAAAATTAATTTTTTAATTATAAAGAAAGGTAATTAGTTTTGTTTAAAATTACCATTGAAAGTCTTTCATCGATATCCTTTTTATTCCAAATTTCGTATTTTGAACGCTCAATCAAATTTATAAATAAACAATAAGCATTGTTCAATTCCTCACCTAGTTTTTCATTGTTGAAATTTAAAAGCATTTCTGCAACTAAAGAGACTTCGCCTGAAAAATTGAAAAAAGTTGTATAAAAATTATTTTTTTTACAAAATAATTTCGAACAATTTTATTTATTTGTTAACTTCAAGTTTGAATGAAATTAAATTAATTTTATTTATGATAAATTGGGGAAATTCAATATTTTTAGTTGTAGAAAAATTAAATTAATCAAAATTGAATTTTTTAAAATAAATTAATTTATATTAAAATCAAATTAAATCGTCTTTCTAAAATTAATTTCCAGTTAACGTTAAATTTGTTGCTTAAAAAAAATTATTTAATAATTTAATAGGGATTCACTTAATAATTAATAATAAATATAAGAATAAATTAAACCTTTTTGTGCGTAAATTCTGACGATAATTTCATGTAAAGTTCGAAGTAGTGCCAAATCTTCAAAAACACTTCCTTCCTTCAAATTCAAAAGCTTACGCTCATGTTTTCTACGATTTTTACTAGATTTGTAGGTTCGCCTAGAAATATGAAACGTTACAATAAATTAATTTTTATATCTAACAAATAATAATTCTTATACATAAAAAATAATAATTTTATTAATAAAAATATAAAATAAAAAAATTGTTATGAAAATAATTGAATTCTTCGAAAGAATTTTACCAAAAGTTTTGAAAATAATTGAATTTCTCTAAAGAATTTTAAATTATTTATGAAAATAATTGAATTCTTGTCAAGAAATCTATATAACAATTTTTGAAACAATTAAATTCTTTCGAGGAATTTCATTTAAATTAAAAGGATCTCGGACGTTAAAGATTATTTAACTAATTTAAATTGTATTGAAAATAATTAAACTCAAACAAAGAATTATATTTCTTATGAAAATAATTAAAATCTTGTCAAGATTTTTATTAAATTATATTTATTTTTATGAAAATAATTGAATTTTCGTCAAGAATTTTACTATTCATGAAAATAATTTTATTGTTTTAAAGAATTTTACTAATATTTTAAAAAGCAATAAAAAATAATAATAATATTGAATTAGTTAATAAGAGAATATTTTTAATTTTGAATCGGAAATCACTGAAAAAAATTTGATATTTGAAAAGAACAAAATGTAAAATTCGCATAACAATAATAAATGAAATAAAGCATTTCGTGCGTAATATTTGCTAATTATTTAATAAACATAAATACCCAGAGGAACGAGAAGATTGAGATGTTTTTGTTACTGTTGAACCTGCAATGCTTGAAGTTTCACTTATCAAATCACTAAATCCTTGAGCAGCGTCCGGCTCATTATCGAAGCGAATCTCATTTTTCATTTGCATCTGTTTTTTATATTCGTCCGTTCTAATAAATGCTAAACGCGTTCTATATTTGCAGAATTCTTCCTTGGTTCTTTCAATATATGCAATTAAATCTTTCGCATGCTCATGAACTCCAGGTTTTACATGCGTCTCTAAAAATAAAAATATTAAATCATAAATATAAATATTTAACTATTAATTTTATGTTTTAAGAATAAAATAAAAATACATTTTGCAAGGAAAAAAATTAAAGATTATCTTTAATTCTAATAAAAAAGACTCACCAATTAGATCCATACGTTTCATACAATACGTTTCTTTCCAAGCATCCCGCCACACTTTCCCCTCACACAAAACAGCAACAGCATCTTCTGATTTATTCAAATGTTGCATTAATACTTCTGCAGCTTCTTTATACTTCTTATTTTCTCTCAATTGATTCACCAAATCTTCATAAATTTCATAAGCTTCCGGTACACTAAAATGTTAATCAAATATCAAATAAATATATTTTCTTCTAAATAAAATTTTCCAGAAAAATAATTACCTTAAATTCATTTTAACGACTGTAATGATAATTTCCTGATAGTTTCCGGCTAATTTATGAGCATTTAAAGCTTCCTTAAGGCACTCGGCTTTATGGAACATAACTGCAGCCTCTCGATATTTTGCTTTACTCAAAAAAAATTCACCGTAAGCTTTAGCAATTTCTCTGTATTCATTGCTTCGGGAATTAAATAAATTAAGTGCTTTCATGTATAAATCATGTTTCTTAATAAATTCAAAACATTCGTCAAATTTCTCATTTAATTTCACAATATGCTCTAAAGCTTTCGTATAACGTTTAAGATGTTTATCAATATTGAATTTCATATAATTCTCCTCGAGATTCTTCAAATGATTTAAAAAAGGAATATATTCCTTTGGATCTTTCTGCGATTTTTGTGCAATAAACATTGTCAATTCAAAATCGTACATTCCTAAAGCAGTGTCAAATAAAACATTCACGTCAACTAAATATAATAAATATTTCAATGCTTCTTCACTAGAAACACGTTCTGCATTATTTGTTTCCAATTCACTGTTCTTTATTTCTTTCAATTTTTTCAATGCATCCTCAAAAGCAATCGTCTGTTGCTTTTTCACTAAACTGATTAAAATCGGTTGAACAAAACGATTTGAATCTTGTCTTTCTTCCATTATGTTTCTTAGAATATCGCAAATTTTATTTAATTTTAATTTTAAATCAATTTCTCCTTTTTCCTCGGAACTGTTTTCCAATTTTTTATTTTGATAACTACTTGCATATGTTGTTTGGGTTACATCTTCTTCTTTCAATTCAGAGAGAAATAAACTCAACCATGATGGATTATCGATATTATCAACAAATAACTTTGCATTTTCTGTAAATAAATTGGGATTGTGATCGTAGAGTAAATTTAGATTTATCCTCTGTTTTCGCATAAGATCAAAGGCTGATTTATAATTTTGATTGTCAATGTAGGTGCCAATTATGTGTAGGGATAGAGCTCTCGGTTGTATACACTCTAAATTTCCACGTGGCATTTGTAAAATTGTTTGCGCTTCTTTTGGAATTGCACGGACTAAAATCGATCCTCTTTCAACTCGTCTGATACTTAATTCTAAAAGAAAATTATAAATTAAAATAATAACTGAAATATTTAATTTCAATTTTTTAATAATTTCAGAATCAAAATTGAAAAAACTGACACACTAATTAATTATAATTTACTATTTTCAAATATCATATATTGAAATTTTTCGCGAGAATTCAATTAATTTAATAAATAACAAAATACTTCACAAGAATTAAACACTAATTTTAAATTTAATCTAAACTAAAATTCAAAAACTATACCTGAATGTAAAATTTCATTATTGCCATTTTCCCATGGTTTGAGTGTTAAATCATTTACGGCTATTTGTCCGATGCCCTTTTTACTTAGAGGAAAACATATCAGGGAGTGTTGAAGAGTTGTGAGAAGTAAAAAGTCAGAATGAACGTAGAATGAAGTGACATTGTTACAAACTTCTTTTCCATCGATAAATAAACGCTGTCTTAGACTGAGAGAAATAATCACGTCTTTTTTCTCGATTTCAATAATTTCCACTTTTTTGCAAGCATCCGGTAAATTTATACCAATTGGAATAAATTCGTCATTAATGTAACGAAAAACAGTGCCACCGGCAATAATGTAAGCTGAATTCTTTTTAGGCGAAGGAACAATGTGTTGTATTGCTCCATCAAAATCTTTCACTTTCCTGAAATTATTTAATTACTTAAAATGTAGAATCAATTTTTTAATGATAAATTTTATTTCAATATTTGAAAATATAGAAAGAAACTAAATATTAAATATATCCTTAAATATAGAAACTTAAAAGACTTTTTGCTTTTGCTTTTTTGAATATTTATTTATATTTTTAGTGTATAATTATTTAAACTTACTGTACGGAAAATTTATTGGATTCAGTATTGTTTAAATCCTCCAGGCGAATAACACAGATTGAATTATTCACAGAACATAAAATTCGGTCTTCTTCAAACCACAAAAAATGATGCAGATTCATCGGTATATTTTTATCCAAAATACCATTTTCCAATTCAAGATCATAAGTTTTCAGAAGTTTATACTTTAGATATGATTCCTGGAAATTTATTACTTATTAAAATAGATAAAATTCTAAAATTTATTGAAAAAAATAAAATAAATCAAAATTTACATTTGAATCCACATAAATAGACATTCGATAATTGTCTGAAATGCAAATTAATGCATTTGAATTGATTGATGATTTTGTTGTTGCTTCTTGCGGAGCAAAGAGAATATAATTTATCATTCCATTCATTTCCAAACTTTCTTGGCACATTGGCGGTGGAACAATTCCATCTTTGAAACTTGTCATCAATACTTTCTCGCCATCAATTACAGCGACAATTGCCTTATCAGTTGAATCCTGACCACGACTGTAATTCACTGTCCAATGAAATGTGTACGATATTAAATTCATTTCTGTTAAAACTATCAATTTATTGCCGGATTTTGAAGCGCTACTCCATTTTACATAAAGTACCGGAGTGTCTTTGTTAAACTTAAGCGATTGCTTTAAGTACCAATGATAATTTCCCTCTGTCCATAATTGTACAATTGTTTCTTCTGTTTCTAAATTTTTACACCAAATTGCCAATATTTCTGAATCGTCTGACCAGAGTAGATCTTTCACCTGTGAAAATGATGTATTTTTATATTAATGACAAATATTTATGGTTAATGTAAATATTTAATACATAAATTTTAGTGTATAAAATTTAGTATATACATTTAGTAGTATATTTTAGTTTAAAAAATGTTTTTCGAGACCTTTAACTTCAGGTTGGAGGGTAAAGCGAATTCTCTGTGTTTTAAACCATTTTTCTCAAATAGAGCAACGACGTGTTTATTCGGCTGTTTTTGCGTGGTGGCAATTAAATTACCCATTGGTTTCCAAGAGATATTCTCCTCTAAACCGTCTAATAATTCACTCGTGTATTGTAAAACATTTTCACGATTGTAAACTTTAAATTGTCGAGCTTCCGATTCATTGTTTATAAAACTAACAGCAAACATTGCACCATCACCATTCCAAGTGACTCTTGGTTTTCCATCATCGGTTTCTGTTTTTCTAAAGACAGTCTGCTTTATTTTTGCCGCTGCTTTGCCCTCTGTTCCATGAAACTGTGTCTCCTTTTTCCCCCAACCAACAGTCACGAATTGTTTTTCGCCAAAATCCGATGAAAATAAATCAACCTAAATAAAGAACCATAAAGACAATAAATAAAATAATTTATTAAATCAGGATGGTCACAAGTTTCAGTTTATCAATTTTCCTGATTTTACTGACAAAAATTTTGTTTCCCTGATTTTACTGACATGTGGCCACCATGTAAATATAATAAATGAATTTAATAAAGAACGTTCATAGTAAAAAATATGGTATTGAAAAATTACCTTCGACAAAACTTCTAAGGATAAATCAAGTGTAACGATCTGTCCTGTTTTAGTAACAACGACAATAATATCCATATCAGGACTAATACTCATACAATGTAAATCGACATTTAATTCTTCGTAAAAGATGAAATTTTCTGGATCAAGAATATCAAAACAAAACAGATTTCCATTGTCGGATGCATAATAAATTCTGTTCAAAAATGTGAACATTCCGATTATTTGACAACAATGATCGCTATTTACCGCATGTTCTGTTTTTTCACTATCAGAAGGTATTTGATAAAAATTATTCTCTGTTTCAATATAAAAATCATCATTATCTGGATCGAGGCAATAATGATTGACGTCTGTAGAAAGTCCACGTTTGGAAATTTCACGTATTTCTTGATTATAAAGTGTTAGATTCTTCATTTTGAGTTTCTTATAAATTCTCCGCTTTTTTAATTTCTAAATTCTAAGACCTTAAAAAAACCTTTTAATTCATTTAGAAATTAATATTATTGTTACGACAATAGGAAAACAACCGAAAACACTAACACGTGTTTGTGGATTTAAAAACTTCATATAGATAATCGACTTCATTGGAGAAATCGCTAATAAAGCGCCATGATGAACTAACGGCAATTTTCGTAACATTCATTTTCTGCATATTTTTGAATGTGAAACAGGCTTAATAACGAAATTCTGAAACAAGCTTAAAGGTTTCTTTGTCCAAACATGAAAACGAACCTTTCTAAAACCAACTTCAAGATGCCAGTGCCATAAATTGGGATAAAATCTGTTATTTTCTATTTAAAAAAATGGATTTGTTATATCTATTTTATAATATATAGTACAAATATAAGTAGAAAACAAATTAATCGAATATTTAATGTTTATTAGCTTCATTAATTTGTGTAATTTGTGCCAAAAGAAGTGATTCTATCTATAAGTGCGAAAAAGTCTTTCCAAAAATGTAATGTGGTTGCAATACAGTTGTGTTTTGATAACATTTTTCATTTATAAAAAAAATTCCCTTTATTTCTGTGATTTATGAAAGCATCGCATCTACTTTATGTGAAAAAAACTGGAGAAGTGATTTACAGTTAACCTGTATATTAACAGTTTTCAAAAAATCATAATTTTTATATTCGCAAACAACAAACAATAAATAGGTAATTTCAATTTTCTAAACAAAATGTTTTGAATTCAAAAAATACTCAACTACAGTGATATAGTTATTTATCGATTTGTTACCTGCTTTTTTAAGTATTTAAAAAAATGCATCGTAAAGTTGTAAAAACTTACGATCGTAAGAACAAAGGCAAGTTTGATTCCTCGACAATTCAAGGACCAGCAAGCACAAAATCAAAGGCAATTAAAAAAATAAAGGAAAAGGAAGTATTTAATGATACTTTAGACGATCCATTCGATACAACTTTTGATCGTATCTATAAGGAATTTAAGTGAGTAATTTTTATAATATAAATAACTTTTTATCATTTTTCATTATCCACTATTTTTCACACTTACATTTAATTATCCCTTACTTTAAATTTAGGAAGCAACCAAGTGCACCACCAGTTGCTGAATTATCTCACAATGATTCTATTAAAGAAAATTCAGAATCCAGTTTTCAAGACGAATCATCAATTTATAAATCAAAAAAGAAACCAAGACCGGAAAAATCTCACAATGATTCCATTAAACAAAATTCAGAATCCAATTTTCATGACGAATCATCAATTTATACACCAAAAAAGAAATCAAGACAGGAAAAATCTCACAATGATTCTATTACACAAGATTTAGAATTCAATTTTCATGACGAATCATCCATTTATAAACCAAAAAGGAAATCAAGACAGGAAAAATCTCACAATGATTCTATTACACAAGATTCAGAATCCAATTTTCATGACGAATCATCAATTTATAAACCAAAAAAGAAACCAAGACAGGAAAAAATAAAACTTTTAGCGAAAAGAAAACAATTAATTGAAGATGATTCACTGAGTTTTATTAAAAGTAGTTCATTACTAAATGAAAATTCCGTGAATTTAATTTCAAAATTAAAAAAATGTTCAATTCCATTAGAACCATGTGATTGGATTCCAAAGAAAGAGGAATTGAAAATAAAACCCTGTTCAATTAAAATATCACGTTTGACAGTGCCTGATGTGATAAAGGAAGATTCAGAAAAGAAAATTAGCAGTACTACAAAAAGAAAATGTGAGGAGAATTCAGATAGAAAGGTAAAAAAGTCTAGAATAGAAGAGAGTTTCAACAAAAGTCCTCAAACATCGAGGGAGAAATCAATTAAAATACTCGAATCAACTAAAAAGTTTGATAGTTTTCTAAGTGATTTACAAACGGAAAAAAAGGATAATAAACAATTACGAAAAGTTGCCAGTGCTGGGGAAATAATTAAAAGTCCGTTAATTTTGAAAAATTGCAGTGTTAGTTTAACTCGATTAAATTCACCATCAGTGTCGTTTAGAAATTTAATAAGTAGTACTCCAGTAGTGAAGAAAAAGGGAAGTTTACCAATGACTTTAGAAATTAGTAATATTCCATCGCCAATAAATGAGAGTAATAAAATTCCCCATCAATCCGTCGAATCAATAATAACGTCAAATCAATTTAAAGCACCATCTACTCGATTAGAACTCAGCAAATCGAGAAATAATTGTACAGAAAATTATCAAGAGAACACCGAGACTTGGAATAATTCCTCCGATTATTCGTCAATCGATTGGGAAACTATTAGTTACAGTGAATCACAACTCGCTAAAGAACCATCACTTCAAAGAAAATTCCGATCGCTTCCCCTCGAAGATAAAAAATCAAATTTCACGAAAAGTCGATCATCACTTTCTGAGAGTAGCGCAAAAAATAATTCATCATCAATCAATGATTCTAGTTTGAAGAGTGAATCGAAGAATAAAAGTTTACAAATCTCCCTACAACCATGTCACGTTGGTACCAGAAGATTTTTGAACAAGAGTCCAGAATTTGAAAAATCATCTTCCTTATTCGACGATTCAAAATTCAATTCAAAGACTTTGAATGAAATAAATTCTTCTTCATTTGCTTTATCAAATTCGAATAATAATTTATCGAACTTTTCAAAATTATCGGTGAATTTAACTAAATTAGAATATCCCGAATCAATCACAAATTCATCGATTTTAGAACAAAGTGACTTGAAGGGTTTTGAACAAAAATTGGAACTCAAGAAACTATCGCCTATGACTTCGATACCCACAAGTATTGTCTATTCCATTGTTGCCGAGGATTCGAAAAATAATTCATCATTCAACGACAAAAGTTTAGATGAAAAAACAAGTAAATCGATTACTTTGGAAAATTCCAATCTTAGAAAATGTCTCGATTATGATGATGATGAGGATTCTGAAATTGAAAATAATTCCACTAATCCAAATGAGAGTGAAATTACCAGTAAATCAAATCTAGAAGATTCGATAATTGAGTCTTCAATCAAAAAGGCCGAGGATTCAAAAACAAATTTAGAAGCTTCGGTAATTCTTTCGCCTTTAAAACTAGAGTGTCCGAAAAAAACAGATCTTTCAATTATTAACGAGAGTGTAAATTCTACAAATTCTACAAATTTCACAAATTCTACCACAAAAGACAACGATTCACCAAAAATTCAAAATAGTAACTCTTCATCGAAAAATAGTGAAAATATACCAAAAAATAAAAAAAGTGGACAATACGAAAAGTATGTAAAACAATTTAAAAAGAATCAAACATCCGAAGAAGATGTAGAAGATGCGGAAACAGTAATTTTCGAAAATAGCCAAACATTGAAGAAATTTGCTCAAAATGTATTAAATGAAAAAAGTACTGAAAATAATTCACAAACAATGGCTGTGAATAATAATAATAATAATAATAGTGAAATTAATCGAAAAGAATCTTTAAATGGTTTAAGAGATTCAATTCGAATAACGCAGAGACGTAAAAATTATCAAAATTGGGGATTACAACTTTCTAATATTTCGGAAAATGAAAGTGGACATTCGGATGAAATTGAAATTGTTAATACTAATGAGGATGTGGAGAAAATTATAGATTCTTCAATGAATAGTTCATTAAATGAAAATTTACCGGAACAACAATTATTTTTGAAACCCGGTAAATCATGGGCAAGATCATTGTCAATTTTAAATAATATTCATTCACAAAATGATGTCGATAGATTTTCTATTGGGAAAGGAAAGAAATGGAGGCACAGCGTTATTTCCATTCTCGACATGCAAAATAAAGGTAATAGAAAAAACATTTTCATATTTTATACCTTTATATGAATTTATTTTGAGATAAAAATAATAAGATTTATAATTTTTCTCTTTTTTAATACTCACTTTCTTTCCTTTCTCAAAATAGAATAATTTCGATTTCTGGAATGGTTAATTATCACTTTTTACTTAATATTTTCATTTTTTTGAAAATAGATAAATTTTTTCAGTTTATTTTAATTTTTGGAAAGTTATTTTTTTTTATTTGTTTATTTTTTAAATATTTTATTTTTTACAATTTTTATGTTTGAGTACAAAATTTTTCTGATTGAAAACGTAGAGTATTTTCTGATGAAGATACTCTTCGTTTATAATCAGAAAAAAATTGTTCTAACTGAAGATAAAAACAGTCGAAAATATTTTCTAATTATTTTCACCTGTCAAACCAAAGATTTTCTATACTTTTATTTTACAAGTAAATTTTTTTTTAAGCATTTTTAATTCTTTTGTAACTAAATTTTATATACTTTTTAAGAAATAGGAAAGATTTTTTTTTCTATTTTTTGTAAAATTAGATTAGAAGGATAATAGTTGAAAATGGGTAGGTTATAGAAGGCAATTTAAATTTTTGTCCAATTTTCGATTCGTTAGAATTTATTTAATTTAATTAATTAATTTATTTATTTTAGTTTATTAATTTATCTGTTTAGTATAATTAACTAATTCATGTAAATTTCCATTCGATTTATTTACACTGTGTTTATTTTTTTTCAGGAAATTTACAAAGTTGTTTAAAAAAACAAGAGAATGGAAATGTTGATAGTCAGAGAATTGAGAGATTTACTTCAATTGGATCAACGAGTCCTCTTCGTGTTTTTAAGAGGATTTCCATTCGTGTTGTGCCCGATGTTAATAAATTCGACATCGAAGATGAAGATACTCAATTTTTGGAGGCTTTCGGTATTCCCTCGAGTCAAACGGTTTCTCAAAAATCATTAAGTTTACAAGAAAATGTGAATATTACAGGTAGGTTTTACAAAAAAAGTTTTTAAAAAAAGAATATTTAGTTTCGTAGAAATTTCTCTTTTTGATTATTTATTAATAAATGCATAATTATTAAATGTTTTTATATTTTGTTTCTAATGAATTTATAATTGAAAAATAAATTTGATTTTTCAAAGGATATTTAAATATTTGAAACAAGGGAAAATAAAAGCTTGAAAATATTTTTCAGCTTCACCCGAAAAAAATTTGGAGAATTTAGAAGATAGCGTTTTGGAAGCTGTCGATTCTCAACCTGTTGCGACTGCAAAATGTGTTGTTTTAGAAAAATGCCATCAATCCGACTATTTATCATTTGCACAATGCTATCCCAACAAGTTAGTATATTTTTGAATATTTTAAAGTTGTTTAAACATTCATAAAATGTGAGCATATTTTTAATTTTTATGTTATAATTGCAGTTCTTTTGTAATTAACTGAAAATTATTGTTTCTCTTTCACTAGATTCTTAAAGAGTTGTCGAAAGATCGGTGAAGGTGTTTATGGTGAAGTTTTCCTTCACAATGAAAATTCGGAAAGTTCTGTAATAAAGATTATTCCAATTGAAGGTGATGATCTTGTGAATGGAGAGCCGCAGAAGAAATTCCATGAAATTTTATCAGAAATTGTAATTGCCAAGTAAGTATCATGAATATTTTTCTAAATTATTTTTCTAACTTTTCTTAATTTTGAATCTGAAATTGTTCATCCTAAATTGAAGTTGATATTTTTAAAATGTTTTTAACTAACGTAATAATAATAAATAATTATTTATAATAATCTCTTTTTAATTTAATCAAAAATTTTCAAATCTCGTTAAAAGGGAACTTCACGATCTTCGATTCAATGATAAATACAATACATCGAGTTTTGTTGAAGTGAAAAATATAAAATGCATTATGGGCAAATATCCGACAAAATTAATTGAACACTGGAAAACTTATGACAATGAAAAAAAATCGGAAAACGATTGTCCATCAATGTTTGAAAATGATCAATTGTACATTTCACTGGAACTTGGTAACGGTGGACAGGATTTAGAAGCTTTCGTTTTTCAAAATGCCAACGAGTGTTATTCGATTTTCATTCAGGTTTTGATTTTTCTTTTTTTGTTTTGGTGCAAAAAGAATTATGAATATTATAATAATTACTTTCCCTATATTTTTAGGCAGCCATTGCATTGGCCGTTGCAGAAAGAAGTCTGGAATTTGAACATCGGGATTTACATTGGGGAAATCTTTTAATATCAAGAACGAAAAAATCGCAAATTTCTTATAAACTTGGAAATTTGGATATCAATTTACCCACAAATGGTTTGAAGGTATTGTTGTGAATTTTTAATTTTAATGTAGATTTTAATTTAAATTCAAGTTTTCATTTGAAGAAAATTTTAATTTTAAAAAGTAAATTTAAATTTAGGTTTTAATTTTAAAAAGAAAACTCAAAATCTAGATTTTAATTTGAAAAAGAATTAAAAAAAATTAAATTAAATAGAATTAAATCTAGGTTTCAATTTTAAAACGATAATTTAGATTTACTTTATATTTATATTATTTGTTTTTAATTATAATCCATTAGAAGATTTAGTTCCTAATTTTTCACTAATATAAACTTTTAACTTAAAATTCCTAAAATGAATTGAAATTTATTTCCAGGTGGCAATAATTGATTTCACACTTTCTCGAATGTCATACAAAGGTTGTTGTATTTTCAATGATCTAGCACTAGATCCCGCATTATTCACTGCTGAGGGCGAATACCAATTTGAAATTTATCGTCTAATGAGAGATAAATTGAGGTAACTTTTAAGCATTTTTTTAAAATTTAATTTAAAATTTCATATTTTATTCTTTATCGTTAAACTTTTACCTATTTTTTCTGAGAAAAAAAATTATTTTTATATATTAATTAATCGAAAATTGCTTACAGTAACGATTGGCAAACGTTTGAGCCCTACACAAATATTCTTTGGCTGCATTACACAATAGATAAAATGATAACTTCAGTTCGTTACGATAAAAAGAAAATGACAACAAAAATTCATAAAAATGGAATCGAAAAATTGAAGAATTTGAAAAAGGAAATCCTCTCCTATGGCAGTGCGTACGATTTAGTGACTGAATGTGATAAATTTACTGTTCTTTATAAAGATCTCAATTATTCGACTGATGATGATAATAATAAGTAAGTTTTTTTGTAAATATAAAAAGTATTTTTTTTTCTTTTTATAACGAGATTTAAGTTTTAGTCAATTAGGAGAAGTTATCTATTATTATTATTATTATAAAACGTATAAAAAGCTAAAAATATTGTTAGTTAATAACATTTTTATAAATATAATAATATAAAAAAGGCTCAATACTCCCAACATTCATTATCGAACTTAGTAAAAATTTCAGAGATGAATGTCAAAAAAGCCTACTTTTGATTTTCTGTAAATATTATTTTGGTTTAATTTTATTTTCTTTAGTTCATTTTTATTTTATTTCTTTTTCTATTTTAGTTTGCTTTAGCTTGCTTTTTTAATTAAGAATTATTTTTCTTTTAAATTTTTTCTATTCTTTTTGCTCTCTAAGTTTTTTGGAAATATACATTTCATATAGAAATTAAATTAATAACACAAATTGTATTAACTTTTACTTGACTTTAATTTGTAAAGGTTTTTTCAATTATATAAAAATTTATAATATGAATAATATTGATGGAAAATTACATTTTGTTAACGGTGGTAAATATTGTTATTTAATACATTGCCACTGTATTCATCGTTACAATAATTTTCATTGTTATATTAACATAAAGAATTAAGATAAAAATGCATATTTTAAATTGTTTTTTTTTTAATACAAAAAAAACTATTATAGTGTATAATTTTCAAAAGTTGAAAAATTAAAATTTATTTTCTCCCGAATATAGTCTTCCTACCATTTTTTTCAACAATAATATTTGTGTAAAATTAATAATAAATCGTTTAAACCTTCTTTGGTGGTTCTTGAAGGCAACGAATTAAAAAACAAAAAACGAATTCAACCAAATAATGTTTGTCAACAATAATCATTATTTGGAATTCAATAAAACTTGTGCTGTTTAGTTTACTTTGCATGATTCTCAAGTACTGGAATTTTTCACATATTTAAATTTTTTTTTCTTTTTATTTTTCCTATGTTTTAACAGTTTTTCAATATCTTACTAAATTTGTTAAGTTAATACAGTATGTTTAATCTTCATTATTATTTAGCAATGATGAGTTAAACATTTAACATTATTTATAACAATTTTTCTTCGTGAAAGATATCGAAAGATATCAATTTTGCCATCGATTTATAAACAAGATTTTTTTCATTCATTTAATCACAAGATTTTCTTTTTAATTTCATATACACATTAATTTTAAGGGCTTATGACACATTTTCACTTCATTTTTATTTAGATGCGCAGTGTGAATTTTATTATTCAAAATTTAGGGACGTAATAATGTGTCAATTAAAGTCATCGAAAAAATTCCATTTGTAAAATATGTAATATATAAATTAATTTTCAGTCATTTAATCATATTTTTTATTTTATATCTTTTTTCATAATAAGAATATTAATCAATAATTAATAAAATTAATAATTAATAATTAATAATATTGATAATATAATATAATATAATAATTGTAATCATAAAAGAAGAATAATACAGTAGATCTATGTAAATAATTTGCTGCCAATTAATTCGGATAGTAATTTAATTAAAAGAGCAGCAACTCAAATTGAACGATAATTATTATTTTCGTTAATCTGAGCACATATTGTAAATATATTTATATATTTTTTTTTATATTATAAGTTAGTTTTATCCTGTGAAACCATTGTAGATTGTATAAGCAAACTTCGAACAGAAGTTACAAATTCTGATGAACTTTTTTTTCCTTTTTCTCTCTTTTACGTATATAATAATAATTTTTCTAAAATCTTATAATTTGCTAAAACAATCGTTTTCATCTGATGTAGTTTATTAATTATAAGGAAGGCATATTATAGAGATGGAGAAAACGAAATTCAAAATTAGCTAAATGAGTGAAGGATTGAAGTATAATATTTTAAAACATAATTAGATTTTTTAAAACACCCATTACGAATTCTCTTTTTATAATCGAAATAAATATATAATTTATTACATAAAATCAATTCTGAATTTTCAAATTAAATTTCTTTCTTCTAACATTTGGCAGTTGAATTTATATTTGATATTTGAAACTGTTTTTTTGTTTCACAAATTATTTTCACCGGTATTTAAAAGCGTTCTTTTTCGTCTTTTATGCTTTAAGAGCAAGACACTTTAAAAAATCATTTTTCATCAAACTTGGAGTTACATTATTTTGTGTCTTGTAAGAAATCGAACTTTCCTTTTTCAATAGCAAGAAAATCTTTTTTAATCTCAATGCAAAGAAATTTTTTCTAAATTAAAAATTTTCTAATTCGATTGAAAAAAAAATTAACTAAAATTATTTACAATTAAAAGTATTTTAAATTTTCGATAAAAAATTTATCACCAGGACATGTGATACAAAAAGACATCACCGGTAAATATTAAATTAAATTTTCAAGTCGATTTCTCGATTTTTCTAGTTTTTAATCTACTTTAAATAATTAATCTTTTTATTGAAATATTTACTCTTTTATCACATGTCCAATTATAATTTCCGAGTTTCAAATAATTTTTATTTGAAAAAAAACTAGTATGAAAATCAATAAAATTTCGCTTGAGCGCTTTAAAAATTTCCAATAATTTCTAGTTTGTTCACTATAATATTATGTATATGCAATCTGGTTTCTATTTTCAAAACTACTTTGCAACTTTGAGCAGTGCTTGTTATTTTGTTTTTTTTTCAAAAGTCAAATACTTTGGTACTTGCAACAGGCCTATTTAAAATTGCCTCTAAATCCTTTCAAGTAAATCGCATAAATGAAAAATTGTCTTCTAATTAAAAATGTATAATGTAATAATTAGCTGCCTATTTTTTTTATATTCTGCGGAGTGTTCTGTAAATATAGTTCGTATTCTAAAAAATGAAAAATCTGTTTATTTTTTAGTAATAATTATGTTTGTGTAATGTGTATTATGCATGTTTTTTTTACGTAGGTATAAAATAGCCACTTATATAAAGGAGTCGCTTCCTACGATTTTTCTTTTCCTCGTTTTATAAACAGGTACTTTTACCTGCATTCACGTTATCTTTGACAATAGTTGTAGGCACGATAGGGTATCTAATTTTAAAAACATAATATTAGCGTAGAACAGTTGTTGATCTATTAAAAAAAAAATCATAACTTTGCTTAAAGCAAAGATGATTCTTTCTTTTTTTCATTAAATAGAAATATGTAGCATTTTTGCCTACTTTCTTGAAAATTTATCAATCAATCTGCTCGTTTTTCATTAGTAAAAATGTGAATCTATTATTCAATCTATATCGATATTTTAAAGAGTTTATATCTCACAAAATTATAACTCACTTGTAAATTTCGATATTTTTATTGAAAAATATTTAATCGAAATAAAATCACATATCATTATTCTAGTTCTTTCCCTAAAATCAAAAGATCGATTAAAGAAAAAATAAATTTAATAATATATTAATATAAATACAAATTGATATTCTTTTAATCACCTAATGAGCTAAAATAATATAAAATTTCTTTCGGAACTAGAATTCGATATGTGCGTTCAATATTCTTAAAATTTTACAAAATTACAAAATAAATCATTAATATTCATTTATCCTTCTTATTGTCCGTAAATTTTTAAAAGTGAGTTATAAAATTTTCTCAAATTCTTCGAATAATTTTCTTTTCCTATTCAACAAGTTATTCACGATTTTTTCTCTTTGATAATTTAAAGATTCTAATTTGTCAAATAGTTAATGTTAATTTTTCTCAACGTTACTATTAATAATTAATCGTTAATAGGTATTAAATATTAATATTAACTATCAATATTAAATCACAATATTTATTATCAATATTAAATCTAAATATTAATTATCAATATTGAATTTGAATATTAAATCTCAATATTAATTATCAATATTAAATTTCAATATTAAATCTCAATAGTTATTAATTATTAATACCCATATTAATTATTAACATTAATTATTAATATTAATTATCAACTTATATTGATTATTAACATTAATTAGAATCATTTCTTTTTAGTATCATTGCAACAAAAGAAAAGTAAATCAAAGAATTATTTTCATTTAAGAAGTGTTATCTTTGTACTTCAGATGTCAATTTTTCGTAATCATCTGACACTTCAATATTTATCAAATCCTACTATCGAATGCCCAAGTTATTCAAAGAAATACGTGTAGAAAAATTGATTGATTATAGAAAAACAAAAATTGACAATTAACAAAGTCGATTTAGGAAAGCGACAAACTCAATATAGATATTAAACTGATTTTTTTTTTTTTAAAAGAAGATAAAAATGGAATAATTAATTAAATGTTAGTGTTAACACTGTAAATTTGAAAGTAATTTCCGGAATTATTTTCTTTTCCTCTGAGTATTTCGACGTATGTAAATAATACATAATAATAATAATAATAATAATAAAAGAAAAAAAAGGAATTTTGCGAAAAACAAATGAATGGATAAACGAGACAACGCTCATGTAAGTGGAATATATGATATGGATTTTCCATCAGACTGAACGTCATTTTCAATATCTAGCCTTCTAATTCGTACTCGCTGTTTATAATGATATTCTTTAAGATAACTTTTAAGTGTCTTTGGTAATTGCAACTTGTTTATACCGTCGTAGGTCGTTCGTGTTGTAATAACAGCACGACACAAATGTTGCAACGGAAATGCAAAATTTCGATGTAATGGAATTGTTAACATTGGTTCGAAAAACATACAGCACGATGGATCCTTATAATGCTCAATCAAACCACAAACCTGTCAAAAAGCAAAAATTAATATATTTTTCTAATTTTTAAAATAATAAAAACAACAAAAATAAAATAGAATTAAATGTGAATAATAATGAGAATAAAGAGTCTGATATAAATTACTATGATAAAATAATACCAAAATAAAAATACAATGTTTAATAATAAGTAATAATAAAATAAATAATGAATAATACATGATAAATTATAAAAGATTAATGATATAGAAAAAAATATGTTGCTTTAAATAACTTACCGTTTTTGATGCATAGACCCCAGGATCGTGTGAATCAAAGCTGAATTTATGATTCCATTGTTCAATTCTCGCATGAAGAGATCGACCGTATTTTCGAAAACTTACGGAGAATAAAAATTCCTCCTGAGCTGAATCTCGTAATAAAAATGTTCCCTCTTGCTTGCCCTCCAATAAACGTTCGGCTTCATACCGATCCATTTTTCCCCAATAGAAAGAACAAGCGGTGATTGACCGCAAGTCTGGCACCAGACAATGCACATAATCAACCTGTTAAAAACAAAAACAACCCTGTTAATAGTAATCAGAAAGCGAGTAAAAATAAATAAAAAAAGAACAAGTACAAATAAAAAAAGAAAAATAGAAGTAAAAAAGAAGTAAAGAAAAAAATACAAATAAACAGGTAAAAAAAAAAGAAAAAAATCTAAATTAATTCCGAGAATTTTAACCAAATTTTTGAAAATAATTGAATTCTTATCAAGAAATTTTCTTAAAATTGTATTGAAAACAATTCAATTCCATTAAGGAAATTTGATTAAAAATAATTGAATTCTTGTCAACAATTTTATTCAATTTCTTTAAAGTTTAAACTAATTCAATTGTTTCGAAGAAAATTAAAATTTTTTAGAAAAATTTTGTTAAGATTATATTGAAAGTAATTGAATTCTCGCAAAGAATTTAAAAAAATTTTATTAAATAATGGAATACTTTGGAGAAATTTAATTAATATGATATTAAAAATAATTGATTTTTTTTCAAGTTTTATTAAAAATGTTTAAAATAATAAAATTCAGTTAAGAAATTTTATTGTAAATAATTAAATTACTCAAAAAAAATTTTATAACCAATAAAAATAATTTAGTTCTTGCTACGAATTTTACTCAAATTTTTAAAAATAATTGAATTGCTTCGAAACATTTCATTAAAACTTCTGAAAATAATTAAATTGTTTCAAGAAATATTATTAAAAATGTATTAAAATAATTAAAACATAATAAAAAAAATGATTAGTTATGAAAATATTTGAATTATTTCCAAAATATATTCAAAATAATTGAATTTATGCAACGAATTATATTATTTATGAAAATAATTAAATTTTTGCCTTGAATTTTATTACATATTTATGAAAATAATTGAATTCTTGACAAGAACTTTAAAAATAGTTCAATTGTTTCGTAGACAATTAAAATTCTTTCTAGGAATTTATTAAAAATTGCATTGAAAATAATTGAATTTTTGTAAAGAATCGTATCAAAATTTTTAAAAATCATTGAATTCTTCCAAAGAATTTTATTAATCTTTTTAAAAATAGTTGAATTCCATTGAGTAATTTTAATTGAAAATAATTGTATTCTTGTCAAGAATTTTATTTAAATTTTTTAAAAATAGTTCAATTATTTGGTAGACAATTAAAATTCTTTCCAGGCATTTATTAAAAATTGCACTGAAAATAATGGAATTCTTGTAAAAAATTGTATTAAAAAGTTTTAAAAATAATTGAATTTTTCCAGAGAATTTTATTAATCTTTTAAAAAATAATTGAATTCCAACGAGTAATTTTATTGAAAATAATTGTATTTTTGTCAAGAATTTTATCAAATTTTTTGGAAACAGGTCAATTGTTTCGAAGAAAATAAAAAAATTTTCGAGAAATTTGGTTGAAGTTGCATTGAAAATAATTGAATTCTTATAAAGAATTGTATTAAATTTTTTAAAAATCATTGAATTCTTCCGACGAATTTTATAAAACTTTAAAAAAATAATAAAATTTTTTGTAGGAATTCTATTGAAATTGTGTTTAAATTAATTAAATGTCAATAAAGAATTATATTATTTATGTAAAGAATTGAATTCCTTTATTAATATTTTAGAAAATAATAAATAATTCTTAATTAGTTAAGAAGGGATTTTTAAAAATTTTAAATCTGTAACCATTCAAAAATTAATTACAAAATTGAACATTTGCTAGTAGAAATAATAAACAAAAATTCAAGTACATACCTGTGTATGAATTGGTCTTTCAATATTAGGAATTAGACTAAAATCTATTTGCGATAAGGCAGTAAGAGCAGCGGCGTGAATTCCTGCGTGTGCTTGAAAAAGAGCTGCCAAACTATCGACTGTAATGCCATTCGGATGCACTTGAATTCCCGATGGATAACTGGGCCTATAACCCGGCGGTGGTTCGACTCCTTCCTCCATTTCACGTGCTCTTTGCAGTCTCGCCCTTTCATCGCAATCCTTAAACAAGAGTTGTAAACAATTATTATACGTATATTAATTATAATTTATTACACATTTCTATTTCTTTTCCCTATTAAATTTATTCTCCCTTCTATTTCTTCTTCTAATTTCTAATAATCATAATTTGTATACAAATAGAAAGAAAAAACTGTATAAAAATAAAAAAGCATTTTTTTCTCACCTCCATAGGAAATTCTTCAGGATTGAATCGCGATAAATCGATAACAGGACTAGGTGGAAGTGGACCAAGAACTGGACTCTGTGGTGCTGATATATTTAATACATTACTGGCGCCCATTGTATGCTCCTCGGTACGACGATATCCTGTACATATACATTCAGAACTGTTGCCACCTTGTCCTGGAATATCCGTGTTCTTCGATACTTTATTCTTCGCACAATTAAATTTCAATACCCAATTACTTCGTTTCTTCTTCGACGATAATACATGATTACATACTGGATTTTGGTCCTTATTTCGTTGCTTACCTACAACTGAAGAGAATGATTTTTTTCGCAAACTTTACACTTTTTTCACATTATTTTCATAATTATTCTCTTTCTCAAAATTATTATCAAAATAGAATTAAATAATATTTTTGTGGAGGAATAAGAGAAAAAATGTTTTATAGATTTAAGAATTAGATAAAATCTAAAATATATATATATATATATTCGAGAAATGAATAATTAAAAAAGATGAGAAATCAACCTTTTCTTTTTCCAAATGAAAGTGTTTTCGATGATCGTCTAAAACTAGGATTCACGGGACTATCTTCGGAACTACTGCTAGTATAGCTGCTACTGGAATTATTAACACATAATTCCTGTTGCTTCAATGATGATTCAACAGCATTTACGACAATATTTCCATTATTACAATTTTGCTTTATATCTTGAGTATCAATTGGTTGACTGTATATTGATTCAAATCGTGAATTATGATTATCAACATCAAGATTCAATTGTTCATTATCAAGATTATCATCGGATTTATTTGAAATAATATTTGAATTCGGAACATTTCCATTGTTCTCATTTTTTTGTGTATTCTCAGAATCCTCTTGATCCAACATGTCAAATGATAATTGATGAAGTGATTCGTTATAAACTTGTAATGACTGTTTCTCGCCTTCCATTCTAAAGAATTCTCTGAGACTAGCAAAGTGCTGTCCCATTCTTAGTTAAATCGACAGACATTTTATTGTCGACAATTCAATGGTTCTAGATTTATAATATTATTACTATTATTATTATACTGTAATTCTAGAATTAGGATATTTTCATTTCTTCTATATTCTCACAAAAATCCATCTGTAAATTAAAGTTTATTTATTTTTATTTATTTATTTTTTTTTTGGCAGAACAATAGGTGCAAATTTAGAATCATCAAGAAATCTAAAAATAGTCAAGAATAAAGAAAATGCAATAAAACTGGTTGTTTCAACGAAATGCAAAGCATGCAGAGTTATGAATGAGTAATAGGCACTTGAATTGTAGAAAAAAAACGCAATAATGGAAAATGCAAGGTTTTCAATGCCAAGATACGCGAGAGGCATTACTTTCACACGTGGGCGTGACGGTTCAGGACTTCATTGACAAAAGTAATCACAAAAATGCAAATTCACTTTTATGAACTTGAAGAAACTTGAAACAACAAAAACATCACTAAACAAAACTTTAAACTCCATTTGATATTATTATAAGCACAAAAAACAATATATAACATTACATCATTATGTTTATTTTGTTCGTCACCGTTATAGATGAGAATGCTTTTGTTAACAATGCTATCTTTGAGTTCATTGATACGCAACCAGTTTTAAGTATATACGTCCAAAGCACGTCTAGACAGGTCTTGACAAGATTACCTTTTATTTTAGCAAAACGCACACAGCCGTGACAAGTAAACTTCTTTACTTCTTTATATCATAAACATGGAGTCCTTGAGTTTGGAAGAGAAATAATTTGCGTTGTATTATCAAATCACTTGCAAAATGAAAACTTTCACATACTTAAAGAATAACACTCAGAAAATAATATTCGAAATATTCATTAATTTATGAATAATCATTTTTGCAGTAGCAATTATTAAAGTATTATTAAAACCATGGAAGTAGAAAGTGACAAGCTGTCAAGTGACAAGACCATTTGACAAGTGAAGATAAGAGCATGGAATGTTTATAACATTGATAGGAATGTTTAACAAAAAAAAATAACCTCTCTACTTGAAATTGTAGCCAATCAGAGATCTTCTTGTCAATTGTACTAGAATTCATTGGTCGAATTCAAATTGTCCAATTTCCTATCCGCCAATGATTATTCGAATTTCAAATTTTTATCAAATGTCTTATCAATCTCATGAAATAACACCCAAAGGAATTAAAAATACAATAGTTTCACTCTATTTGAACAAAATATTCATTGAAATTTGTCCTCAAAAACATGTCCAAAATGGCTTTGTGCATCTCTGGTGTAATTCTCAGTTTATAAGCATTTTGTTTTAAGAAGAATTAACTTGATTCTAATATCTAGAAAATTTCACTAATTTTTACCTATTTGTTTTTGTGTTTTCACTAATTATATTATAAAAATTATGGAAGTTAACAAAGAAGTGATTTTAGCGGATTTTCAGGCAAGTTGTTTATTGTAAACACAAGTCTTACATACGTTAATATTCATAGTCATTTTGTAAAATTAGGTTATGGAGAATTGAACACAATGACATTTACAATAATGAACATTTAGTCATATTCGATTATTTTTAATTAAGAGAAAATACTCATTATCTATCGAATTATATCTTCAATTTTATTAAACACAATTGTTTATCTCTAAATTAACAAAAATTGATAAATAATTTTTTTTTCTGACAGGAAGACAAAATTGAGAATATGAATAAAAATTAAGAAAGAATAAGAAATATTTTCGATGTTTGAAATTTCATGATCGAAATTTGTTTTGTAAAATTTCTGATATTATTTATTAAACAAAATTTACTTATTTTTCTAGGCTTGCACAGACATTGAAGATGTCGCAGAAGCTATTTTATATTTAGAAGGCACAAATTGGGATTTACTGGTAAGAAACATAGAGATAAATTTTTTGTTTTGTTATTTTAACAAACTTTTTTTTTTTTAAACTAGGCGGCGATAAACCGAGTTATGCCAATAAATACACAACAACTGCCTTCAGAAACAAGTAACGATGTCGTTATGATAGAAGAAGTTCACAGGCCGACTCGAAATAATGAATCAATTGATATTACAACTGTCCCAAAATCATCAAATAACAGATCAGTTAGTATGGAGATTGATGAAATTCTCCCCGGCACGAGTAGATCAAAACCAAACCCACCATCAAGAGTGCTTACATTCCACATTTCTCTCGAAAAAACTATTCACACAATCAGTTGTCCTGAGTCCAACACTCTGGGTAATTATTAATTAATTAATTCAATAGAAAAACTTTTCATTTAATTTAAATTTTCTTTAATTTTAACATTTCTTCGTTTTCTACTTAATAGGAGATTTGAAACGCGTAATATGGGAGAAAACAAGTATTGGTCCTTGTCAGCAAGTATTGCATGGCTGGCATAAAGAACCGCCTCGAGATACGACAATTTTTCAAACATTAAATTTACCACGAGAGAATAATTTACAATTGACTCAAGTTATCGATCTAGGAGAATCGCACGCAGAGCCGTAAGATATTTATTATTTACTATTTTTTTTTTGGGTCAAGAATGAAATTATTTTTTAAATTTGGAAAATAATTTTCTACAAAATTGTAAATTGTAAATTTCTAAAAATTGTAATTAAAATTATCTAATTTCAGAATTAATCTAAGTGATCGTTTGACTCGAACGTATACACTAAACATAAGAAATGAAATGAATAATAAATTATATAAATTGAAATTCCCGGGAATGCACACAATTTCCGAAATAAAGAGAGATATTTATTCCTTAACGGATGTGCATGTCAGAAATCAAGTTTGGAAAGGATGGCCAGATTCTGTAACAAGTGATGATATAACACTGGGACAAAGTGGCATTTCCTATCCTGAACATAATCTCTCTGTTAACAAATTGCCAAATACGGAGAACAAAAAGGTACGTAATTAAATTTTATCTTTTCGTGTTGTTAAATTTATTTTACGTTAAAATTTCTTACACTCTATGTATTAAATACACTCTGTGCATCAAATACTTTTTCCCTTTAAATATCAACTTCAATTTTTGAATAATTTCAAATTCAAATTTTTTAAAAATTCACTTACAAAACTAATTAATTATTGCTATTTAATATTTTCAAAAATTGTAACAAAATTTCTCACGCGAATTTATTAATTTTAATAAGTAATAAAATTGTTGTCAGGAATTTAATTATTCTCAGTATAATTTTGATAAAATTTACAGAAAGAATTCAATTGTTTTAAAAATTCTAATAAAATTCTTCGTAAGAATTTAATTTATTTTTAATACAAATTTCATTAAAATTCTTGAAAAAATTCAATTATTTTCAAAAAAAAAAAACAAATTCGTAGAAATTCAATGATTTTCAATACAATTACAATATTATTCATCGCCAGAATTCAATTATTTTTATAAACATTAAAATTCTTTGCAGGAATTCAATTATTTTCAAAAATTTCAATAAAATTTTTCGACACAATTCAATTACTTTGAAAAGTTTTATTAAACTCCAAAATGATTCAATTATTTTCAATACAATTGTAATATTATTAGAATTTTAATTCCTGTGAAAAAAATAAATAACAATTTTTTAAAAATATCAATTTTACAAAAATGATTGAATTTTCGAATAATTAAATTTCAAAATTCGAAAAAGAATGAGGTTTTTGAAAAATTGGAATTAAATTTTGCTACTTTTTCTAATTAATTAACGAGTGCGAAGCTAGAAATACACTTAATTTTTTTTAGTTTATTCAATTAAGAAAAATGTCAATTTTTTTATTCACTATTGAAAAAAGTCCTAATAGGTATCCTTATATTATATTATTTATTTATAAATTTTTAATTTTTTGTAACATGACAATTTCAGGAAGTTGTGGATTTGGCAGACACTGACAGTTCAGTAGGCGAAGTTGAATCTGTCGAAGATTTCGAAGATATCCCAGAATCGTGCAACGTTGAGGATGACATTTTTATAGATAATATACAATCAACAAGAATTCAATACCTCAGTGAGTTAATTTGAAATTTAATTTCTTCATTTTTGTCTAATGTATTTTAGTATAGTATCTATAATTTATTGTCAATTGATTTAAAAAATTTCGCTTCATATTTGTTTTACAGTGCCTAGTAACGTGGAGGACGAAACTGTTGGAACACTACATTTTGCTGAAGAATTTGAAAAAAGATACGGCCCTAATCATCCACAATTTTACACTGGAACTTTGGAAGAAGCTATACAAGAGGCTTGCGGGAAACCTCCAAAGGACGTTAGTAATCTTAAAAAATATTTAAAAACTATTTAAATAATTACATTCTGTTCTTTTCTATTTACTTAAAAAACTATTTAAATTACAGTCTATTCTCTTACTTTGAATAAGAGTTTACTTTTAAACGTTAAATATATTTTACTCTTTAAAAATAAATATACTTTACTATTAGAAATAGAAGACAAAAAATAGTAACAAAGAAAATTTCACTTTCAGAGAAAATTGTTGGCTGTTTATTTGCATCATGACAATAGTGTATTGGCGCACGTTTTTTGCACTCAATTATTAGGATTTGAAACTGTTTTACAGCATTTATCTACAAATTTTGTAATATGGGGCTGGGATTTTACACACGAATCAAATAAATTGAAGTAAGTGTGAAGAAATTTCTCTTCTTTTTTAAAAATATTTTCAGTATTATTTATTTTCTTTTCTTTCCTTCAGATTTTGGACATCAATTAATCAGGCTTTGGGTCCAACTGCAGCGAGAACTGTGAGAAACATTGATGTTGACACAATGCCAGTTTTAATGATTATTATGCGTACGAGATCTAATACAGAAATATTTAGAATAGTTTTTGGCAACGTGGGAGTCAGCGAACTCCTCACGAATCTAATTCATGCTGTAGATATATTTCAGGTCTGTAACTAAATGAATTTCCTTCTATTAAGTAAAATAATTTTACTTGATTTCATTTTATAATTTTTAAAATAAATATTACTAAATTTTGTTTTTTTGTTCCTCTTCAGGAACACCGTCAAGCTGATATTGAATTTGAAGAAGAGCGACAATCGAGAGAGAGGGTTAAACAAGAACAAGATCGAGCCTATCAAGAGAGTTTAGCTGCTGATAGGTATTAGAATTTAAAAATAATTCAATTACACAGATAGCTTTTTAAATCAGGGTTGCCGCAAAAATTTGATTTTGTTTTTCCCTGACTTTCCCCTGATTTACAGATAAAATTTTAACTTTTTGCCTGACCCTAAAGAATATTCTGATTCACTCTAAAAATTATTAGATACTCAAAAAAATGTTCTATTACATTTATTTACAAATTTCTTCTAAAGTAAAATTATTCCCAAATACCAATAACTTCTTTTTTAAATAAATATTTAATTATTATTATTTTTACATAGGAATTATGATTTTCAAAAATTTCAAATTCAAACATTTTGAAATTTAATAACTGATAAAAATATTATTGTAAAACATGAAGAAATTGATCACTCCGAGTCTTCGACTCGGAGTAATCGATTTCTTCATATTTTGTAATAATTAAAGATGACCGAGTGATAAAATCATTATTTTATATTATAATATAAGAATATTGTTAATTTTAACTCCTTCAAAATTATTCTCATCATTTCAATTAAATTTTCTACAATTTTTAAATAAAATTTTTCTTTAAATCAATTATTTTTATAAATTTTTAATAAAGTTCTGTTGATAATTTTCAAATTCATTTCTTTACAATTCAATTTTACGAAATTTCAATTTATCGGAAATTCTTCAATTAAAAATACATTTGAAAATAAAAACTTGAAATAATTTTTAAATATTTCGATTAAGCTTTTTGAAAAAAATTAGTTCCATATAGCATTTTTAATTAAATGTATGAAAAATTCAAATTTTCAAAGATTTTAATTTGAAACTTTTACAAAATTCAATAATTATTTCTAAAAAAAATTGCAATTATTAGTAACTTCTCTTAAATTCAATTATTATCTAAAACTTTTACTAAAATTAATTATTAAATCAATTTTTTATTAGAAAATTCTACGAGAATTCAATTATTTAAATAAAATCAGATAATTTATTAAATAATTGAATATTCCTTAAAGTTGGAATCTTAAACTAATTTTAATAATTTTAATAATTTTAATAACATTTTTAAGAATAATTACATTTTTCGAGGAATTCGATTAAAATTTTATTAAAAAGTAATTGAAATTCTGCCAAAATTGCTTTTAAATAATTGAATTCTTTTAGGAAATTTGATTAAAATAATGGATATAGAAATTATTGAATTAAGAAAATTTTTTAAAAATAATTGTTGCAATGAATTTTATTAAAATTTTTGAAAATAATTGAATTTTATTACTTTTGAAAATAATTGAATTCTTGTGATGAACGTTGCTATTTATGTAAATAATTGACTTTCTCCGAATGGTTTTATTATTTATGAAAATAATTAAATCTCTGAAAAGAATTTAAAAATTTTATTAAAATAGTAGAATATTGAAAATCATTGAATTAAGAAAAGTTTTTAAAATTAATTGAATTTTGCAATGAATTTTATTAAAATTCCTGAAAATAATTGAATTTTGTCGAAAAATTTTGCTATTCATTTATAAAGATAATTGAAATGTTGACGACAATTTTTTAAAGATTTTTTCGAAAGTAATTGAATTTCTGCGAAGAATTTTTTTAATTTTAAAAATATTTGAATTCTTGTGATGAATATTGTTATTTATGAAAATAATTTAATTTTATAATGAATTTTATTTAAAGTCCTGAATAGAATTGAAGTTTGTCGAAGAAGTTTGATATTTATAAAGATAATTGAAATGCTGACGAAAACGTTTTTAAAATTTCGGAAAATAATTGAATTTCTGGAAAGAATTTTAATATTTATTAAGATTGCGTTAAAATAAATTATTGTGAGAGATAGAAAAAATTTCAGGATTTTTTTAGAATTCGTGGTAATTTCATAATTTCTGAGTCAGACGCAAAAATTCAGAATTTTGTTGTAAATTCTAAACATTTAATTTTTTCCAGTACTTTTAATAAAATTCCCTGACTTTTCCCTGATTTTCCTGACCTATGGCTACCCTGTAAATTTAATAAAATAGTAAATAATTTTTTATTGTTTTAAATTGAAAAACATTTATTTCAGAGCTAAAGAAGAAGCAAAACAAATGCAGGAACAAATCCAGAAGCAGAAGAAGGAGCAAGCCGAAAGTGAAAGGCTCGCGGAAGAAGCGAGAAAAGAAGCGCACAGACAATCGGTTATATCAAGTTTGCCTCCAGAGCCTCAACCTGGCGATAAAGTGTTGAAAGTTAGAATAAGAGTTCCAGCTGGAGAAGTTCTGGAACGCAGGTTTCAACCTGATACACCACTACAAATTCTACTTAACTATTTAACTGTCGAAGGTTATCCCACCGAAGAATACAAAGTTCTTTGCACCTGGCCCCGAAGGGATGTAAGTATTCATAATAATAATTTCTAAATTAATTTAAATAATATATCTAAATTACTAAAGTAATTAATTTTTATTTTCAGTTAACATCGATCGATACAAAGCTCACACTCGCTGATTTAAATTTTTGTTCTCAAGAGACCGTCGTTTTAGAAATGCGGTAAAAAAATTTTTAATTAAATTGAAAACAAAACAAAAAAAGGCATAAAAAACCTAAGCGTTGTGATTCGTAAAAGTTTTTATTTATTTAAATAATAATTTTCAAAATAGTAAATGAAAAACCTATCAATTACGATTTGCCCAATTCAGCAATAAAAAAAAAATTTGTACGCTCTTTCTCTTTTCATACTCGTACAACAAAAAATGTAGTTCACTTTTGTAAAAAAAAAACAGAAAAAAGAAAAATTCGATATAATTTATATCCACGTGATAAAATGTATGTTCAAAAAATTGAGAAATAAAATTTAGTCGTGGAAAATAATTTAAAAAGAAAACAATATGTTCTCTGAATTATTCAAGAAAAAAGTATTTTAACTTTATTTTTCAATGGAGAAAAATTTCATTTCGTAATTTACAAAAATAATACAATTTTTTTATTACCTTTCTTTTTTGTTTATAAATATAATGAGGCGGCGAAAACAATGTCCCTTTTTATTAATTTAATTGCCTCGCTGAATTTATTTTCTAAATCTGTATTACCAATATTTTTCGCAGCTTGACAAAGTTGTCTCAGTACTTCTTCCAAACGTCGCATACAACGAATAATGGAACCTGGAAAATTTTCAAATTTAAATTAAACGAAACAATCGAAATGTAAAAGAGAAGCAAAATTCGAATACGAAGTTTTTAATTTACCTTCAAAAATGTCGGTCATTTTGCAGATTTGCAAAAAACTTGCACCCTTGCACCAGGCATAGAGTACGTCCATTAAAAATGGTCGAAATCGTTCAACGTATTGTTCTTCATCTAAATCTAAATTTGCTTCACCGGATACTTTAGCGATACGTCGTGCTAAATCTTGCATTTGCCTTAAAGGACCGCCAAGTTCCTCGGTACTTTTTGGCATTTCATTTGATTTCTCATCGCAAACAAAACAACTGATTAATGCCACCATTTGTGGAACATTTAATGAATTAAAAAGTCCATTGAACATCATTTCGGTCATTAATAATTCATCGGCACCATTCAATTCACAAGCGACGCGTCCCTTTAATTCAATGACATCGGCGGGCGTGCAATATGCCATTCGTCGAAGAACACGTTTACGACTTTTTAATTCGTCCATTTGTAAAATAGATTTCGCTCGTTTTAAATCATCTTTCGCCTCTTTCAATTTTTTACCCAATTCCTCCTTTTGAAGGAATTCATCATAGAGTTCATTTACTTTCGGATCATTGTGAATTGAATGGGAGAATAATTTTTTCTCGAGGACTTCAATTTTTTTGATGATATCCTTGAATGTTGAGTCTTCGATTTTCATGTCTGTCACGGGATTCAATAGTGGTGGTCCATCGGGAAATCTTTTTTTCACTTCCTGTATGGTTTTTAAAACACTCTTTCGATTGTCGGCTGGTCGTAAATCGTTTGGATAATAAAGTCTTAGTGAACTGATTTGTGATATTAGTTTATGTAAAACGGGGACAACTTCAATTTCACCGTCTTCACCCGGTTGACATGGTATCGGTGCGGCTTCTGTCGAATTTTTCGACACGTGAAGCAAAATATCGACAATTATCGTTGTTTCATCTCTCGCTGGATTTTTCGGCGTCTTCTTTTTGAAATTGACAATTATTCCCCATTCGAATGTGTCTTTTTCGTTTTTTACCTGAAATTTAAAAAAGAAAATTTAGTTTGTGCTAGAAAGGGTAAATAGAGGAAGAATTTTAATTCACTCACTTTCACCATTCTTCCAGGTTGTAGAAATGGTAACAAATAAGTTGGATTTGTTAGAAATGTTCTAAATTCCGTACTCAGGCGGTCAAGTTGTTCTCTTATGTCATGATAAGTAGAAAGTGAGTCATACTTTTCAAGTACCATCGCATCATACTCGACTTGTAATTTCTTCACCTCTGTAAATATTTAATATATACTTTTCCATTTTTTTTACCTTTTAAGAATACTTTTTAAATATTTAGAAATTAATTACTCACTATTATACAAATCGGGAATTGAGGCTTGATTTTGGAACTGATAGAAACTTCTCTCCAACATGTACTCGGGATTAATTTCCTCAACGCGAAGAAGATTCAACACCATATTGTAAGTGAGATGAAACGCAGAATTAATCGGATCGGGTTTTCCTTGTACGATATCTTTGCCCACTGCCGGACTCACTTGTTCGTCAATCATAAAAATGACAATTCCCTTTTCATCCAAACCTCTCCTTCCGGCACGACCAGACATTCTGTAAATTGTAAACATTTTTATAAACTTTATCTTCTAAAAATAATAATAATAATAATAATAATAATAATAATAATATCTAATAAAAATAATAATAATCTTCTAATAAAATAAAATGGAAATTTTTATAGAATTAACTAAATTTTTACAAAGAAAACAAATCTCAGGCATCACAGTACCTTTTTTCCTCAAAAAAGGTATAAAAATTTATTTGTTTATACAACTTGCATATATAATTCAAATTTTTTATCATATAGCTTTCATTAAATTTTTTAAAAATGGTTCGATTTTAATCAGAATTAAATTAAATTAAACTTGTCCAAAATTCAATTTTTTTAGTGTTTTTAACTAAAATTCCTCAATAAATTTATTATTTTTAATAATTAATTAAATTAATTTATTTATTATTTATGCAAAAGAAAAAATTCACTTACTGAATATATTCTCCGGACGTGATCCAACGAAAATCTTTCCCATCAAATTTCCGCGGTGTTGTAAAGAGAACAGTTCTCGCGGGCATATTCAATCCCATGGCGAAAGTTTCGGTAGCAAAAAGTGCTTTAATTAAACCTTCGCCGAATAAAATTTCCACCGTCTCCTTTAAAATTGGTAGCAAACCACCGTGATGAATACCAATGCCACGTCTCAATAGTGGAAGAACATTTTCAACTTGTGGTAAACGACGATCCTCCTCGCTAAGAACGTCCATTGCATTATTAAAAACTTCATCGACCAATTTCTTTTCCTCGAGGGAATTTAAATCTAATTTCGCCAATTGCATGGCATAAACTTCACAGTCCTTCTTTGAGAAACTGAAAATTATCACCGGTGCAAAATTTCTCTCCATTATCATTTTAACCATTTTAAAAATATTCGATTGTCCCTGATTTGTTTTTAAGAGGGCGCCTTTTCTTCCTTTCTTATCGCCTTTTGCCGCTTCGCCTTGTAAACAGGACATTGCTCTATTAAAATTGTCCTCCTTAAATTGACCATTCTCGTCGACAACCTGTTCAAGTAAGGAATGGAAATAAAATAAAAAATAAGGATCTTATCAATAAGTTTGAAATGGAAAACAAATTTTTAAAGAGGGAAATAATTTTAAAAATTGATTCAAACACATACCAAATGAATTCCATCGCCGCCCATTGGAAATAAATAATGTTGCAATGGAGTCGGACGAAAATCAGTGTACACCACGTGACAGGGTTGATGATGAAGATGTGCAACCCATTCGGCAAATTGTCGCGCGTTGGGAATTGTAGCGGAAAGAAAAACATAATGAACATTGTCTGGTAGAAGAATTAATGTCTCTTCCCAAACAACGCCTCTCTCCTTGTCTCGCATATAATGAATTTCGTCAAAAATCACCCAACCCACTTCACGCATCACCTGAAATAAAATAACATTCGTTTGAATAAAATTTATAAAATTTAATAAATAACTTTAAAAAAATACCATTTAAAAAGTATAATTTATTTTTAAAATAAAAATATATAAAGTAGGAAAATAAACATTGATTAGAAAAATATTTCTTAAACAAAAGAAATTACTTATACTCACTTCTGAACCTCTGTAGAGCATATTCCTGAGAATTTCCGTCGTCATTATAAGAATACTAGCTGTTGGATTAATTGTCACATCTCCAGTTACCAATCCAACGTCTTTGAATTCCTCGTAAAATTCTCTGTACTTCTGATTACTCAAAGCCTTAATTGGTGTTGTGTAAATTACCCGTTGCTTTTCCCTCAAGGACATTGCTATCGCATACCTGAAAATTTTTTCAAATTATTCAATATTACAAAGTGTTAAAAATACAAAAATAGAACAAGGATTCATATTTAAAAGTATGTTAACTAATTTAAACGTTTCTAAATATTTTATAAAAGTTACATCAATTTTTGAAAGTTTTAAATAAAAAATTAAGAATAACTTAATAACTTTAATTAAAAATAGCTAAATAAAAATAATGATTTCACTTAAAAAAAATTAAATTAAATTATTATTGAAAAGAAGTCTATGTTATGAAAATTGTACACACTCGGCAACGACGGTTTTTCCAGCAGATGTGTGCGCTGAGACCAAAATAGATTGATTATTTTCAATACAAAGAATAGCTTCTTTTTGAAAAGGATCCAAAACAAATTTATATTCCTTGGCGGGTTTTCCTGTTAAAGGTTCCAGGGGAATATATTCATGACCAGGAGGTACTGCAACTTCATGTGTACATGATTCAATTGTATCTATCGTATGAACAGTTATTCGAGTCGATAATTCATCTATACTGAAAGAAAAATTAAAAAATTGATAAATTAATTCCATAGTCAAATAAATTCATTAAAAAAATAGAATTTATAAAGTTAGGTATTCTAGAAAATTATTAAATAAATTAAAAAACTCAGTTATATACAGAAAATAAATAATGTAATTATCATATTATGAAAACATGTGGGCAGGTGACATAACCTCAAGAACTAAAAAGAATATTCGAAAAAAACATGAAAAAGGATGAAAATTTAATTGTTTTTTTCAATTAGAAATCTTTTGTGTAAAGAAACTAAAGTGATTTTGCAACAATAGGGAATTGTTGAATATTATTTGTAAATATGACGCATAAAAATGTGAACAATGTATACACTTACTTGATATCGTCTAATAATGATTCTTCCAATTTTGGTCGTTTGGGAGAACTCCTGGCCTCTTCCTCATCCTCATCTTCTTCTTTTACTGTTGCTTGTGCATCAGAAGGTCTAAAAATTAATAAATAAATAGAAAAATAAGAAAAGAATTTTGAGGTTAGATGTCGAGCAAAATTGAGAATTGTTTACCTTTTTTTCGATTTTGTTCTTTCTGGAATAGTCTCTTCTTTTTCCTCTGGTATTTTAGGAGCAACATTTTCAGCCGTCTCATCGAATGCATCGAACAAATCATCAACACAATCATCCATTGTTTAAAAAATTGGAAATATAATGTATATTTATTGTATATTTTACAAAAAAATTGTATCACAAGTCACAACAGCAACAAATTTACCGTGCGATGTTAATGAAAGTCCACACGTAAAAAAATAAGGAAAAAAAATATTGGACAATTCTGTGGTAAATTTTCATTGGATGATCTAAACAACATTGGAAATGAAGCTTAAACTATTTACCGCCTTATTTGCCGTGAGTGTGAGAGAGATGGAGATTGGACAAAACTTTTATTTTTCCTCTTTTTCGCTCTCATGGAAATTCTCATTCATTATTGCAACGGCTTCTGAGCACGACGGAATTTTTGTGAAAGATTTTATATCACTTTTTATAAATTAAGAGAAAAGTTATAAACTTATAGTGCTATCTTTTTGTTTTTTGTTAACAAGTTATTCTAGATTTATCGAAAATGTTTTGGGGTGAGTATTAATTATTAAAAGAAAAATTAAACAAGATGGAATGAAAATAGCCGGCTGAATAAAGAATGGCGTCGCCATGTGGTCACAAAGAGTTTTTTAAAAATTATTATCTTTGACACAATAATAAAGTAGTTTAGTACATTATTCAGGGGACTGTAAATAAAATATTTTCAATATAATTTGATAATTTGAATCAATTTTCTTGGAATTGTATTTTCTTTTCTTTAAATCAACAATGAAAGGCATGAAAAGGCAACAATGAATTTTTCTAACCGTCATTTTTATATACAAGTTTCTTTCGAATTCGACTAAAACTTGTGTTCTTTAAACGAAATTAATAATAAAATAATATAATAAATAATTTGAAATAAATCATTTTATGAAAAATGTTTTTATATCAAAATAAAAATTTTTATTGCACTTTTGTTTGAAATTGAATTTTTATTACAGGTTTGATAATGGAACCAAATAAACGATACTCTCAAGTTGTTGAGAGATCGTTTCATCTTTCAATGGCCAGTTTAGATGTCACAAGTGCCAGTAAGTATCAATTTTTCCTTTTTTTGGAAAAAAAAATTCCTTAACATAACCTCAAAAATGAATTTTTTGCTAATTTTCTAATTTTTTCAAATAGACGACCAACCAGTTCAAGTGATGCTGTGCTATGAAAATCGGAATTATTTACTCTGCACGCTAAAAAAAGGATCACATTATCAAGTGCCTTTGGACTTGAATTTCCAGGAAAATACGAAAATAGCATTCACATGTAATGGCTTTGGTCACGTGCATCTAACAGGTTATTTAACATTGGACGATGAGGATTTCGATTTTGGTGACTTGGAGGAGGAGGAAGACGAGGACGAGGAGGAAGAAGTTCCCCAATTGGTAAAAAACAAAAGGAAAGCCGCAACAGAATCACCACAAAATAATAAAAAGAAAATCAAGAAACAAGTCGAAGCCGAAGATGACGAATCGTCTGACGATGATGACGATGATGATGACATGGAAGCTGAATCAGATTCAGAAATTGAAGACAGTAAATTAATGGGCGAAGATGAAGTAGACAGTGACGAAAGTGACGACGACGATGACGATGAGGAAGATGATGACAGTGATGACGATGAATCGGAACAAGAAGTCGAGAAACCAAAACAACAGAAACAAAAGCAAAATCAAAATCAAGTTAATAAGAAACAAGAGAAACAGAAAATGGTTAATGGAAAGGATACAAAGGTCGATGGAAAACAGAAGAAAAATAAAACCGAACAAAATGCTCAACAGCAGCAGCAGCAACAACAACAACAACAGAAGAGAAAAACCATCGAGGGTGGAGTGCAAATAGAAGATCTCAAGGTTGGAAACGGTTCGCCCGCGAAACCCGGTAGAAATGTTTCCGTCTACTACGTTGGTCGTTTGAAGAATGGAAAGAAATTCGACGAAACCAAAGGCGGCGAGGGTTTTAAATTCAAACTAGGTGGTGGTGATGTCATCAAAGGATGGGACGTTGGTATCTCCGGAATGAAAGTTGGCGGCAAACGGCGTCTCACGATTCCCCCGGCAATGGGGTAAGTTTAATTTTCAAGAAACAATTAATTAAAAATAATAAAAATTAAAAATTGAATAATAAAAATTTAATTGAAAATTAAATAGACTTTATCTTTTATTGAAAATATTAAAAATAAAAATTTCTTTTTACAGATACGGACACAAAGGATCCCCACCAGTGATTCCAGGTAACAGCACACTTGTATTTGAAGTTGAACTGAAGAATGTACATTGATAAAGAGAAAAAAAGTGACAAGGATATATATATATATTATTTTTTTTTTGTTTTTTTGTTTCCATTGATACAAAATACTGTCTCTAAAGACTCTATCAGTATTTAACGGTATCACTTTAATCCATTTTTAGGCTAATTGATTTTTAATTTTAATATTTTATTTTGGAGAAGTGAATTTTTTAATCAATATTTGATATTGAGACAAAGTTCCGCACTCATTCCATGCTGGTTAAACTATAGTATCTATAAAAATGTAACATATATTTTCAAATCAGGATTGATGAGAATGCATCTTCATTAATCTTTTGTAATAAAAAATTTATTCATTTTTCTCATAAATTGGAATTTTCTTTTTTTCAACTATTCCTTTTACAATAAAATTTGCCTTTCAATAAATCACACAGCACTAATTTTAACAAGATAAAATAAAAAATTTCATACTTAAAAAAAATACAATACAGTAAAAATTGACTAAATTTCCATTACAGTAATAAATTTTCATCACTATATAATTCACTAAATGACGAGAACAATTAATTACTTAATTCGTAATTATAAATAAATTCTCTAATTTTATACAAATATTATGCTATTTGAGTTTTGTTAATACAGTACAGTGCTTTTAAAATTTGTCAATAAAAACATTGCAGGTACGCGTTACTTTTTCAACATTCTAATTTAAATATATTTAAAAATTATTGCAACTATCGTTTAAGGTTCAGTTAAAAATAGAGTGGCGATTAATCTGAATTATATCAGATTATTGTGATATGTACAAATATACTCAGAACAATAATAATTTAAGAGATTAATTAATTCATTGTGTTGGCAAATTAAAATAATCTGCTTCGTTTTTGACTTGACTGAGATTGAAATTTAAAATTGAAAAACACAATATCATAATACATACTAATTGAAGAATTATTCTACATATTTTCTTTTAATCCACTTTCGTCTCATCTTTCTTGTCTTTCCAAACCATTTTGCAAACTCCACCCTTACATTCCTTTACCAAAGTGGGTGGTTCCTTTTTCTCTCCATTTTCATCCTCTTTCTTGCGATACCAAAATTTTACCATTAAAGGTTGAATGAAAAATCGAAAAATCAGCAGCAATATTGGAATAAAAACGCAAGGTACACACACCATTTTTTGATATTGATGAAAACTGGAAAATTTCAATTATTTCTTATAGTTTACCGAGTTCAATCGCTTAGTTAAAGAAAGAATAGGTGTAAAATAAAATGGGAAATAATAATAATATTTGATAATATTAATAGAAATAACACTATAAATCATTAATTAATACTTTAAACAATTGCAGTACATAACCATAAATTTTAAAGATAAACTTTCCCAACAGAATTAATAATTCAAGAATGTAATTTTCATAAGCTTTGTATTACAATATTGGACGAAATTAGAAATTATAATTAATTGTTCTACTCAATTATAAATTGACCCTAAAGTGGATAAATAAATAAAAAAATTTATATAAATAAAAGTTGAAAAATGATAATTTAACTATTCTAGAGACAAATACCTTGTGGATTAATAATTTAGTTGAATAAATAATAAAAATTCTTCTTGGCAATTCAAAATTTGACTAAATATTTAATAAACTTTTTCTATAATATTGTTATCATTTTTTTAATCAATGACGATGGAGTGATGAAGTCAGCTAATTTCGTTTTTTGACAGCTTTTATCCCTAGATTATTTTAGTTATTTTCGTCATTTTGGTAACATTTTCATAAAGTTCAATAAATTCCCTACGAATTTTGGCGCTATTTTTGAATAATTTAATTGTTAAATTGTGTTATTTATTAATTTATTATTTTTAATTGTGTTAAATTATAAAGTTCAATAAATTCCCTACGAATTTTGGAGCTATTTTGGAATAATTTAATTTTTAAATTGTGTTATTAATTAATTTTATTTTAAATTATGTAAAATTAAAATTTTTGAACATTGTAAAGAATTTCTATAATTTTATTAATTAAATAATTTAATTGATAGACAATAGTAATAATTTTAAGAAATTTGGAAAAAATTATTCAATTAAATTTGAAAATTAATACTTAAAAGGTGAATTTTTTTTTTAAAAAAAAGGAAAAATATAAAGAATAAGACTTATTTTTCCTATTTAAACATTTATTTTTCAGAAAGTGTAATTAATACGGCAGTTCTTGAGTCATCTGCGTAGATTATTTTATGCTATTCTGTTCTTCTTTTCTTTTAAATACAGAATTCAAATTCCTTTTAGGTACATACGCGATTATTTTGTAAATAAAGTACGATTATTTATTTATATCTGTTAATTAGAAAATCTCATGTTTATCCAAGATGTTTTCCTTTTTTTTCCTTTTTTTAAAATCCGATTGCTTTTATTTCTAAAACTAGATAAAGTGTCGATATACAAGTCTAAAAGTGAAAATTCTTATTTATATCAATAGTTTCTGTAAAAATTTGTATAGAATTGTTAAATTCTATATATTTCTATATGTAATATTAAAATTTTGAAAAATCTTGGATAAAAATGAATTTTTCTACATATATAAAGATTTATACAAAGAAAATTCTAGATGATAGTTTTTCTTTTTCTTTTCGAAAACTAACATGTTTTTGTATTCTTTTCAATAATATATGTACTTTTTTTTAGTGGAGATTGTTAATTATGGTCCAAATTAATTATTTTAAGGAACTTCTATTCACAAATGTGAGAATAATCGAAGTCCTAATACTTCATTATTTTTTTTACATTTATATAAATAATAAAATGGAAGAAAACATCCCACGAAGAACACTCTCAAAACTAAAATTATTACAGTTTCTATTTTAAATATTATAGAATAGAAAAAAACCCATGTAGCACGTAATATTACAGTAACATTACAGTAATATTGCCCGGTAATATTACTGCAATATTACATTAACATTAAAATGTCCGCCTCATGGTAATATTACCCATCAATATTACAGTGACATTACAGCAATATTACGCGGTAATATTACTGCAACATTACTGTAATATTACAGCAACATTACAGTAATATTACACGCTTCTGAAAAAATTTCAAAAAAGTTTTTTTTGCAATGATAAAATAAGAAAAAATTTATTGTTTATTTATTAGGTATGCATTTTAGAGCCATTTTTATTCCCTGTATATAGCTGTGTAATATTACAGTAACATTAGCTCGTAACATTACAGTAATGTTACTGCAACCTTACAGTAATGTTTCTATAGCATTACAGTAATATTACTTTAATGTTTCTGTAATATTACTGTAATATTAACTGGTAATATTACCATGAGGCGGACATTTTAATGTGACTGCAATATTACAGTAATATTACCGGGCAATATTACTGTAATGTTACTGTAATATTACGTGCTACATGGGAAATGAGATTCAAAGAATTGAATCGTTTGTCATTGTCTGAAATTGAGAATTTATAAAAATTTCTAATCCTTTATTTTTATAAATTCGATACGAGACTTAACTTAAATTTTCTCCCCCCCCCCCCCCCCCCCCTTCGAAAAAAATGATTGCAATAAATTAAATATTTAAAAAAAATAATAAATGTACAATTCGATATTTACATTACTAAAGAAATTCATTAATAATCTCGAAAAAAATTAACCATTTTGGGAAATAATGGCACTGTACATTATTCTTTTTTACAGGAAGAAGTAGTTTTTAATAAATTTGAATTAGAATTGTGTTCTTAATTCAAATCGATTTAAGAAAAATAGATAATTAGGAGAATATTAGCACCTTGAAAGACCGCTACTTTTAAGTAAAATTGGTCTACCTCATTTTCATGGGAATATATATATATAAATATAACTAATTTGTACAAATGGACAAGAAATTCTTTTGTTTTGCTTTTAAGTCTGAGCCGATCCGTAAGTTCCGATTGGAGGTCGATAAAGTTTTGGAAGTGTTGGAATTTGAAGACTATTGAAAGCGTATTTTCTCACTCCTATATTCTTCCAAGTATTTTCTCTTCTACAGCCCTCGCTTTAAAAAATATTTCATATTTAATTTAAATAAATTTGACAAAGTAGAAAAAATAGAAATTCTGTTAATTTAAATAAAGTAGCAGAAAGTATAGTTTAAATAAGAGTTGATTATTAAAATTAATTATGGTAACACTTACCTTCGCATGCATTCGAGAGCTCTCATAAATTCATGTTCTGCGAGATGATATTCAGCGGCAAGAATATTGACCTGCTCTAATGTGATCGACATTCCCGTACGATCTTTGGCACTTTTACAACTAGTGAATCTCAGTCCTCGCATACGGCGACATATTTGGGAAGACAATTGTAAAACATTTACATTTTTATTAACTTTCGCTTGAATGCATGTTTTTAAATTTGCCATCATATCAGCTAAAGTTTGATTCAACGGTGAACGAGTTCCCACTGAAAAATAAAAGAAACGAAATTAATCTCAAATTCTAAAAAATAATAAATGTTTTTTTTTTTTTTTTGAGAAATCACAAACAAAACTTGAAAATAGAGCATTTTTATTTTATTCCTTATTAAATATTTACTTCTCGTTGAAGATGGTTCAGTTGGTAGGTTCAATTTCTTAAAACGCAAATAATATTCATTGAGTCTATCAAAATTGTCAATATTGCTTTTCTCTTGCGGTTCTGTTGTGCCTAGACTTTCAGCCAACGAAGCCATTTTATTAATGCCAATATTAAAGAATACTGGCGTCACATTAAAGGACAGACTTTGCCTCGATGACGGAACTATTGGAAGTAAAGAGTATATGGCATCGGGAACAGGTAAAAGAACCGTGAGTGCTGTGCGAGAACCAACAACTCTCGGGATTGGCAATTGCATCGAATTCTTTGCTTTTCGATCCATTCTAAAATCAAGCACAAAATATTTTTATATAAAAATTAATAGATCGTTCGTTTCAATAATTTTTTACCTCAAAAAGTATTGTAAATATACCACAAAAAGTATTCTAAAAGAAATTGTAAAAAAAATTGTTCTGAGTAATTAAAAAATTACTTTACCTGGGATGAATGCCACTTCTTGTGAATGTAAATGTAACGGTGTGCATATCTTCAACTGCAACGGCCATATCACCCCATTTATCGATTTCCTCTCCGTAATAACTTAATAATGCCTCAAATGAAATGAGAGGACCGAGTGTTGTCAAAATTAATAGAAACATTGGATCCGGCCTTTGACACCAAAGTTTCGCCATTAATCCAGAAACTAACGCTGTCAACTGTAAAATAAATTACATTCCAAATTGATATTTAACAAACTAAATGGAATCTGTATTTTGATTTCTTTAAAATTTACATCTGTGACGCGATCTGAAGAAAGGGACCTTAGAAGCAAATCATTTTAAGGTTGGGTTAGAGTTACTTTTTTCTTGTTTGAAAGTTTCTTTTTACTTATTTCGAATTAAAATCAGTGTTTATTAAATATTTTAGTTTTAATGAAGACTTAAACTTCAATGATTTATATTGACAGTTGATCCTTTTTTTGTATTTTCAATTAAAAAATTGCAAACATAACCTATAATTTCTTGCTTCTAAGGTCCCTTTCTTCAGATCGCGTCACCTCTTTTAATTTTAGTGAAAAAATTTAATAATTTTTGGAACTCTCATAATTTTAAATAATTTAATTCTTGAATTATTAATTATTATATATAATTATAATTATAATTATATAATTCTAATAATAGAAGAATTTTATTGTTTATGAAAATAATTGAATTTATGCGAAGAATATTATTATTTATTAAAATAATTGAATTATTTTAAAGAATATTGTCAAAAATTCTGAAAATAATTGAATTCTTGAGAAGAAAAATTTTATTGAAATTGCATTGAAAATAATTTAATTTTTAAGAATAATTCTATTATTTATGAAAATAATTTAATGATGTTAAAGAAGTTTATTAAATTCTTTTAAAAATAATTGAATTCTGTCGAATCATTACAATTTCTAGAGAAATTTAATTAAAATTGCATTGAAAATAATTGAATTGTTTCAAAGAATTTTATTAAAACTTTTGAAAATAATTAAATTCTTTCGAGGATTTTAATGAAAATCGTATTGATAATTATTACGCTTACTCCGAAAATTTAATTAAAATTGTATTCAAACCAATTGAATTCTTATAAAGAATTTTATCACAATTTTTCAAATCTTTTGATTTCATTCAAAGAATTTTATTAAAATTTCTAAAAATAATTTAATTCCTGTGAAGAATTTTATAGTTTATGAAAATAATTGAATTCCTGGAAAGAATTTTATTATTTACGAAAATAATTTAAATGTTTTGAAGAAATTTATTATTTATGAAAATAATTGAAATATTTCGAAGAAATTTATTAAAAGTTTTGAAAATAATTTAAAACTTTCGAAAATTTTAATGAAAATTATATTAAAAATCATTAGATATTATCCAGAATTTCAATTATAATTATAATTGAAAACAATTTAATTTTTGTAAAGAATTTTATCAAAATATTTGTAATATAATTGAATTTTTGAGAAGAATTTTATTGAAAATAATTGAATTAGTGGGAAGAATTTTATTATTTTATTGAAATCAATTGAATTATTTCAAAGAAATTTATTAAAAGTCTTGAAAATAATTTAAATCTTTCGAAAATGTCAATGGAAAATTGTATTAAAAATCATTAAATATTATCCAGAATTTTAAGTAAAATTATATTAAAAACAATTGAATTCTTGTAAAGAATTTTATAAAAATATTTGTAAAATGATTGAATTCTTGAGAAGAACTTTATTGAAATTGAATTGAAAATAATTTAATTTTTGGGGAGAATTTTATTATTTATGAAAATAAGTAAATTCTTTCGAGAAATTTGAAATCCTAATAAAAATCATTAGATTTTTTCCAGGAATTTAATTAAAATTGTATTAAAAATATTGAAATTCATTCGAAGAATGAATTAAATTCCTATGAAGAATTTTATTATTTATGAAGGTATGTATGTAATTGAACTCTGGAGAAGAATTAGTAAAAATAGTTGATAAATGAATCTTTTCAAAATTTGGATTCTGAAATTATTTAAAAATTAAAATTGATATTTAAAATTTTTAAATAAAAAAATTTCACAAGTTTGTTAAAATTAATTTAATAAAACAAATACTCACAGCTTGACTGAAACACACATCCCTTCTATACCGAACATTACAAACACGATGTGCACTTTTGGCATCTTCTTGCACACGAAATACAGAATGCGTGAGTCTTGCTGTTTTTAACAATCCATCCATCGCTTGTCGTAATTTTTTCATACTCGGTCTCAATTCACTGGTCCAATCAACAATACTGGCAAAATCTAATCCCTCAGTGAATTTATTTCTCTGGCTAGAATTGCTTTTAATGACTCTTGTCATTGAATCCACGGCTTGACACACTTTATCGGAAGACGCATTAGAATAAATATCACTTGTTCCTAATAAATAGGCAACTTGCACATCAATTGCTGCGAGTGAGAATTGAAAAAGAAAAACAAAAATTTTGTCTAATTTTAGCTAACGAGTGCGAAAACATAAAAGAAAAATTATATAGCCACACGGAAAAAAAGCAAAAAAACTAAACTTTTCAAACTCACCTTCTTTGGCTTTGGCGAATGCAGGTGTTGATATCTCCGTACCAGGACTATTTTGTTGACGATTATTAGTACTGTCCAATAATTTACTCGCCTCATCATTTTTAATTCCATTCTTTGGTTGAATTGTCACGACACCTAAATTATTGCGATTATTTGGCAAACAACCTTTAATACTCGGTGTTTTGCCAATTCCATTTTTATTTCTAAGTCTCACAGCCGGACTACTGCAACGTCCACAAAGAAATTTTACTTTTGAAACAAGACACATGACGCTTGCCTCGATATTTAATTGCGTTATATCCCATGGTTCAGGCTCATCGGTTGGTTTATAATAATTAGCCGATGGTGAATTGCACATTTTTTGTGTATCTAAAAATTTCTTACTAAGATCAATATCATTTTTATCAACATCGCCCTTCTCATCGTCATCAATATTATTATCATCATCATCTTTATTATCATTCTTTAATTCGAAATTTTGTTCCTTCAATTCCGTTTCCTTTGGATCGTCATCATCGTCGGGGAATATGACAAAATTTTCCTCAACTTGAGTTATTTCTTCTTTTTTATTAATCTCATTTTTTGCGGTAAATGTTTGATATTTTGTTTTTGTTGTTTCACGTGTCCAAATATCTTGTACGCATTCGGGTGTATCGGGTGTGACAAAATCATCAAAATCGGGACTGCGAAGATCAAAATTCAATTGTTGGGTAATTCTTCTGAATGGCGAGAGATTTTGATTTGATTTAAAATCGAGAGATAGTGGATCGTCGTTATTTAAATCGTCTTGAACTTTGGCAACTTTGTGCTCGTCGAGAAATGTTAGCGCCTCCTCAACGAGGCCTGGATCCCAAAGACTGAGAAGTATACGTGTTTTTGAAATCATATCCTCACAAATTGGTAGCATTCCGCTTGTTTGCTTTTCCTTGGCTAATTTCATTAACGAACGCATTGCCTCGACTACGTCTCTTCGTAATTGTTTTATCGCTTGAATTGCGTCATGAGCCATTGTGATTTTTGATGTTCCTTGATATAATTGACTGCATCTCGTCGGCGATTCCTTTAAAGCTTGCACCAATCTGAAATTGTATTCTTTAATAAATTGTTTTTCTTTTAAATTTAGATTTGAATTTTAAATTTAAAATTTTGATTTTTAATTTTAGTTTTGGAATTTTAATTTTCAAAATTCAAACATTTTCTAAAATATTCTTTTTCTAAATATTTACCAAGAAACAAAATTTCGTTTTAAATAAATTCTTCGCTGTATTTAATATTTAAACAAATAGTTAACTTTTTCTAATAAAATTAGAATTTAGGAATTTTTTATTGTGGAGACAAACCTTATGAGACCGCCATTCTTGCTTTTATGAGAATGAGCTGTAAATGCTCCAACGCTAATAGTGTCGTAAAATCCGCATTTATTGAGAGTATCATTGTGCACCCACATTCGTTGAAGATGTAAATTAAGAGGAGCAAATTCCAGAGATCTGTCATTTTTTCTCGAAGATTGTTTAAAGTAACTTCCTATTGTGAATTACGAAAATGTTAAATAAACTCTTAATTAATTATGTACGGAAAATATAATTAAAATATAGTATAATTATATATTAAAAGTATAGTGAAAATACAAATATATTAAAAGTATAAAAGTAGAAGTATAAAATATAAAAAAGAAAATTAATAAAATAAATGTTAACCTTTGAAAGCAGCCAAATTCTCCTTAGCCTGAGAGTACAAATTTAAAAGTTGTAAATGACGATCAAGAAGTTCAACTTGCTTTGTATGCCACGGCTCTCTTAATTCTCCCATTCCCGCAACTTCCTGCAATAATTCCTTTTCTTCTTGTATCCAAATTCCACTGAAAATTAATTAACAAAATTATAAATCTAAAATAAAAATAATGATACAATCCCCTTGAAACAAATACCTACAGTAATTGTTGTGGAAATTGAAAACAGAGTTTACTCTCGGCCATTATTTCATGGACACAAATATCACCTCCCAATCCAGAATGAAATCTTCAGAGAAAACATAATTAGAAATACAATTTTTAATTTTCTGAAACAAATGCAGCAAAATGATTCTAAATTATTATTGTTATTTTTAAAGAATTATTACGAAATTATCACCTATATGTCTGTATATGGGGATTGGCGAATAAAAGTTTTAATTGACCCTGGTGAGGAAGTTTAATTTTTGTTCCCAATCTAGGTGGTAATGATTGTGATCTTCTATGGCACATTATCTGAAAAAATCAAATTAATTATTAATAATTTTTTAAATTTATTATTGTTAAGTTATTTTTCTTTCGAAATATCAATTTTAATTTTCGAACGATTTCAGATTGAAAAATTCTTCACAGGAATTTAATTATTTTTAAAAATGTTAATTTTTGTACATTGTAAATAAATAAATAAATAAAATTCGTCGCAAGAATTTAATTATTTTCAGAAATTTTTATCATATTCTTTATAAAAATTTAATTACTTTTAATCCAATTTTCATAAAATTTCTCGAAAGAATTCAATTATTTTTAATACAATTTGAATTAAATTTGACAACAAAATTTTAATTGCTTTTAATAAAAATTTTTTAAAATAAATAAGAGAATTCAATTTCGAAAACTTTAACCTTCGCGCTACCAAAGATTTTTGTATACGCGGGCTACCGGATGGCCACCCGGGGTGGCCAAACGCTTTTTTACTTTTATATTCCAAAAACGATTAAAATTCATCAAACTTTTTGTAAATAACTATGTGTTAATACAATTGCTGTATTTTAATAAAGGTTTTATGCATATTGCAATTGTTTAAAAAATTTGTTATTGCAAAAACATATAATTTTCAAATAAACAAAGAGATTAGAAAATTTTTGAAAACTTTTCTTTTTTTAACGTTACTTAGAATTAAATCAATAAATTAAAGAAAATATTTATTGAAACGAATCATAAATATTAGTAAAAAATTATTTAAACAAATTATTGTTGTTATTTACCAACTTTTTACAGAATACACCTAGAAAGTTGCAGTTTTTTCCTAATTTTGCAATTTACTAAATCTTATATGATCACAAATAAAGAGTAAAAATTGAATTAATATTTAAACAATTTTAAAACAAATTATTGTTGCTATTTACCAACTTTTTACAGAATACACCTAGAAAGTTGCAGTTTTTTCCTAATTTTGCAATTTACTAAACCTTATATTATTACATATTGCAATTTATAAACGAATTATTAATTTGTTTAAAAATGGTTTAAATAACAATTCAATTTTGATTTTTTTATTTATAATCATATAAGGTTTAGTAAATTGCAAAATTAGGAAAAAACTGCAACTTTCTAGGTGTATTCTGTAAAAAGTTGGTAAATAGCAACAATAATTTGTTTAAAAATTGTTTAAATAATAATTCAATTTTTACTCTTTATTTGTGATCATATAAGATTAATAAATTGCAAAATTAGAAAAAAACTGCAACTTTCTAGGTACATTCTGTAAAAAGTTGGTAAATAACAACAATAATTTGTTTAAACAAATAGAAAATTCATTGTAACATCAAAATATGTTGTATTTATTGACATAAAACAATTTTATTGTGAAACTTTCATGATTTCATTTTTATTTTTTTGCAATATACAAAATAACATCCGAACGTTTTTCAGTAGTGTTGAACATAGTTTTTTAATTGTTATTAATAAACAAGAAGAAATGTAAAAAAAATTTATTTTTTTTATTTTTCGAAAGTAGATAAAATTTTGTTCAGTGACTTAAAATCGCGATTCGATTGATGCAAAAATCGAGCAGATTTACAACATTATTTATTGCTTGGCCACCCTGGGTGGCCATCCGGTAGCGCGAAGGTTAATGAATTTCTTCGAAATATTTCAATTATTTTCGTAAATAATAAATTTCTTCGGAATACTTCAATTATTTACGTAAATAATAAAATTCTTTCCACAAATTCAATTATTTTCATTAAAATTCTTCTCAAGAATTTAATTATTTTACAAATATTTTGATAAAATTCTTTACGAAAATTAAATTGTTTTCAATTATAATTATAATTAAAATTCTGGATAATATCTAATGATTTTTAATACAATTTTCATTAAAATTTTCGAAAGTTTTAAATTTTTTTCAAAACTTTTAATAAATTTCTTCAAAATATTTCAATTATTTTCATAAATAATAAATTTCTTCAAAACATTTCAATTATTTTCGTAAATAATAAAATTCTTCCCATGAATTCAATTATTTTGAACACATTTTTCAATAATATTCTTCTTAAAAATTCAATTACTTTCATAAACTGTAAAATTCTTCACAGGAACTTAATTATTTTTTAGAAATTTTAATAAAATTTTTCGAATGAAATCAAAAGATTTGAAAAATTGTGATAAAATTCTTTATAAAAATTCAATTGTTTTGAATACAATTTTAATTAAATTTTCGAAGTAAGCGTAATGATTATCAATACGATTTTCATTAAAATCCTCCAAAGAATTTAATTATTTTCAAAAGTTTTAATAAAATCATATTCTTTATAAAAATTTAATTAAGTAATTAATTTTCCTAAAATTTCTCGAAAAAATGCAATTATTTTTAAATATTTTGATAAAATTTTTCGAAAGAATTCAATTATTTTGAATTTTTGATTCAATTTTTTATAAGAATTCAATTATTTTCAATACAGTTTTAACTAAACTCCTCGAAGAAATTTGAATTTTCTTTGAAACAATAAAATTATTTTCAAAAATTTTAATGAAATTCGTCACAGGAATTAAACAATTTGGGGAAGTTAGAAAATTCTTACAATAGAATTTAATTGTTTTCAATGCAATTTGAATAAAATTTCTGGAAAAAAATTTAATTATTTTTTTAAAATTTTAATTAAATTCTCCTTAAGAATTTAAATACTTTCAATAAAATTCAATAAATTTCAAATCTTCTGCTAATTTAAAACAATAATTAAAAATGGAATTAATATATTTTTTTAAAAACTTAATTACCTGATTGTTAGTGGATAAAACATTTCTAGAAGGAGTGCTTTCAGTGCTGTTCCCTTTATCCTCTGCCTCTAAATTCCAAACGTTTATTGTTAAAAATCCAACAGTCGTCGCTTTGGCTGATTTTAAAGGAATTCTCAGTCTGAAGCATATTAAAAAAATTCATTATTACATTTTGTTTTCGATTTGTAAATCTTGTTCAATTTTGATTTAGTTTCTTTAGTCTATTTTCTTTTTTAATCTAGTTTTTCACCTTGGTGTATCTTGAATGGTACTAAACATCATAACTGCACTTCCAATTGGTGTTGCAGTCTGACTAACTCTTTCTCTCACATCAAACGATGTTATTCTGACCCTGCTGTCCATATTTAAACCATCGCTCGCTCTAAAGCAAACGGTCGTCAGAAACCCTGGATTACTGCTTCTCTGAAAAAATTAAGAAAAACATTTATCAGTCTTGAGAAAAGAATAATTAAAACAGCAGACTTCTTTGGAAAAATTAAGAAACAGTTTATTAGCCCTGAGAAAAGAATAACTAAAAGAGGACACTATCACATTATGATTTTATAAATTTTAATTTAGGATATGAGAAAATTATTATGAGATAAGACAATTATTAAAAGGTAATAAGATAATTATTAAAAGATATTAAGATAATTATTATCGATTAACGATAATTATGGAATTATAAAAATTTTCTACCTCGACAACTTCCGTTCTCGCGTACTTAATCCACATTTTCGATTGATTCGTTTGAATGTCCAATTCCAAAACAGGATTAGGCGGTCTTCCGTGTCCATCGCAAAGAAGATTATCACAAGCTAGAGAAATTTCACAAATTGGAATCTCCGCAGGATCTGTAAAATGATCTTTTTTTTATCAAAGATTGAAAAAAGATCGTTAGTAAAAGAATGTTTATATTAGTTTTCCAAAACAATTAAATTAATTATTTTACGTGTCGATAAAATATTAGAAAAAAGAAATTGTCACACTATTAATAATATTGATATTAAATATTAAATTTTATCAATTCAATTTTAGTTTTATCAATAAAAAATATTTGTTATTAATTACATTGAATTTAATATTTCATTTTTTTGTTATTAATTACGTTGAGAATTTAGAATTTTATTTATTTGTTATTAATTCCATCGAATTTAATATTTTGTTTGTTATTAATTACGTTGAGAATTTAATATTTTATTTATTTATTAATTATTGTTATTAATTGCATCGAATTCAATAATTTATTTATTTGTTACCAAACGTACCATTTTGGAAAGAAGAAAATTAAAATAAAAAAAAATCAGACTGATTTTATTACAGAGTACGTAATTGAAAGCTTCTGAAAGGCAATACCTGTTATGATTCCTCGCTGCAAGCGCAACATTTGAATGTCTGTGTCGTATTTGTGACCACTACAAGCTTCAATTCTCTGCCTTAAAGATAATAACTGACTTCTCATATGATCGTAGCTGGCTAATTGGAGAGCTTGCAACCAACTGTCTCTATCTTCCGATGAGTTGGCGCCTAACTGCTGATATAAACCCCCATCGAACACTGAAAAGTTTCGATTCAATTAAAACAAAATTCGACTCTTAAAGGGTAACATAACGCCCGAGATTTTAATTAATCGAATCCTTAATTCATTTATGGTCTCAAGGAAAAAGAACGAAATAAATTTCAAAAGAAACAACAAAATAAATTTTCAAATAAATTTCAAAAGAAATATCAAAATAAATTTTCAAATAAATTTCAAAAGAAATATCAGAAATAAATTTCAAATTCCAAGAGTTTGTTTCTTTGAAAAATTCAAAAAGTTATTTAAAAAAATATATTTTTCTTACCTATACTAAATCCGTAAGGAATCTGATTTGTTGCTTGGTCCACTCGAACAGAACATTGCTCCAAAATAATAACTCCCAAGGGTTCTGACCACTGTTCTCTCGATTTGAAATAAAATAACAAATTCCCTCTCAGTCTGCACCAGCGTTCTAGACTTACTGAAAAATTAAATTAAATCCAGTTAATAATCAAACGAATCAAATTGAATGAACCGATAAATTAAAATAGTAAATCATTTTTAATAAATGAAAATAAAAGAAAATAACTTAAACTTGTAAAGTAAATAATAAAAAAATAAAAAATCAATTAGTAAATAAGTCTGGAAAAAAAGACTCAAAAAATGAGAATTCATTTATAGAAACTTTAACTATTTTAATTTAAATTTTTTTCAAAAAAAAAGAGAAAAAATAAAAAAGTATTTATAAAATGCATATGAGAATTAAAAAATAATTATTCTGAAGTGTAGAATAAATTGATAAACGATATAGAATATAAACCTTTGATAAAAAAGTTTAAAGTGAAAAAATATAGAGAGAAAAGTTTGTTGAAATTAAAAAAGAAATAATTTTCATTTCAAAAAATAATTTTAAATAGAGGAAATAAATTTTAAATGGAAAATCAATTTTAAATAGAGAAAATAAACTTTAAATAGAAAATAAATTGTAAATAGAAAATAGACAGGAAATAAATTGTAAATTTATAGAAAAAAAGACTGTAAATAAAAAGAAGACTGTAAATAGAAAAAATAAATTGTAAATAAAGAAAATAAACTGTAAAAAAACCATAAAGGATAAAAAAAAATAATTAGAATACTAACTGTTAATGTATGCTATGCATTCAAAAATTACACTCAATGTATACCTTAAATGCATTTCCCCTTACATTTTTTTACACACATATAACACAGCCAAAAATTATGGGCAAAACAAATTTAAAAAAAAATAGAAACGTGCAAAAATTTTAATCAAGCAGTGCATGCTGTTATATAATTATCACATTCCATATATGTATATATATACGTAAATGCATTTATTATCTAATCCTTAATTACATTTTTAATTCAATTTATTATTCATCTACAATTCGATATTTCGCTTATCAATTTGATTTTTTCTTTCAACTGAAAATAATCTCATACACGAGATTTTTTTTCTATATCAGTTGATCATTTTGCATTATATCGTCACTGGGATTTTTTTTTTGCGAAAAATATTATTTCTAAACAATTAATTGTTTAGAAATAAAATTTTTTGCAAACAAATACAAATCAAAATTTGTCAACAGTTTGCGGAATTTTGTATTTTGTTATTTTTAATTAAATAAAATACAATTTTCTTTAACTTTAATTAAATAAAATACGATTTTTTACTTTAATAAAATAAAATAAAATCTAATTTTTTTTATTAAAAGAAAAGAAATAAAATTACATAATTTGTAATATTTATATTTGCAGAATATCTAAATTTGAATTTAAATAATGAAAATAGAAAAAAATAGAATTTAGAAAATTGTAAAATTTTTATGTACATTTATTTATTTTTTTCGTAAAAGTGATAAGTGCTGGAAAATAATGGGTGACGAAGAATAAAAAGAAATAATTTTGCAAAAAGGAAAATGTGAGGAAAATGATGCGTTTTCTACAATATAAACATTTATTTATATATATAAAGAGAACTGCAACCGCAGAATGTTAATATTGAGGTGAAAATTAATTAATTTAAAAGCAGGAAATTTTCGGATGGGATTATGGTTAATGGTAAAATGCACTCAATGGTACCTTTACTTGTGCTGGCTGTAACGCAACTGAAGTCTCGAAGGGTCTTATGTGTATTTCCTTTTTGTCTTTTGCTCTCTAGTTTTTTACTTGTACCTGTAAATTGTATGGAGGTACTTGGTAGTAATTAACCATGCCCCGTATATATATAATATAAAGTTACATCTAGGATTTGATGTTAATTTATGTTTTTTTTTAAAAACACCTTTTGTTAGAAATTAAAGTAATTTATTAATTATCACAATAATAATGAACAAATTTATATCTAATTGCTTATTCATTAATAATTATATAATTGACAATAATTTATTAAATAAGAATTATATAATTAATAATTAATAATAATTAGTTTATTATTGATAACTGTATAATTAATAATAATAATAATAATGATAATAATAATAAATATTAAATAAATTATTATTAATATTATTATTATTCTTATTAATTAATAGTTTTAACAATTATTAATTGTGGCAATTAACAAACTGTAAATTTGCTTATTATTATTAATAGAGAAACAAACTTTTAGTCACTGACAAAAATCTAAATTCTAATTCCATTTTTTTTGCCTCTTAATTATGTGAATTTTAGTAAATGAAAAAAATTAAAGTTAAACCACTTTCATGAGGTAAAATAGAGTAAACAAATGAATATTTAATTTGATGAATGAAGCTGAAAGAAAATTGTTGATTATTTACAAAAAAAAGCAATGTATTCACTATTATTATTGTTTTGTTTAGAAGTTAATTGTTTAGAATAGAAGTTTTTACTAAAGACGAGTTAAATATTATTTACATAATTCATATTATTACTCATTTACTCTGAATTCATTAATTATAGTTTACTTTACGAAACGATATTTATATATTTACGAAAAGAAAAGATATAATTAAAATATTATTATTGCTATTAATATTACTATTATTAATATAATTAATAATATAAACTAAGAATAGAAAATTATTAAAATTAGAAAATAACTATCATGAAAATTGAACAAACTAATTACAATCATTCTTAAAAAATATTCTACCAAAAAAAACTTCGTTTCTAAATCTAAAGCATTCGCAATGCACTGGAATTATTTTTCTTCAAAACTAAATTCAATATTTACACTGAACAAACATGCTTTTCAAAAATTAAATGAAAAATATCTCTTTTATGTATATTTAAAAAAATAATACTATGCAAAAAAAAACTTTGTCTAATGAGGTAAAATTATTCAAACACATATTTTCTATTGAACAAAAACGAAAAAAGCGAACGATAATATTAACGAGCTATTCTTTTCGGTTGAAAATGGAATTTCTTTGTCACATATTATGCGTAGAATAAAAAAAAATAAAGTAATTTAATATTAAATTAAAAAAAAGGTTTTAATTTTTTTTTTAAATAAAAAAATAGGGTTTAATTTTTTCTTAAATAAAAAAAATTTGTTAATTTATTTTTTCGAAATTAAAATTAAATTTTTTTTGAAGCAAAAAAAATAAATATATTTATGAAGTAAAAAAAACATTAAAATTTAATTAAATTCTTTTTAAAAGAAAATTTCCTTTTCTCAAGCAATGAAAAACATTTAAGTAAATTACACTGAGAAAAAGAGACGTGCATTTTAGGAGAAATTTTTCTATTGAATAATAATTAAGTGATAATTTCCTCTTCTCTAATTAATCGACTCACTTTCCGTTCTTCGAAAAAATCCTTCTTGCCGTTCACGGACGTATAAAGTTCCTTCCTTCTCGAATTTCTGTGATGGCTGGGTGGCAAGAGTTAATAATTCCTGTTTATTGAACCTCATCTTCTTTCTTTTTTTTTTTTGTTCTTCTTCTGCAAAGTTGTCTATTTAACACTATTATGCGAAATCCTCAGGGCGAATTAATATCCATTGTTTACTGAAATACAAAGGATGAACTATGTACCTTTCACTATTTCCTCTATACATAATAATGAGAATAAATGATTTATTGTGTGTGACAAATTCTCTACGTCAATACTTTCTTACTGCAAAAAAAAGAAAAAAAATCAAAACTGTTTTTAAAATAATTATTTTAATTTCTTTCAAATAATTATTTTAATAGTTTTTAAAATTTGTTTTAAATTACTAGTTTCAATTTAAGTTTAGTAAATAAATTTAAATAGTTATTTTAATAGTTTTTAAATATTTATTTTTATATTATTAAAACTATTAAATTATCACTTTTTACAATAAATTTCATTTTTATTTTTAGAATCGGGGTAAAAAATTTGTTTTTCAATATTTCAATATATTGATTAACTCTAAAATGTAATATTCGAAACGGGACTAAAATAAACAATATTTATTTCTTTCATACATATTTTTCTAAAAGTGAATTTTATGAGATATGAAAAATGAAATATTTCTTGTCGATTATTTGAATTTACGATATTTCTATTTAATAGTGAATAGAGCAATAATTTTAGTTAAATAATTAAAAAAGCAATTTCTAAATAAATGTTTCAAATGAAAATTAATTCTCAAATAAATCCACTTTTAATTGTTTTTAATTACCAAAATTAATATTCGTAATTCCAAATTTTCAATATATTTTTCTATAAAGACAGCAAAGAATTTCTTGACAACTAGTTTAAGTTTTTTCATTTAACTGAAAGTTTTCTTTTCTTAGAATCTTAGAGACGTTTAGTAATCCGTTTACCTCCCACGTGGGACAAGTTATGACGACATTCTATTCGGAAATGAGAATAACTGGGTAGATAATAGTTCACATTATATACAATATCTTTGTTACTCTTTACATTCCATTTTCTAAAGCTGAATGAAAATTTTTTACATCCAATAAATAAAAAAGGATAATAACGAATTTCTTTTATATTAAAATCCGAAATTTGCTCTCACTATTTATCATTAAGTTTCAAAAATATAGAAATAATTTCTACTCGTTTATTAATAATTTGCTTCTAAAAAATAATTCTGCAAAATAAAACAAATTACAAGAATATTTCTAAAAGAATTCTTTTTAATACCTTAATTATTTTTGTCTCAATTTTATTCATATTTAAATGTAATTCAAAGAAATGTTCCCTTGGGAATTAAATTAAAAAGAATGTTTTAATACAGTTGAGATTTAAAATCATAATTCTGAAAAACTTATTTTAAACTTGTGGCATAGTTGAATAAAAATGAATAACGAGTGACAAAAAATTAGTAAAAACAATTTAAAACAAAACGAGGCAATAGAATTGAGTAAATATTAAAACATACGTGAATATTAGTCACTGAAAAAGCAAATTCACCTTTTTTCGAAAACTTATTTTTAACGAACTTGAATAGTGTCTACAAGATAAAAGATTTGTTTGATTATGTTGATAAATTGTGACATTTAAGAAAGGACGTGCTCTTTAAAGGTGTGACATTTAGAAAGAGATTTAAATGAAAATAAAAGAAGTATAATGTTTCCAACCTGAGAGAGATTTGTGGGCGGGTGGTGCGTAGAAAGCCGGAATCTCCAGCAGCCGCCCATCCTTAACCACTTGTCAATCACTTTTACATTGACTGTAACATTATTTTACATCACGTTACAAATGTGGAACATAAGACAAATGAAAGTCAAGAGGATCGTTGCTAATTGTCATCATATTTTTCCTCTACGTCCAGAAGTATATACTTATTAAACAGGTCGTCTTCTTATTAAAATTCTATTCCGTTAGTAAATAACAAGCAACGTGGAATGTAAATTTTATGACAATATATACAGTAAGAAGACATAAAAACTGGATCACAGTAAATATTGCAAAACTACATCTAGTTTATTTATACTTTTTTTAATAAATAAAAAACAGCACAACACAATTATGACAGTTCCTGATCTCAGGTATGCAATCAGGAAGGGCAAAAAATACTGGCGCCATCTGGGCTGAAAGACATTTTTAAGAACTAAATTTAAATATGTCGATAATGTAAATATTTAGTTACTTCGTTACTGGGGTAAGAATAATTGAAATAAAAGAACATTTATAAAAATCGAAAGATATATAGTGATTTTATAAAATAAAATATAACAATGACTTTTTACTTACTAATATCAATTTTTAGTTTATTCAATTCAAATGTTCCCGGCATGGTCGCCATATTGGATTTTAGTTCCAATGTTTTTCTTCAGACAGCGCTTGGCTAATTGACATATTGTTTAAAAATTATTTTGTCGCTAAATAATATAGAAATAGTGTTGAAAAAAGGGAAAAAAGTTATGCGAACGATATAAAAATTTAGTGCACGGGATAAATATCTAAATATTGCAATTTATTGTCAAATGCTTTTTTCTTGATTAATTCTCGTCTTGTCTCTCTCTTTGACAATCGGGTGTTGCCGACTGTCAGTGCACTTTAATCTACTATTTGAAGAAGTTTGTAATATTACTCATTGACAATTTGTTTCCGAAAGAGTATTTTGTTTATATATTTCAAAACTTAATGTGTGGAAAATTATCCTGTCGTAATTAACTGACATTCGTCTATTCGGGATATTAGCGGTAACATAACCTCTAAAGTGTCATCTCAATTTTTTCGCTCGCAATTAAAAGATGGAGAAGTTCCTTGTGAAATCGAAACAAGCTCTGGTAAGATTATCGTTATTATTTATTATCTTTTGTTTTGTTTATTACTAAAAATATTTTTTTTTTATAATTTGCATTTGACCTTTAGTCAAAATAGTAGGAAAAAAATTCGTAACAGTTTTCATGTTTCCCTATAGATGTCTCTACATTTTTTTTCTTCCCGCCTTTTTTAGTTGTTAATAACAAATAAACAATAACGGTTTTTTCGTTTATTTACCTTATTAAGTAGATTAAGTAGATAAAAATGTTAGTTTTCTTTAATTGTACAGTTTATTAGAATTTCAAATTCTTCATTAATATCTCTTTATTTTTGTCTTAGACTACAAAAGTTATATTTTTTATCTGAATTTGTCAATCACGGAGAATTGTTGTAAAAATTAACCTAAAAAACGTGTTTTTTTTTTGCAGACGAATTTGAGTGTTTATGAAAAAGTACGAATTGTACTGGGAAATCAAAGTTGCGATTTAGATTCGGCAGTTTGTGCATTAGTTCAAGGACTCTTTCAATATTACGATGTAGAAAAGGAGAATCGAACAAATCGAACTAATGTTGCAGTGATACCGGTTATGAATATTCTTGAAAAGGAATTTCGTGTCAAAACTGAGGTCCTTTATTACCTCAAGCATCATAAAGTACCCTTGAGTTTATTGACGTTTCGGTAAGTCCTTGTACAATACTTAAAATTTAATTCATGCATTTCAAACGCGAACGAGCCCTCCCTTTTCATTCCTCTCGTTCTCTCGTCAAAAGCATTTTAGTACCTCTCTGCCCCCAGGACAAATCCCTTTCTCGCAAAACTTTTCAATTATTATCATCTTATCATTCTACAACAGTGCATTAAGAAAATGTATTATCTTCGTTCCACTTGTTTATTATTGTAACATCGTTTATGAAACAATTTAAACACATTTTGATCTTGGCAAGATTTCATTAATTTGTTGATTTTCATTTCTTTAGAGCCTTTAGACGGAAAGAGACAACAGGAATAATTATTATTCAGGGACATCAGGGAATTCAGGGAAAAGTCAGGGATTTTTATTAAAGTACAGTACCGTCCGCAATTGTCAGTCCACCCATTTTTAAAGGAATGACAAAAATTTTTTAACATAAAATTCATGAAAACTAAAATTTTTTTTGGTTTATATTTTGAAAGACGATAAGATTTTGAAAAGAATAAGACCTTACAGAAGTCATTTGGCCAAAATTTGTAGAAGATATTCCTAAAAATCGTCATTTTCAATGTTTTACAAAAATTTAAATAACTTCTAAAATAATGAACGCTTTTTAATAATCTTAGGATTATTTTAAAGGTCTTTTTCTACGGAATAAGAATTACTTATAGGCATTAACCTGTCATTTTTAACTTGGAATAAGCATGACGTCAAAATTAGACAAAAAAATTGGAAAAATTTGAAATCAATTTTTTGTACTAAAAACTATTCTAGAACATATATAAATCATGATATGGTGTAGATTTTTCAAGAAAATTTAATAAAAATATATGTTTGAATTTCAAAAATTATTTTTTTTTAAATAATATTATTTCAAATTTTTTGAATTTTTTTGTCCAACTTTGACGTCATGCTTATTCCAAGTTAAAAATTACAGGTTAATGCCTATAAGTAATTCTTATTCTGTAGAAAATGGTCTTAAAAATAAGCCTTAGATTATTAAAAAGCGTTCATTATTTTAGAAGTTATTCAAATTTTTGTAAAACATTGAAAATGACGATTTTTAAGAATATCTTCTACAAATTTTGGCCAAATGACTTCTGTAAGGTCTTATTCTTTTCAAAATTTTATCGTCTTTCAAAATATAAACCAAAAAAAGTTTTACTTTTCATGAATTTTATGTTAAAAAATTTTTTTCATTCCTTTGAAAATGGGTGGACTGACAATTTCGGACGGTACTGTACTAAAAAAAATTGAATTTTGCAGAACTTACAAATTATTGCAAAAATTTAATTATTTTCAAAAGTAATATAATTCTTCGCAAAAATTTTATTTTGTTCAAAAATTTGTAAAAAATTCTTGTAAAAATTTCAATTATCTTTAAAAATAATAAAATTCTTCTCCAAAATCCAATTATTTTTAAAAATTTTAATAAAATTCTTGTCAAAATTTCAATTATTTTCAAAAATTTTCCTTAATTCAATGATTTTTAATATCTATTTTAATAAAATTTTTCAAAAGAATTCAATTATTAAAAAAAAATGTAATAAAATTCGTTGCAAGAATTCAATTATTTTCATAAATAATGCATTCTTTACAGGATTTCAATTATTTACAAATTTTTAAAAAAATTTCTTCGCAATAATTCAGTTATTTACATAAATAATCAATTTTTTACAGAGATTCAATTATTTTCATGAATAATAAAACTTATAAAAAAATTTCAATTATTTTTAATTCAATTTTAATCGAATTCCTCGAAAAATGTAATTATTCTTGAAAACTTTATTAAATTCATCGAAAAAATTTAATTGTTTAAAAATTTGTTGATAAAATTCTTTATGAGAATTCTATTTTGAAAAACATTCAATTATTCAATAAATTATTTATTTATTATTTATTTTCAAAAATAATTGAATTTTGAAAAGGTTTTAAATTAAAATCTTTGAAAATATGAATTGTTCATACTTTTAACTTACAATAATTCTGTAGAATTATTTCTTTTGAAAAAGTTTAATTGATTTTTTTTTTTTTTTTAAATTATTTCAAGCTTTTATTTTCTAAATATTTAATTGAAGAATTTCCGAATAATCGAAATTTTGTAAAATTGAATTATAAAGAAATGAATTTGAAAATTCTCAAGGAACTTTTGCAAAAAGTATTAAAAAAAATTTATAATTGAATTCTTTCGTAGAATTTTAATAATATTTTTGAAAATAATAACATTTTTCGAAGAATTTACTTAAAATTGTATTAAAAATAATTGAAAGTATTTTATTATTTAGTAGGAGAATAATTGAATTTTTGCAACGGATTTTATTAATTTTTTTTAAATAATTGAAATCCTGTAAAGAATTGTATTATTTATGAAAATAATTGAAATCTTGCAACGAATGTTATTACATTTTTTTAAAATAATTGAATTTTCTTGACAAATTTTATTAAAATAGTAGATTTTGAAAATATTTGAATTTCAGCAAAGAATTTCATTAGTTTTGAAATTTAATTGAATTCTTTCGTAGAATTTTAATAATATTTTTGAAAATAATAACATTTTTCGAAGACTTTACTTAAAATTGTATTAAAAATAATTGAAAGTATTTTATTATTTAGTAGGAGAATAATTGAATTTTTGCAACGGATTTTATTAATTTTTTTTAAATAATTGAAATCCTGTAAAGAATTGTATTATTTATGAAAATAATTGAAATCTTGCAACGAATGTTATTACATTTTTTTAAAATAATTGAATTTTCTTGACAAATTTTATTAAAATAGTAGATTTTGAAAATATTTGAATTTCAGCAAAGAATTTCATTAGTTTTGAAATTTAATTGAATTCTTGCAAAAATTTTTGAAAATTTCATCTTAGAGGAATTTATTTAAAATTGTATTAAAAATAATTGAAATCCTTTGAAAAATTTTATTATTTATGAAAATAATTGAATTTTTACAACAAATTTTATTACATTTTTCTAAATAATTGAATTCATGTAAAAAAATTTATTACTTGTAAAAATAATTGAATTCTTGCGAATGATTAAATTTACATTTTTGTAAATAATTTATTTTTGAAAAATTATATGGAAATTTAAATTATTTTAAGTTGTTGAATTTCATAAAGGTTTGAATTAAAAATTTTTGAAAATATTAATTCCCATAGAAAAACAATAATGATTAAATATTTATTTAAAAATGAGGTTATTGATTGATGTTTTGGAAATAATTTTACAATTAAAGAAATTCGTAAATAAATGAAATAGAACAGTTTTTTGAGTGTTTAATAATTTTTAGAGTGAATCGCAGAATATTCTTAAGGGTCAGGGAAAAATTCAGAATTTTGTCTGGAAATGAGGGAAAAACAAAATTAATTTTTTGTGGTAACCCTGTTATTTATAACAAATTGTTCAAAAATAATATTAAACACAAAATTAATGTAAGTGGAATAATTATTCGAAAATTAGATTTTATAGATAGAAATCAATAAAGTGCTATAAAGGATTTTACTTTATTAAGGAAGTTAGTGTCTTTTTATGAACACAACAAAAAGCGCAGCTTCACTTTCAAACAACGTAATCACTTTACGGTCCCTGTGGAATTTGAAACTGTCGGCGCTGCAAGTCTAATGAAAAATAAGTCTTGAAAAACTATGAGTAAACTATTTACTTACAGTTAACAATTAAATTCTAAACTGAAATTAGATAGCTCTATATGTCCGTTTCCTTTTAGAAGTAAAATCGTGTTTACTTTTTGTTCTCTTATTAAAACGAAATTCAAATGGTAATTTATTTCAGTTATTAAATAAATGTTATTTTCTTTCTTGAATAAAATTCAATAATAAAATTCAAATGTGTAAACATTTGAATTTTCTTTATTTTATTTTTATTTTACTTCTTGAATAAAATTCAAATGTGTAAACATTTGAATTTTCTTTTTGAATTTTATTCAAGAAAGAAAATAACATTTTCATTAGTCTTTGGAAGATAAATGTAATTTAATTCTAATTCCATATAATTCAAATTCTATATATAGTGTATAATTCCATTAGTTTGGAAACCAATATGTCCTTATTGTTAGCTTGAAACTATTTCAAGAATCTTGTGAATACAGTTGCCTTGAAGGTCGAGACATTCCAAATCTAATTTAATCCAAGAAGTTAATTAACTTTTGCAGAGACCAAATCGATCTTCACGCCTTGAATGTGGATAACAAATTGGAGCTAGTTTTGGTCGACCATCACACTCTCACCGATGAGGATTCGTCGCTGGCAGATTCAGTCGTAGAAATTATTGATCACCGTCCCCAAGATGCAGCTTGGAAGTGGACCGGCAAAAGGATTAATCTACAAACGGTTGGCAGCTGCGCCACTCTTGTCGCTAAAACCGTACTCGAGAAACATCCAAATTTAATTGATTCACAAATATCAAATTTATTACGTGGCAAGTATTTTTCAAATTTTCAAAAAAAAAAAAAAAAAAAAAAAAAAGAATTTCAAAATTTTTTAAAAATATTAATAGGTATTAAAAATACTAATAGGAAAAGTAGAGACGAAATTTTTTTTTAGCCATGGCACCATCCGATGAATGAATTGTTAAATATTTTCCCAGAGAGCCTGTTCGCTGGCTCGTTGGGTTTTCCAATAAATCGTTATTTTTGCAATGGATAAAATATTCAAAAGCGGCCTGCCATGGAAGTTAAAGGCATACTCGAATTTTCTCCGACGACCTCTTTTTGAAAACGAGAAAGAGAAAAAAAAAGAAAACAGGTGGCTATGATACAAAAGCGCTTTGGCATTTTACTGAATTAAGACGAATGATTAATGAGGGTTTCATTGTTTATTTCTTCTTTTTTCGGCCATTTGTCCAGATTAGTATAGAAAAGAGGAGGGGAAGGATAGTTTATATCATCAATTCTTGTTATTTGTTTTCTAGACTTCCGACCAGAGACAAGAAATTCCCTTTGAGAGTATTGGTATTTTATTCCTAATTGAGGAAAGGGTTAGAGTAAATAATAGAATAGTGTCTTCTTTTTGCAAAAAATGGAAAGAAATGTTCAATATTTCGAATTTTGATAATTCTTAGGTACTCATAAAAGAGGAATTTCTAATCTATGAAATTTGGCAATATTCGTAAATTCAGGTTTCGCATTCTTCTACTAATACCTACTGTTTATTATTTTTTTCAATTTGCAAATACTTTTTTTTTAGATTTGTGCCACTAAAAACTTAATTTGACTTGGAATTTTCTTTCTCTTCTTATAAATTTTAAAAACACTAAAAATAGAGGTAAAGTTGAAATCTTTAGAAATAATCAATTATTTATTTTTGCATTTAAATAATTGATTTCTTGTAGAACTTTCTGATATGAATGGATTTAAAAAAGAATTTCAGTACAAATTTTTAAAAACTTGACCATAAGAAACAATTATTTAATTTTTGAATAATTTTAGATTGAAAATTTTAAAAAATTTACTATGCAATTATTATTATTTATTATTCTCAAAAATCTTAATAAAATTCTTCTCAAGAATTCAATAATCTTTATAATCAATAAAATTCTTCGCAGAAATCCAACTATTTTCAATAAAAATTTTGCTAAAATTTCTTGAAAAAAATCAATTATTTTACAACATTTAAATAAAATTCTTCGAAATTTATTCGATTACTATGTTTAATAAAATTTCTATTAATTTCTTTGGAAAAATTAAATAATTTTCAATACAATTAATTAAAACTCTAGAAAAAATTCAATTTTTTCAAAAATTTTAATAAATTTCTTTAAAATAATAAAATTTTTCTAATGAATTCTTCACGAGAATTCAATTAATTTTTATAAGCAATAAAATTCTTCACATAAATGTAATTATTTTTAAAAAACTAAAATTTAATAAACTTCTCCTAATGAATTTAATTTTTTTTAAACATTTTATTAAAATTCTCGAATTTTAATAAAATTTAAATTAAATTCCTCAAAAATCTCAATTATTTTCATTACAAAAAAATTAAATTTTAATTAAATTCTTCCAAAAACTTGATTATTTTCATTACAATTTTCAATAAAATTTTCGAAAAAGTTCAATTATTTTTAGAAATATTCAGAAATTAAATTATTTTCAATACAATTTCAATAAAATGTTTTTTAAAATTTAAATTATTTACCTAAGCGATAATGTTCTTTAGAAGAATTCAATTATTTTCATAAATAATAAAATTCATCGGAGAAATTCAATTATTTTTAATACAATTTTAATTTAATTTCTGAGAAAAAATTAATAATTTTTAATATTATTTTCATTAAATTTCTGAAAATTAATTCAATCATTTGCAGAAATAATAAAATTTTTCACATAAATTAAATTATTTTCAATTCAATTTCAATAAAATACCTCGAAAAATTTGATTACTTTCATAAACAATTAAATTCTTCACAGGAATTTAATTAATCAAAAAAGTTTGATAATTTTATTTAAAAATTCTAAAAAATATTTGAATTTTCGATGAATTACAGTTGTAAATTTTATAAATAATTAAATTGACAAAAGTTTTACATTAAAATTGTTTAAAATTTTAATTTCTGTGAAAAAAATTTAAAAATTTGAAAAGTTTATTTAACAAAAAATTATTCAATTTTTAAATTATTTAATTGAATTAAATTATTCAATTGAATAATTTAATTTAGAAATTCTGAAGAAAATATGTTTTAATGAAATTGTGATTATTATTTTAGATAGTTGAATTTTCGAAAATAATTTTAAAAAGTCGAGACAATTGGAAATGGCAAATTTCATTGGAATGAATTTTATATTTTAAAGAATTGAATTTTTTTTAAGTATTTACTGTTAATAAATTGATTTGAAACAAAATCGTATTTTTATGAATCTATATTTAAAGAATTTTATTATTTCTGAAAATGATTGAATTATTTGACAGAAATTTAGTAAAAAAGGAAAATAGTAATTTTATTGAATAATTGAAGCTAGTTTTTGAAAATTAATTAACGAATGCAAAGTCCGTTTGTTTCTATTGAAACTTTTTGGAATTTTTAATATTTTGCAAGTTGCATTTCTGAATGTTTAATTTTCAAAAAAATGAAAATTTTTTTGCAAGACTTTTTTCGATTTGAAAATTTCATAGTTGGTCGAGGAGTTTCAAGTTTTAATTCTTGAAAATTTCTCTCTGAAAGTTTCTTTGCTATTTTCACGTCTCGACAAAAGCTTTAAGAAAGTTTTCGACGGTTTTTGAATGTTTGAGAGAGTGAGAGAAATGCCTATATATATACAGACCCTCTTCTGCCTCCTCGAAAAAAGTATTAAGTACTTTTGGGTATAAGCTTGAAAATTAGGTTTGCCGTTTTCCTCGAATGGAGTGTATCAAGTCTTATATTTCTCTGTACAATAAAGCACGAGGACTTTTACCTTGAAATATATTCTCTTGACTTTTGTATTTGTGCAAGCTGCTCCGACGTATTGTTTTCGTTATAATCGAGCCGCGGCGTACACACAGTAGCCTGTCAGCCGCAGCAATTCCTACGGGGCCGTAAGTTGCTTTAGGGCGGGAAAACTTTTGGCGAGAGAAACCCTCTCTAGAATGGACGGATCAACGTGAGATTTGGTAGACTCCTGGAGCACCAAGCTAAGCAGAAGCCGGGGATTTTGATTTACCGCGCGGATGCGGAGTGAACTTATTTACGGAATCGTACATTTCAGCGACTCACTCTCTCTCTCTCTCTTTCTCTTGTTGGCTCTTCTGAATATAATACCGGAGGTTTTTGATAAAGTTGAAATATCCAATGAATTATTTTGAATGGCTAGTGCTAGCCATTCATTATTCTCTTTTGGAATTTCCGGCATTAAAGGTATTTAGTTTCAGGAAACTCGTTTCATGTCAAAAATCTGACAGCTTTTCATAATCAAAATTTCGGTTATTGTTATTATTATTATTATTATTATTGTTTCCATTGTTAATTTCCACGATGTTCAATTATAACAGCAACGCTTTCTCTACTCTGCCTAATTATTTCCGTTCTCAACATTTTTTTTTTCTTCTTTTCTATCTCGCAAATATTTTCAATTTGAAAAATATTTTCTTCCTAAAAAAAGAATGATCGAAAAAAAGAATTGAAAGAAAAACTTTTTTTGATTGCTATAAATTTTAAAAAACCTAATTTAAAAATAGATTTTATACATTTCGGAAAAACGAACAAAAAATTTACTATAGAAATGTTTCTATTGGTAGTTTTTAGAAGAAAATTAAAAAAAGGAGAACGGAAAAAAAGTTTGACAGATTGAATAGAGGTCAGGATTAATAAATTCCGGAAATTTTTCACATTTTTCTGACTTTTTCCTGGTATGCTTGATGTATATCGGTATTATGTATACATGTATATGTGAAAAAAAAAATCTCCGGCTTTTATCGGATTTTAAGTTCGTTTGAGTGAATTTCATGTCTGTATTTTACTCCTCTTGGTGCATTGAATTATATTATTTTTAATGTACATTGTTTTCGAACAATAACATTTTCCCTTCGCTTTGAAATCATTGGTTAATTAACAAGCCCTTTTTATAAAACATACTTTACATACTTTGTTAATATTAAACACGTAGAGAAAAAAAGTTCTTTATTTATAAAACAATAGATGTTTTCCTTTTCGAATTATAATTAAATATTACATTTTAGTTAACTTATTTTTTGGAGGAAAAATATTTGAAATCAATTATTATATTGTAGGCAAATGAAAAAAATATTTTCTCCTAAATTGTTTTTATCTAATTTAAATTTAATTCTACGAACTAAGTAATTAATTAATTAAATTCAATATTAAATTTTAAAGAAATTCCTCTCTTTTTGCTTTCATCTCATTTCGTTAAGTAAGAAAATTAAGACTACTCTCATATGCATATTCTCATAATATCTTCCTCTCTTTTTACATTTATGCTTCATTCTCCGAATAATAGAAACTATTTTCACAAGGGAACTATTAGGGAATAAGAATCTACTAATAGAAAATTAAACAGGAAATTTGTACACTTAAGAAAATCCTATTTCGCCTTTATAGGAAAAGATATTTTGTAAAATATATTCTTCATTATTTTCTGCGGACGATATTAAAAGTGAATGGGAAACTAAAAGTAATTCAATTGTCGGGAAATATTTTTTTCCTCTTAAAATAAACTCGTCGAGTTTTTTTCCAAAAACGGAGAAAAAAATATTCTGTACCTATTTTTCAAATTTCTGAAACGAATATTTAAAAAAAATATTTATTTTGATAAATTATTTACATCTATTTTTATAAATTATTATTTTATTTTATATTAATAATCGTTGTTGTATTGTTGAATTAAAAATTTTTCAGCGAATTTTTTTTTAAATTATTTTTTATTTTTTTAAATTAAAAATAAATAATTAGTTAATTTCTTTTGTATAAATTTCGAATCGGAAATCATTCAAAAATTGAAGTTGATATTAAAAATAAAAAGAATTTGAAATTTCTCTAATAAAAATAAATGAAAGACTTTTACTAGTTGTTTATATTGATAAAATATTTTCTCACAAGTTAAAACAGCTTTAAAAAAAGTTTGTTCGAGTAACAATTTTAAAACCGTTTTGAAAATAAAGAGACAGTTAAATAATTTACCAAGAAAATGAAGAAAGTTTCAAAAAAAAAAGAAAGAATCTTCTCTCAAGTGATTAGACTTTTTCTTTCTGGACAAGAGAATTTTTCTTTTTTTAAATGCCAGCCTTATAAGATGTTCATAAAAATAATGAAATGGATACTAAGTCGAAAGAAAATCGATTTAATATTGCCCTAGGTTAAAAGAAAATTTCTTTTAGATCTCAACTCTCTGAGGATCTCTGCGGAAAATTCCTATTTATTTTTATGGGCTGAGAAGTTTAAAAAAGTTCTCCCATTAACTTTGAGTTTGGTAAAAAAATCTTCTTTTTTGGAAGTTAAAATTATTACAAAAAAAAGGGGTGAAGTTTTTACCCTCAATAATTAGCTTAAAACGAGTCAATTTTGCGCTTTAGATTTTTTTTTACCAAATTCGAATATAATAATACATATTTTGTTAAAGAAATATTTTTATTTGTAAAAATATTCCTTTTTTCAATTTGGTTTATCAAAATTTTGTTTCAAAAAACTTGCAAATTAATTAATTAACTGGCAATATCAATTTTAAAAATTTATTTATACTTTTGGTTTTATTTTTTATTTCTACTTTATAAAAGAGGGAAAATAATAGAAATTCTAATTAATAAATTTTGTAATAATAGAAATTAAAATAGGAATATATTTCGTAATAAGAATGGAAAATAAATGTAATAGTAAGAGTAAAAAAAAATGCTAGTTTATTAAGGGAGAAAAATAATAAAAGTGACCTCTTCAATTATTTTTACAGGGCCAATTCTCGTGGACACTTGTAACTTTTCAAGGGAAGCTGATCGGGCAACGCCGACAGATTTCGAGGTGATTCAAAGTCTAGAAGAGGTCGGTTCGTTGGACACTGAAAGGGACGTTGTCTACAGAGAAATTCTCTCGGCTAAAACCGACATCAGTGGTTTGACTCCGGGCGATTTGATGATCAAGGACCTAAAAGTGGTCAATGGAGTGCCTATTGTTGGATTTCCAATTCTAGTTATGGTACATACACACACATAATGTTTAATCAATTTTCTCCCATATGAAATCACATTTTGACTGTGTATTGCCTTCATATGCAAATTGCAAAATGAACCCGCATTTGACATTTGACACAAGCTCTTTCCTCTTTCTCTCTTACACATATATGTATCTCTCTCTCTCTCTCTATCTCTATCTCTCTCCCTTGGTTTTGACCAAAACAATCCCTGAATAATCGTTTAACCCTGCTCTCAACCTGCAGGCTTAAAGAACGTGACCAGATTGTTAATCGTGAGCGAGTGTCTCGCGCCTAATGAATTCCAACTCAAGTTTAGTTTCTGAAAATAGACTTCTCCCAATTTCTCTCTTCCTAAGATAAAGTATCAACTGGCGTTTGTGAGAAAGTTTCTAAAAGGAAATTAATTAATCACAATTAAGAAAATTGCTTGAAAAATAAATTACTTTCAATTACAGTATGGAGTAGTTAATTAATTTAAAATGTGGTTTTTCCACTTAGGAACGTAATTTCAGCTTCCTTTTTCTTTAGTGAAAAAAATTTCAATTTCAATTTTAATTATTGCTTTCTTTTTAAAGTATGTAACATCATTGAAATTAAAATTTACAAATTTTTTTTTCGATTTCTCGAGTTTCTGTTGAGAATGCTCTTTGAGAATAAATTTACTGAAAAAAAGGATATTTTCTCTAATTATTTGCTATTTAATTATTTAATAATATTTAATGGCAAATTCGTCAAAGAAAATATTTTTGTATTTATAATAATTTTTGAAAGATATTTGCTTAGGTCAGAATGAAGTTCCTAACGCCGTTTGATACTTGTTTCTAAGTTGTCTGATTAAACACACATATAATTAACTAACTGAACTAACTTTATTTACATTATTTATAAAGGTAGTAATTTAAGTTTGTATAAATAAGACTAAACTAATGTTGGCGATATTTCTAAACGTAAAATAACATTTTTATGGAAGTTCTTTTCTAAGTTTTTGTTTATTAATATTTATTGAAAGTTTGCAAAATTTAGTAAAATATTAATTTTAATACTTTTATTAATATTTTCAATTATCAATTCATTTAACATTATTTTCGAAATATTTATTTGAAATTATATTAATTAATTTTATTATTAATCTATTCTTAAATTAAATTGTTTCAATATTTTTTCATTTTATATATCAACTTCAATTTTTGAATAATTTCAGATTCAATATTTTTAAAAATTCGTTGAAAGAATTCAATTATTTATAAAAATTTTGATACAATTCTCGATAAGAATTCAATTATTTACAGAAATTTTAATGAAATTTCTGTCAAGAATTCAATTATTTTCATAAGTATAATAAAATTCTGAGGAGTAATTCAATTATTTTGATAAATAATAAAGTTTTTAAATTAAAATAAATAAACATTTTTTCGGAGGAATTCAATTATTTTCAAAAATTTTGATAAAATTCTTTAGGAGAATTAAATTATTTTCCGAACAATTTTAATTGAATTCCTCAAAAGAATTCAAACAATTGAATTTTTATTTTTACAAATTTTTTATTTTTTACAATATTTTTTATTCTAATTTTTTTTTTAAATAATATAATTCTTCACAGGAATTCAATTATTTCTAATATATTTTAAATGAAATTCTTTAAAATAATTCAATTTTTTATATAAATAATAAATTTCTTCCCATAAAGTTAATTATTTTCAAAAATGTTGATAAAATTCTCTAAAAGAAATCAATTATTTCCAATACAATTTAAATAAAATTTCTGTAAAGAATTCGATTATTTCTACAAAATTTTATAAAATTCGTCGAAAGAATTAAATTATTTTCAAAAATTTTGATAAAATGATGTATTTTCAATACTATTTTAATTCAATTTCTAGAAAGAATGTCAATTTTTATGAAAAAAATTAAAGTATTTTCATAAGTTTTAATAAAATTTTTTATTTTTGTCAAAAATTGAATTATTTTTATAAATAACATAATTTTTCAAACGAATTTAATTATTCTTATAAATAATAAAGTCTTCAGTGGATCGAAATATTTTCAGCATAATTTTAAATAAATTCTTCAAAAGAATTTAAATTTTCTTCGAAACAATTGAATTTGGATTTTTGCAAATTTTATTATTTTTTATTATTTTCAAAAATAATAAAGCTCTTTGCAGATAGTCAATTATTTTTAATACACTTTTAATCCAATTTTTGAAAGAATTAAATTATTTTTAAAAGTTTTAATAAAATTCTTCGAAATAATTCAATTATTTTTTAACATTTGAATATAAAATTTTATGCAAAAATTGAATTATTTTTAATACAATTTCAATCAATTTTCTTGATGGAATTCAATTATTTTTACAAATTTCAATAAAATTTCTTGAAGGAATTCAATTATTTTAAAAACTATTCATAAAATTCATTAAAGAAGTTCAATTATTTTCATAACAATTTTATCTAAATTCTTTAAAATAATTTTAATTTGCTTCCAATTAATTCCATTATTTTCAAAAATTTTAATAAAATTCTTGGCAAGAATAAAATATTTTCACAAATAATAAAATGCTTTTCAAGAATTTAATTATTTTTAAACATTTTAACATAATCCCTTGAAAAAATTCAATTATTTTAAGAAATTTTTATAAAATTCTTTAGCAGAATTTATTTTTTCCTATAGTTTTGAATAAAATTCTTTGAAACAATTCAATTCAGATTCAATTCTTTTCAAAAAGTTTAATAAAATTCTATGCAAAAATTATATTATTTCGGATTCTTAATTGTAAAAGATAAAAAAGTAGGATAAATTTGTTCTTAACAAAAATGTCCTTTTCAAATAAAAAATAATCCACTTATTAACACAAAATTATGAAAAATAATATAAATTCTAAATTTTTTTGCTAAAATAGAATCACAAAACTTATTCTCTGAATAAATAAATAATAAATCTAAATTGGGAAAAATTTAAATTTAATTAAATGATTATTCGCATATATTAGTAAATTAATTTTGATTTAATTAAAATTTTTTATTATTTTAATAAATAAAATAATAAATACTAAATTAAATTAAAAATTAAATGGAAATTCATCAAAAGAATATAAAAATTGCATTGTTTACAATTATTTGAAGAAAATCGGAATAATGAACTCTAAAGAAATTTGTAATGTTAATTGAAAAAGTTAAAGAAAAGACTTTCTTCTTTTTTGTTCACAGGACTTTCTCGCATTAAATGATGCCTTCGAAGCAATTGGTACATTCACAAAAAGCAGATATTGCTCGCTCACAGTACTCATAGGAATGGATTTAAAAAACAACACCGTATCTCGAGACATTGGTGTCTTCTCATTGGATTTGAATGAATTGGAAAATAAAGTAAGTGCTATACGCGCCATTCCAGTACATTTCTGCTCTTACTTTCCATTCCTCCACTTTAATACACCATCCAACTCTACTCTCTCTCTCCCCCGTTTTCCTGGAGACTTTACAGTAGTTTAAGTTTCGAGTGCCTTCAGATTATAAAAGGGGTGTGTAACGAAGAGTGAGGAGAGAGAGAGAGAGAGGGGGGTTGAATGAACAGTTCAACTTCCAGTTTTACTGGGAGACGAAGCAGAGGCGAGAGTCGTCATTTTCTACATCAAATTCCGGAAATTAAAGTTACGCTTCTTTCCTTTTCAGATTATAAAAGCCTTAACTTCATCGACCGATCCAAATCTCGATCTAATGGAAGAGAGTAGACATCATGGAAAAGGAATGAATTTGATCATCTACCGACAGAGAAACGTGCGGGCAACTCGCAAGCAAATACTACCGATTATACAAAGTGCATCGACAGGATGTCGTTGTTGACTGTTGTGCAGCCCTCGTCCCTTCCCTTCCAACCACACGCAAAAGTAAATAGTGAACCTCCCATTAAATGAATTAGCATGTGGTAATTATACAAATCGTCCCCTTTTCTCAAAACTAAATTCATAAAGTGAAAATAAATTGACAATGCCGTTGGCTGTAAAAAAAACAAAAAAAAAAAACAAGAAACCAGAATGAAATAAGAATCAAATCATTTCCATACAAAGTAACTTCGAGTAAAAGTTATATACATATCCTTTTCGTTTGTTTTTCCATTCAGGACGAAAAAAAGTATCAGCTCAAAGGAACTTGTTCGCCTTATATTTTTCATATACATATATAAGTTTCACGGAGAAATGCGATATGCATCTCGCGTAAAGTGCAACAATGGAACGGACGTCCTTTGTGTACTGAGAAATCGAAGGTCGACCAATTTTCAAGGAGCATAAACATCCCGAGGGAGGAGAGAAAAAGAGAGAGTGAGAGAGAGAGAGAGAGAGAGAACGAAGCGAACTTGCTTCCATCGACAGGAGGCCGTCTGTTTATTTTTCATTTCCCTGAGTCGTTGCTCCACAACCAACTAGACGTCGCCAGGCTCTCGAATCACTAATTTCCCAGACGTACACACCATGAAATCTGGTAAATAAACCAAACTTTTTGAACTGGTCGATGCGAGAGGGAAAAGGGCGAGAAAGAGAGAGAGAGAGAGAGAAGTAGAAGAGAAAAAAACTGCCATCGAGAAAAATCAAAAGAAAATAAAATAAATTCAAGGTATTTAAATTGAATAATTTTAATTATTTCTCTCAATATATTTTTTTGGTTGTCTGCTTCTTCTTTTGGAAGAATATTTGAATTTTTCCCAATGATTTCCTTTTCGAATAGAGTAAAGGAAAAATAATTAGTCAATTAGCGTTGAAAAAAAACTTGAAACTCTAGTAAGAATCTTGGTTCAAATTTAATTAGACATGAAAATCCGTTTGGTATGAAAAGAATTGTCGATTTTCTCCCCGAATTGATAGAATATGTATTTTAAAATGTATAATAATTAGACGGATAATGAAAAGTAATTTGGAAAAAGTTCGTTTTGCGAAATGAAGGAGGGAAAAGGGAGTAAAAATGTTTTTAAAAAAGTAAAACAATCCAGAAGAGTCGAATAAGGAAGGAAATAAGAATTCAGAAAGATGAAGTCGAGGAAATCGAAGAAATGAATGGACAGAAGAAAATAGAGAGAGGAAAATAGGAGGAAAAAATGTGAAGAAGAAAATGGAAAGGATAAAATGCAGGGAAGAAAATAGAAAGAAAAAATAGAAGGAAAAAATAGAAAAAAAGAGAGAAGAAAAATAAAAAAGAGAAAGAAAAAATAGAATAAGAAAATAGAAAGAAATGAAGAGAAACAGGAAAGAAGAAAATAAAATAAGAAAATAGAAGGGAATCAATTGAATGAGGAAAAATTCTAAATTAGTGAAAAGTCGTCGACTAATTCAAATTAGTTAAAATTTTCAATAATTCTTAGTTAATTTTTACTATTTTATTTAGTACACATGAAACAAATTTTTTACCTGAAACAGCAATAAGTTTCTGTACATTAGCGAAAGTATTTATTGAAACAACTAAAAATTTCGCTAGTCCAGTGAAATTTGTAGCTGTTCCAGGCAAAGACTTTTTTTCCTTGTAGTTTTAAATTTTTTATTACAGTTTTAGTGGGAAGTTGCTAAGAATTGGTAGAAATTTTTATTAATTTAAATTAGTGGACAGTTTATCACTAATTCAGATTTGGAAAAAATAGAAAGAAGAAAATAGAAGAGAAAAAATTGATAAAAGCAAAATAGGAAAAAAGAAGAAGAAAAATAGAACAAAGAAAATAGAATGAGAAAATAAAAGAAAAAAAATGAAGAAAATATAATAAGATTTTAGTTTTTTTCCATTTTTCAGAGAATAAAAAAAATTGAAGGAAGAAAAATTGATGAAAAATAGAATAAGAAAATAAAGGGAAAAAATGGAAGAAATAGATGGGGAAAAATTGAAATAAGAAAAAAGAAGAAAATAGACAAATATTTTCTTTATTTTTTCTACTTTTTAGAAAATAGAAGGAAGAAAATAGAAATAACAAATGAAAGGAGAAAAAAAGAAAATAGAAATATAGAAAAAAGAATGCAATAAAAAAATAGAAGAAGAAAATGGAAAGGAAAAAATGATGGGAGAAAAATAGAAAGAAGAAATATAAAAAGAAGAATTGAATAAGAAAACAGAAGGAAGAAAATTGAAAGAAAAAAATAAAGGGGAGAAATTAAAAAAAGAAAAATAGAAAATAAAAAAAGGAAGAAAATAGAATATAAAATGGAAAAAAATGGGAAGAAAAAATAAAAAGGAGAAACAAGGATAAAATGGAAAAATAGAAAAGAGAACAATATAAAATGAGAAAATAGATAGAAAAAAAGAAGAAAAATCTGAAAATAGTAAAAAGAAAGAGAAAAAAAGGGAAAAAGGATGAAAAATTAGAAAAATACAAAAAATAACACCTAAAGAAGAGAATAGAAGAGAATAGAAGAGAATAACAGGAAGGAACAATTAAACGAAATTCAGACGAAAGACAAAAGAGGGATTTACTGACGGATGAATCAGAGAGAAAGAGAGAAAGCGCACGCGGAACCACAGAGTTTACAAGAAACCGATGAAAGGAATAAAGGAAAACAAACAAATCACACGAACCTTTAGAAAAAAATACAAAAAAAAGAACAGGGAAAATTTCAAAAACAATGAGAAAAGAAATAAAACGACAGTTTTTTTCACTTCGGAAAAAAAGAGTATATACAGAGAGACAGACTAAATAATCGAAGGGAAAAGAAGCATAGAGAGGAACGTATTTCACTGATTAATAAAATATACATTAAAAGAGCAAATTCTTTTTTTTGCTGCAAAACGACGAGGAAGAGGAGGAGATGAAAAAGAAGTTGTTGGTCCAAAAGGGTTGGGAAAAAAAAGAGGGAAAGCGCGAGTATACGATATTTCAAGGTGTGTTGCAACGCACGAGCGCCAATAACGTGGTTTTTCCCCTCGACGTTACTTCGACCTTCCCAAAGGTTTACGTGTCTTAGAGGGGTCCCCCGTTTATCAATAACTCGCGTCCCGGGAAACATATTGCAGTTCGGCTGGATGGATGGTGGTCGTTTGCAGAGGTTACGCGCCTCTGGATTGTTATGGATCGGTTGTTAAAACGTCCAGGTGGGGCAGTGCCAAGAGCAAACGATTCCCGTTTTGTTCTATGAGCCTGCGAACTTTTCATCGCTCGTTCCAACATCAATTTCGACAATTTTAGTTTTGCATATGTTTTTATTCCACTGGATTTAACGTTTTGAATAGTCTTTATTGTCTCATTTTTTAAAGAGAGGCAATTCATCTCGATATAACAAATAAAATAATAATTTTATTAAAATAATTTTGTCAATCTTCTATTTTTCATCTTCTTGTATATTAATAATCGTTGTATGTCGTTGTATTTCGGTAATTTGTTTATACTTTTTCTTTTTAATGTTTTTAATTTTAAAATTAATGAAATTTTAATTTAATTCTTTGAAGATCAAAAATAGCAAAAATTATAACTAAACCAAATTGTTTTCAATTAAAAGTATTTCTTCTATAATTCTAAATCTGAAATAATTTAGTTCCTTTATAAAGAAATTTATCTAAAATTTTTGAAAATAATTGTATTTCTGTCAAGAATGTTATAAATAACATTTTTATAATTGAGTTCTTTAGAGAAATTTTATTACAATTTTTTTAAATAATTGAATTCTTTCCAGAAACTTAATTACAATTTTTTTAAATAACTGAATTCTTTCGATAAATGTTATTAATAATAAAAAAAATTGAAATCTTGGTAAGAATTTTTTTAAAATTGTATTAAAAATAAGTGAATTCTTATAACAAATTTTACAAAATTATTTAGAAAAAGAATTAAATTTTTTAAAAATATTACATTAAATTTTTTTCCTGTAAAGAATTTTATTGAAATTTTTCAAAATAATAACATTTTTACAAAGATTTTTATTGAAATTCTTTAAAATAGTTTAATGCCTGGGAAAAATTTGATAAAGTATGAAAATAATTGAATTTCTGCGAAGAAAGTTATTATTTAGAAAAATTTAATGAAATTTTATTCTTGTAAAGAATTTTATTGAAATTTTTTAAAATAATAAAATTTTTGCGAAGAATTTTATTAAAATTTTGGAATTTAATTGTAATTGTATTGAAAATATTTCAATTCTCATAAAGAATTTACTCAAAATTTTTCAAAGTAATTAAATTTCTGCGAAGAATTATGTTATTTAGGAAAAGAATTATTTTTTTCAAATTATTTAATTAAATTTTGTTTTTATGAAGAATTTTATTAAAATTTTTCACAATGATAAATTTTTTGCGATGAATTTTATTAAACTTCTTTAAAATAATTTTATTTTTTATCAATTTAATTCTTGTAAAAAATGTTATAAATTATGAAAATAATTGAGATCTTGCTAAAAAGGTAATTAAAATTTACGAAAATAATTCAATTTTTTCGTGGAATTTAATAAAAATTTTTTTGAAAATATTTCAATTCTCATAATGAATTGAATCAAAATTTCTCAAAATAATTGAATTTCTGCGAAGAATTTTATTATTTAGAAAAATTTAATTACATTTTTTTCTTATAAAGAATTTTATTGATTTTCTTCATAATAATAACATTTTTGTGAAGAATTTTATTAAAATTCTTCATAATAATAACATTTTTGTGAAGAATTTTATTAAAATTTTGGAATTTAATTGAAATTGTGTTGAAAATATTTCAATTCTCATAAAGAATTTACTAAAAATTTTTAAAAATAATTGAATTTCTGCAAAGAATTTTGTTATTTAGGAAAAGAATTATTTTTTTTCAAATTATTTGAATTTTTGTTTGAAAAATTTTATTGAAATTGTATTGAAAATAATTGAAATACTGTGAAGAATTTTATTAAAGTTTTTGAAAACAATTAATAATTGATCAAATAAAATGGAAAATTTGTTACAAAAAACAAATAGAAGATAATAAATTGATAGACTTTGATAAAAAAAAAGAAGGCTTTTATTTAAAAAATAGAAGATTTGATAAAAAAATGAAGGATTTAATAATTAAAAAAATTGAGAATTTAATACAAAAAATTATTTGTATTTAAGAATAAAATATTAGGAATTTAATAGTAAAAAAAAGTTGAGGATAAAAAATAAGTAAAAATTGAAAACGAGATCAAAGTTAAAAATATTTTATTTTTCAAATATGGAGAAAACTATCATTGAGTGGAAAAATTGTTAAGTGAAAAAAAATCTGTAATAATATTTTTGCTTTTATCCTAAAAAAAATATTTGTAACATAATTGCATAAAAATATAATGTACGAACTTCAATAGAATAACGAAACAAAAGGAAATTCGAATACGGAAAACAAAGCCAAACAATTACAATATTAATTATTTTAATATACAATAGATTTGTAATATTTATATTATTGTAATTAAAATAAAAAAAAATTGTTCCATTCGTGAATAATGATTCTCGTAAATATTTGCTTTTAATGGTTATGAAGAATGAAAAAAATCATGATTATAGCGAAAAAAGAAAAATTTGTTAAAGAGAAAAATTGCCATCGAGGATATATTTTTTTTATTTTCGCAAAACGAATGCTACGTGATGGTACATAAACTAGATGTAAACAAATGCATTCTAGTTGTTTTTTTTTTTTTTTTTTTTTTTTTTTTAGTAAAATTGTTGATGGTTACGAAATTGAGAGATTAAAGTTGGGTGAAAATGAGAAAAAAATAGAAATCTGTTTTTTTTTAAATTTATAGTGGATTTTCGTACAAATAGGAGAGAAAGAGAAATAGAGAGAAATTTGTTGGATTTCAAAATGAGTATGAATACTTAGAGTTTGGTGTATATATATATTTTCGAGTCAAAAAGGAAATTGGCAAAAATTAAATTTAAATGCAAGCTGCTCGAGTGTAGTCAGATTTGCCTACCGTGAAAAACTTTTAATATAACCAAACTATACGGGGGAGGAAAAGCTCAACGACAGTGTCGAAAAGTTAAACTTTCAAGGCAAAAGCAACCTTCATATTATCTCCTTCTAGCATGTTTCCTAAAGTCCTTTGAGAAAACAAGTACACACAACATTTATCCCCCTCCGAAAAATTTTCCAACGCAAGAAATTTATATAACGACATCCAAACTCAACGGAAATTATTATAAAGACTTGAGGAAAATGAGAAGTTTTAGTTTATTTTATTTTTTT